GCAGATCAACATATTCAAAAAAAAAAAGTGTGGGGGTAATGGAGTAAAAGGAAAAAAAAAAGAAAAAAAAAAAAGTTTAGCCCAAATAGACTTATCATTTGAAATTTCACTGCCTAACTTGTTACAGTGCCGAACATGGACCTCTCCACAATTCGTATCAATAATGCAATTTACATTGATACTCCGTTAACAGTGCATTTTGCTACCTTGATCCCATTTATCTACAAGATACTCTATTTAAAAAGACCCGCTTAATTTTAATTTACAAATGCCATGAATGATAGCCACGTCGTTAATACGCCTGTGATTTTATTACCAAGACTTTTAATATAAATTTAACCGGGCAATGACAAACCCTAAATTCAAAATCAGATTGCGGAAGCTTAACCTAGATGCATACTTAATCTTTAATAACATATCAATGGCACCATAACATGATCAAAATTGCTGCAAAAGCAGTGGTGTCATGCATACCGAGGTAAGGCTTACCGGGGCATGTCACTCAAAATGACTTGTAGATTTCCCACGCTGTCCTGACGGGGACCTAAATAATTAGGAGGATAAATTATTTATGATGAAATTGTCTTTACCTAATGCAAGTGTCATAATGTTTACATGTGGAAGGTATTTGTACCTGTAAGTTGATTCAAATTCCCACAAATCTAAGTAAATATGTATCATTGTGGTTTTTATAAAGAACTTAGTGATAATACATTGATAACATTTCATCAGCAGGAACTTTATCCAGTACGGGTAATTTTAAAGTGTAAATATGGCTATACAATTTAAGCTGGAATAAAAAAACATAGCTAGAACTGCTATTTTAGTTGGTAGTAAACGTTATAATAGAAGACGGGATACCATCGACATCAAGACCACCGGCTATTCAGATGGAAAAAAAATCGGCAGCTCTTAATCAATATTTTGATATGTAACCATCAGGGTTAGCGAATAATGAACTAAGGCGTGTCTATATCTACCAGACGCTAGAATGATGTGCATGCTCAAAGAAAGCACTGCAAGTTTAAACCACAACTGATACTACAATATAGGTAGATACTAGTATGACTGAAAAATATGCTGCAAAGTACGTATCCTTCATTAGAGCGCTAGTAAATTAAATGCAATGTTTTATTTTTTGTCCTTTGATGACATTGTCATGACAAAGTGCTGCCTAGTTGCAACAATCACTTGAAATTATTATCATGCTCAGCCACTTTTTCGTTCTCATGTTGCACCAAGAAGAGTATTTGTTAAGAATGATAATTTTTGATCTCACAACAGAATTCTTAAAACTACTAGTAGACATGGTATTTCAGAATTTAAATTTGGTATAGATTGGTAAATTACGAATATCCTTTGGGTGTTCGTTTTCTTTAGTGTAAAGATTATAAGCACAGCTATTCCTTTTTAAGTTCAAATTTTTAATTGGTGAATGCTCCATTTCATTTTCGAAAAATGTACCCAAGCTGGGTTGACATTGCAGCTATTTTAGACACACGTAGATAAACAGACAAACGAGAATGTGAAAACCATGGATAAAACTTCAACAGCACGCGAACTATAATAGAGCTCTCAATGTACAAATGTTAGTTTTAGAGCTGTTATGATAGTTGGAAATTTACATGATTGGTGAGATCAAAAAGTTAATTAATTTTCCAAAAATTCTATCACAAATCATTGTATCTTTTATTTTTTTTATAAACACGAAATGAAATCCTGGAGCAACTTACCAGAAGAAGTTTTGCTCATATTCAATTCCAATGATAATACATCCTTCTTTGAAGACAGAAAATTGCTAGAAAAAAAGGATATTTTTCAATGTGAACTTGTCTGCAGAAATTGGAAATTGCCTGCACAAAGAACCAACTACAAATCCTTGACTGTGAGTAGCCGTGATACCAAAAACTTAATAAACGCCCTGAAAAGTAGCCAAGAATCACCCGGTAAATTTGTTAAAGAGCTTATTCTTCCTAATTCAACGAACGGCTTGTGGAAGCAATGTTTACCTGCTATGGCCGACATCTTTCCCTTCATTGACACATTGGAGGTGCATGAACCAAACGAGGACTTTTACTCTACCTTGATCTCCATTAGCAGCGCATCGAAATGGAAAGGGCTAAAAAACTTTGAATTCCCAAACAATGATTCAGATCTTGGAATGTACGCATCTTGTGTTCAAAACTACCAGAGAAGTTTAGAACGCCTTTTGGTTTGTGACAAGATCCAGCTCATCCATGCAAACGAGGGTGGCATTAACAACGAACTTTATTTCAGTCTACTTAAAGAACTCGGACAATTTTCAAAGCTCAAAGAGTTAGTTATCAAACGACATGCTAATGACTGTTTAGAATCATTTGACAAGATCATCGAAAAGTGCCAAAACTTGAGAAAATTGGATATTGGAATCTACCCGAATTTGACAATAGAATAACAACCTCTGAAACAGACCTGTCTCGGATTAAACCTCGGCCAGATATTAAAACACTTGACGGATTGTTTGTTACAAGATGATAGCACCCTATATACATTATGCATAAATTTCCCTGCCTGCAGGAATTGTTTATCAATCACAGTTGGCGAGATGATTCAGAAGAAAATGACGGATTGCATATGACAGTACCCAGAATAACTGCCAATATTTTGACCAAATTTATATCTTTCATGACTCCAATTTCTTCCTGTGCTATATCCATTTGTATCAAAATACCTCTTGTTGTCGATGCCCTTGAGGAATATACAAGAGTTATGTCCAGCAAGCTATTCGGGTTTTTATCCATTAGTTACTCGTACGATAGTATCATAGATCCACTGTTAGAGCAACATGCAAAGCTGACCATGCACCGTACAACAGGCTATAAAAAAAATCAAGACCACGAATTCTTTATCGACTATAGTTCTATTGCGGACACATTGCCTCATGAGTATCATAGAAAAAAACTGGGAGCTCGCTGGCCGAACTTACATATCGTATGAATTTTGACCGTGTGTCCAAAGAAACTCATAGAAAAGCTTACGATATGATCTATGGACATTTTTTGGACCACATATTTAGTCACTGCTCCAGTCTAAGAAAGCTTAGGCTAAGCAGTACCAAAATTCTGGAATGTAACCCGATCCTATCCTTAAATAATTCAATGTCACATTTGATTCTTTTAAACTGCTATATTGGTAAAAACGTGCTTTCTCAACTCTCAGACCGTATTACTTCCTTGAAACATATGGTTATTGTTCGCTGTAAAGTGGAAAACCCTCACAATGGCGTCAACACTCGGTATTATCATGTCGACATGCTCAACACCACATTGACACCATTCGAATCAAGTCTGAACATTCCATATATCTCATTGCTGTAAAGTTAAACGAGGAAGTCATGACGAATACTACAAACTGATCTTTGACCCTACAACACATAATTATCATACGGCTGTGAAATCAACACGATTTGTATGAATCTGGACTATGAAAAAAATATGAAGGTGTCTGTTCGATGTAAGGGCATAAAGAAAATCCAGCTCTTTATGAATGCTTGTGTTCATGAGAGTGAAGTTGCTTTTGGTGAAATAATTCTAGAATAAATAGTGTCTATAACTCCAAAAGAACTTTTTGACAAAATTCTTGTAAAATCTGTAATATCCTTAATGCCAAACGTTTTAATTATATTTAGCTTCGCGGGCCGAGGCAATGATCCATAGACACATCCATTAAAGCGATGTTTGACCTTAAAAAAGAGGAAGCCCCAGATAAATAAAGTGACTAGGTTGGCCTGTTCCTAGACTTATAGAATTTATGTTGGCACATCAGTAGTTTCTAATTGGAAATAGGAGCTTAACTAACATTCTCTTGCTATACTCTACTTTTTTTGCAGCTGAGGTATGTAGAATATCCCAAATATCAAGGTAAAAAGAATATTTTGGTCACTTCATTGATGTAACGACAGCTGAGAAATTGTAACACGCGTTGTCTGCATTAACTAAAATGACGCTATTAACTAACCTCATGAAAGTTAGGGTAGTTATCTCTGACAATGAATCAGGGAACAAAGTAGTGCTACAAATCTCTTTTTGCAATGACACCATTATCTGCTATACAATGAATTTGGCACTCTTGTTTGATATCAAACCAAATATTTTAATTTTAAGTACAAGTGCAGATAAAGCTTTCAAAAAAAAAAAAAAAAAATTCCACTAAACAATTTGTTGAACCGGAAGACAAAAAATTACTGAATGGAGGTGTGATGTTCTATGAAAACATTTGCCATTCAAAGTAATTTCTATAATTGGATGTTATTGTTTAAAAAATTTATAACTGACATAAATTGGGATATTGGCAACTTTCTTTTCTTCAATATACAACTTTTTCTTACCTTATTTTATTTTTATTTACATATTTAAATGTCTTCAAGACAATCTACAGTAGCATTACAACATGATGACTCTTTATCAGAGAATGATTCCAAAGCTGTAGCAGGTATTACAAGCAGACAGAAAAAAAGTAATTTGTTTTAACATGTTTTTATTTTTAGGCACAAGTAAGACCCAACGACTTAATTTGCTTATATTGTTTCAACTAACTTTGTAATAATAGATCGTATACGTTTGCATAAAGTGCAGCAAACAAAAAATGATGGGCGTTGGGTTGACAAAAGAAAACCATGTCCAAGTTCATGAATATCTTTGCCACATTGGCGAGGCAATAGAGTAAGTAACACAATAACAAGTATCCATATATGGTAATCTAACAGTGTAACGCCAGATGGATTGAAAGTTTTATCAGTGAAAAAATCGATGACAACGATAATAGGGAAGCATCAATCATACAGTTAGAGCAAACACTACACGATGGCGTAGTTCTAGCTAAATTGGCACGTAGAATTCAACCTTCCTCCATTACCAGTATTATATCAGGCGATGCCAAATTCAAATTTTTACGCTCCAACAATATCAATGCATTTTTGTCTGTTATCAGCAAGTTGGTCTGCCTTCCATTTTTTGGTTTGAATTTGTTGATTTATTCGATGGAAAGAATATGCCCAAAGTTATTATTGTATTCATGCTCTCCCATTTATTGCATTCAAATCAAATCGCGCCACAGATTAAAAACTTACACGGCGAATTTAATTTTTCAGAAGACATTTTGATAGCAACGCAAAGAAATTTGGAGAAATCAGGTGTACCTATGCCCAACTTTAATAATCTTGTGTGCATCTTACAAAACGAATTGGATGGTGGTAAAAAGAAAACCTTTCTTTTTCGACCCATCGAAGAACCACTAATAGACGATGAAGATTTGATGCCAAAAATGAGACAAATTAGAAGACATACACCTGATTTAATAGTGGCTGATTTATATGATTCGGACACAGAGTCAAAAACATCCGCAAGTGATGATCATGATACCTCTTCGGGTATTACAACAATGCAAAGGTTACAATTTTTAGGTATGTGTCACAACCAAACACGAATGTAATTATGAGCTCATCGGTTATTTCAAACTTTTCTAGATGCTTCTGGTGATTCTTCAATCAGTAGCTCCGCCTCCGAAATAGAGTATTATGACGATTCAGACGAACTCGACTCCGAAGATGAAGACTCGATTGCAGCACGAGCAACGGCCCTCGAGCAACACTTTACTGCTCCAGAAAACAACAAAGTACTTGTTTCAGCACAAGGCTGCATCCGAACATTTATGGCTCGAAATAAATTAGAAAAGATTAAAGAGCAGTACCGTTATCAGTCTTTCCAGTCAACTATACAAAAAATGCAAGCTCGTATCCGTACAGCATCAATGCGCCGCCAACTTGGTGAAAAACGCAGCGAGTTTTTGCTTGCCCTGATGATTGGGTAACTGCATTACAGGCTATGATTCGTCGACACCTTGCAATAAAAAAAATGGACGGCATGCATCAATTCCAGTTGGTGGAAAATCAACGCATAGAAAATTTGAGAATTGAAGGCAAATCCAGTGCACAGTACCATGAAAGTGCTTATCAAAAATTGAAATCGGATAAAAACCCTTCCATTGGAGTTGTTAAGAGTGTCCTTCACATGCTGAGCAACAACGATGTAGATTTTAACGAGGATTTAATCATAGAAGATCTCCGACAGAAGGTTATTGAATCAATTAGAGAAAATAATCATTTGGATAGTCAAGTGAGCATGATTGATATTCAAATCGCATTGCTCTTGAAAAATGTCGTAACATTGGATGAAGTAGTTAAACTCAGTAATGCATTTTTCAATCCCAACAGAAGAAAGCAACAGCAACAGAGATTTTCTCAACTGATGTCATCGAACCCTTCCAATAGTCCTTATGATTTGCGTGGTGTAGACAAAGGAAATCGTGACAAATTAGAATTGTACCAACAGCTCGTATTTCTGCTGCAAACAGAACCTGTATATCTGGCAAGATTAATGTCGATCACAGGTGGTCAAGTTTATGGTGAAAAGAAAGGTCAGCGCAAAATTGATGCTACGGTGTTAGCCCTGTTCGGTTATGGTACCAACGCCCGCGAAGAATGTCTATTAATCAACTTGTGCAGAGCATGTATTGTACAAGAAATGAAGCGCGTCAAAGACCCTCAAGAATTTATGCGTGGAAACTATACATTTATGAAACTGGTCGTTCAAGTGAATCGTGGTGCCAAGGAAAGACAGTTTTTCACATCCCTTTTTGAGGCGTTAATCAAAAAAGTGATTGAAAATAATGAGTTGGATTTGGAGACAAACCCAGTTGTTATTTATCAGAAATTTGTCGGTCAAGAAGAATCTCGCACGGGCAATCCTTCGGACAAACCTTTTCATATTAATCACTCTCAAGCATTGCAAGTACCCGAGGTTATGAACGCTCTATCTAATCATTGGAAACATTAAGAAATCTGACAGAGGACTTTCTAAGTGCTATCATTAAAACAGTAGATTCAATGCCCTATGGTATGCGTGTTATTGCAAGAGAGCTTCGACTTGTGATGGAGGAAAATTTCCCGGATGAAGCCTCAGAAGAGATCATTAAATTCTGGGAAATTTTGTATATTACCGCTATTTAAGTCCCGCTATCACGTAAGTTTACCAATTAGCGATATTTACATGTTATTAAGTCTTTAATGTTAGTGCCCCTGAGCAATATGTTTCTCTTAATCACGAAGTATCTTCAGTCCAAAGAAAAAATTTGGCAGAGGTAAGAGCAAGATATATTGTAGACGTTTTCATTATACTCAAACTTTCAAAAGGTGTCCAAAATGCTGCAACAAATCTCCATCGGCAAAGACTTTGACACGCGCAATGTTGAACTGAGTGCTTTAAACAGTTACATAAGGTCATCCAATCAAAGATTTACCCAATGGTTTATGGATCGTAAGTAAACTTTGGAGCTCGTACCTTACATTTGTTAATCATTCTATCTAGTTATGATGTGGAAGAACCTGAGCAGCATTTTGGCTTGGATCAACTATCGGATTATAAAACACAAAAGCCAACCATATACGTGCATCCTACTGAACTTTATCATATTCATCAGCTTTTGGAAGAAAATATAGATTCATTGGAACGCCAAAAAACTGGTATTCTTCATAATATTTTAGGCGACTTGGGGGAGGCTCCTGTCGATGTCAACATGAGCGTTCCTTTACATGTTCTTCGACTTGAACTGAGTGATCGTAGAGATGGTATCCCAAATGAAGCAGGTGGCGACATCAAAAAATTATTATTAGATACCAAACGACTTGTATTCTGGTTATTCAAGTACAATCCGGACCATCACTAGAAGCTATCTTTGAAGATCCTGTTACAGATGAACATGAATCTATTTGGGAGATCGTGCGTGAGCAACAATTCCCCTCTGAAGGTACTGAAAAGGAAATTGAAATGGCTATTCGTGAAAGAAACTTTAAATTCGGTTATCAAAATGCTGCTATGGATGTGAAAAGGTAAAAACCGTTACATTATTTTATTTTCTCTTTTACTAATTCTTTTTATAGTCTAAGCTTTGCAAAATTAAAATCATTTGCAAGTAAGTTACACGCTTATTTGTTGCAACACAGTGTTATTCCACCTAGTCCCGGATACCAAAGCATCATCAATATGATTGCTGTTGATATCACAAAGAAAGGAGAACGAAGAAAGTTACGTAATGCTGAAATCAAGAAATTGCAAAACATATTGCTGCATTTAGATGAAAAACGACAGTTTTTGATTGGTCAAGCTAACAGCTATAAGAAGTATTTGGATGGGTGTATGAATAACATGGCTGAACGTAGAGGAAAGAAACAGAAATTCGTCTTTCCATTTACCAAACAGTATTTCCATATGAAGTACTTGAAAAGTCATGGACTTGTTCCCAAATTTGGATCCTTCAAGTATTCTGCAAAAACTTTATATGATCGTGGTATCATTCTAGATCTATCTGGTGTTTCTAAGAAGTTGTATGCTCGCATTACTTTAATTTTATCGATGGATCGTGCCGGCATCATTACCTTTGAAGGGTATTTTCCTCTTATGAATACGCAAGAATTACGTGTTGATGTACAATATGAAGAACTTTTGCAGACGCAGTACGAATGTGTCCAGACAATGAAAGTGCTGGATGGCATGGCTACTGTTAACGTTAATCTTCTCATTTATTTGATCAACAAAAGTAAGTTATTGTAATATATCTTGTAAATACCATATATCTAATGGAATTCTCTTACAGATTTTATCATACGGCATAAAAACTTTGTGTATACCCTCTCATATTTTTTTTTTTTTTTTTTTGATTAGATATTGTACCTGTATATATAACATTAGTATTTAATAAAATATACCATAGCATTATAATTTACCATCGTTTTATCTTTATCAATAGACAATAGATCTTCCATAAATAGATAGATACAAACATGGCTGGTGTTTTGGCTAGTCATTATATTGTCTTATAAGATATAGGATGATAATTATTCAAATAGGTTATACCTTCTTAAGGTAAGTCTAAGCTAGCATTACACAGGTATGATATTTTATACAAATGATTACAGCATACTTCACAAAAGAAATTCTATCAACATTTGAATTCCACGATGTTTTTCTCTTACAGAATCGAGCTAGCCAACCTGCGAATCAAGTTTGCGTCTCCATTGATGATTTTTTTTTTTTTTTTTTTTTTTTGGTTGTGTAGGCGTGACACAAATAATTTATCCGAAATCAAGTATTTTTAGCATTTATAAAAAGTCACCTCATTATTTAAGCTTTTACTTCTTTGCTTCAGCCCAAAAATATAAAAGACCGTTCTAAAAATATTTTTTTCCTTTCTTCAAAATCTTTTTCTTTTTTTATTTATTTTAAAATGAAAACAGCTTGGTATCTATTGTAGGGGCCGTGAGTTACTTCCTTGGTTCAGTAACAGCTCAGAATAACGAATCACCTTTTCATTGGTCTGACAGTCAAAATGTTATTTCACCATTCGCGAAATCAGGCAAAATGGAAGCCATCGGTAGAACAGGTGTAGCAGCTATGCACGCAGTTCTTCTAAAGTAATAATTAAAAAAACAATTCCCCTGAAAAAAAAAACTAATTTTTTTCTTGCGTAGCGAAAAGACTATTTTAATTATTGACAAAGGTAAGAAAAATAAAATATGCAAAAACAGAGGCAATTTCTCAACTCCCCTTTAAATTAGCCGAGTGGAACGAAGCTCAATTTGACTCCGGTCAAAGCGCCTTTCAGTTCAATATGATTTGGATACAAATACATACCGTCCCTTGCCATTAGAAACCAATACTTTTTGCTCTGCGGGTGGTTTTTTGAGTAACGGCAGCTTATCAGCACTGGTGGTGGCGAAAAGCGTGGACGTGATTGGAAGGCTGAGCCAGGTTGGCAGTCTATTCGTCATTTTACTCCATGCACAGATAATTCCTGTTTATGGGATGAGTACAAAACCGGGAAAATGACCGCTAATCGTTGGTATCCAACTGTGGAACAATTACCTGAAGGTGATTTGTTTATTATCGGCGGTTCAACAAAAGGTACAGCTGTCAATCGTGCTGAGGTCAATGTTCCTTCGTATGAATTTTGGCCTCCAAGACCTGAAGGCGAAGTTCCATTCAAATTTTTAATTGAGACTATGCCATACAATTTATATCCTTTTGTATTTGTCTTGCCCGATGGTAATTTGTTATTTTGCAAACAAGAAATCGATTATCTATGATTACAAAAGCAAAAGATTGTAAAGGAACTTCCAAAATACCTGGTAATCCTCGTTCCTATCCTTTGACAGGTGGTGCTATTATGCTTCCTCTTGACCCTAAAAACAACTACAATGTGGAAATATTAATTTGTGGTGGATCTGAACGTATGAAGCGAGACGCTACTGCTGATGATACTTGTGGTCGTATCAACTTAGGAGACGCTAACCCTCAATGGAAGATGGAAAGCTTTATTCACAAGCGTTTGATGCCTGATGGTGTTATTATGGCTGATGGAAATGTGCTCTGGGTCAATGGCTGTCAACGTGGTGGGCGGGATACAATGGCCGTAATCATGATGCTACTGTAGATCCTCTTATTTATACACCACAGCTCCCATTAACAAGCGTTGGACTCAAAACTTAGCCAACACTGACATTGCACGTATGTATCATTCAGTCGCACTAACATTACCCGATGGTCGCGTATGGATTGCTGGCTCCAATAATGTTGATCCCCCAGATATCAATGCTGAATATCCAACAGAATTCCGAGTTGAATACTTCTCTCCTCCATACCTTTTTAAAACCGCTACCGCCCACTGATCTCTCATGTTCCTCGTATGTCACCTATGATGAGTCATTCGACATTCTTTTAAATCTGGAAAATTTAGCTGCTAAAGACACTGACCCAGCAAGCAAGATCCGCGTTGGTTTATTGCGTACCGGTTTCAGTACTCACTCTATGCATATGTCTCAACGTTATGTATTTTTAAATCATGAAGTATCTAACGATTTACAGAGCCTCAAAATTACTGCTCTCCCCATGCTGCCATTTATCCTCCAGGTGCGGGTATGCTTTATGTTCTTTATGATGGCGTACCTTCTAACGGCACTGAAATCTTTATTGAACGCATCTCTCCGATTTACAAATTTAATACTATTTGATTAGTCTGCTCCATACCATTACCTCTGCTAAATAATCCATTTTTCTCATTGCCATATAACTTTTCATTTTAACATTAAATTTCTTTTTCATATCTAAACCAAATCCACTGATAATTGAGGTCTTTCTTGACAGATGAATTTGATACAATACAAGCGAAATATTAATTAATAGAATTAATACAGTATCGACTGTCTGCTTGATTAGTTATGTTAACCACCGCATTCATTTGTGTGATAATTACACCCTAAAATAAATCAGCAATCAAAATGTTTTTTTGATCGATATTGGCGATATCGCTCAAAAAATCGAAAATATCGATATCTCCGATATTTTTGATTTTTTGATCGCTGATCGCAAAGCCAAATTTTCAAATCTCTATAAAAACAACCTATACATAAATAAATAGATGTAGCAATACCATGTTAATAGATAAACGTAATTTTTTAAAGAAAAAAAATGTTTATGGGGATGATAGCCAGGGTAAGAAAAAGACAACTTCAGATTACGTAAGTAAAATGAGAAAAGGGGACATGTGACTGTGGGTTTTAATGATTTTCCAACACTGCTGGTAATACTACTCTTATCGACTTTGAAAGCCTTACCAGTTTTTATTGAATATTTGTTGTTAGACCTGTCGACCCCATTCACCAACCCAATAGTAGACACAAGGTCCTTTGCATCAAAGACGACAATTTTTTTTTGCTCTGCCTCATCATGCGCGGGATGGCCTTTGAATAAGGGGAAACGTCATGATTCTTTATAACTTCACCAAAAACGAAGTTCGAGCCTGGAGTACTTTCTTAATATGTAAAGTCAAAAAAGAACAAGCGTTTACACACGTACCAGTTTTCAACAGGCCGAGACATCCAAATTACTTTAAGTGAGCACACATGAATTTAGATTTGCAAAAAAAAAAAAAAAAAAAAAAAAAAAAAATAGGAGAGTGCCTTGAATCTATCATTTACAAGACTGATGAATCAGTTGCTGTAGAAAATAATCAACGGCGTTGCCAAAAAAAAAGGAATTGAGTCTGAATTTTTTTTTTTTCTTATTTAAACAAACTTTGTTTTTTATACCTTTTTATTCTTATTCTTTTTCCTCTTTTCTTTTTCTTCCAGGTTAATGTATGTATATGCGAATAGTTAATGGTATTTGATTCATCATAACCATTTTTAAATTAATTTAGATTTAGTTATGTGACTAATAATAAACGTGTTACAACTTTCTAATTTAGGATCAGACCAATGCTCTTTGCTCGGTAAGGAACTCTAACTACTTTCTTATATCTATTAGCGCATTTTTATAGCTAAAGGAATCAATACATTGATTACTTGTGGAAAGGTAAATAACTTGACTTTGGTATACTTGTTTATTATTAAGTTAACCCAACTTTTTAAAGCTGATTGATATTACTGTTTATTTGAGGCTCGTACATCCCACGGTTTTGTAAAGGTACACATTGCTAAACATGATAATTTATTCTCTTATTAACGTAAACCATATTTTTGCAGGTAAGTGATACTGCTGTTCTTCTGAGGTCTTCGTGTGGTCACTATCGTAGTTCCTCTGATTATGTCTGTCTCTGGTCATATTTTACTGGTCATTTTCCATATTTGAAGAGGTTCATCATGGTCAGATTCGACGTTATTTAGTTTTTTTTTATAAATAAATTTTTTTTTTTCCAATATATACAAACGTATCAATTTTAAGCCTGTATCCTGATTCAGCAGGGGTGTAAAAGTAATATTATATCGATTATCGATTACCCCATTTTTTTTTACCCCATCCAACGATATTTTTTTGTTTTTTTGATTTATGGATCGATATCGTCAATCGCGATATTTTGGAAAGTTTGATCGATATTGCCAATAACGATATTTTAGAAAATTTTATCGATATCGCCAATCGCGATATTTTTTAAAAAAAGATCGTTATTTCCGCTCTAATTTGTTTGCGATATTTTTCAATTTTTGATCGCTGATTTATTTTAGGGTGCTGGTTCCATTTCGGAATACCAGACATTGTTAGAATCGATAAGTCTGCCTGTAATGGGCGAATGCGAGAAAGACAAATGGATGATTATGGGAGCTACAGGTAGTTATGATTAAAATAACTATATTTAAGTGCTATCATACTTATTAATGTAAGCTTAGGTTATCTCATTGCTGATGTGTACAGCCGCCCAGTTTATTTTTTTTCCAAGAAGGAGTCAATCACCATACTTCCAAACTGCATTTTAAATGAAAATAAACCGGTAAGCTTCGTATTACACGGTGATCACTACACACCTATAGAATTGAAAAAAAACAGCTGTCCTCTTCCAGCATTATACCACAATTTACAAAACAGATCACTTGAAACATCCAAAATCTGGAATAGACTTGTGGAGACAAGAATCAACACTTACACAAACATAATAGAAACAACAAAAGGTACTGTCTTGACTAGCAACCAAGACATACCATGCGTTGATCTCACAAAAGAAAACCAACAAACCACCAAAAATCAAAAACAACGTAAAATAAAAATAATCCAAAAACAACAAAAAACACAAATAAATCCAAAACAACAAGAAAATAATATAAATCAAAAACATCAAGAAAATAATATAAACCAAAAACAACAAGAAAATAACATAAACCAAAAACAACAAGAAAATAATATAAACCAAAAAAATGAAAAACTACTTCTCAAACTCAATTTAAAAAATATAAATCCGACAACATTAGAAACTACAACAGAAACAACAAAAACAACATTGGAATCTCCAACAACAGAAACAACAAACACAAAATTAGAACCCACAACAACAGAAACAACAACAGACACAGCAACAGAAACAACAACAGACACAGCAACAGAAACAACAACAGACACAGCAACAGAAACAACAACAGACACAGCAACAGACACAGCAACAGAAACAGCAACAGACACAACAACAGACACAGCAACAGAAACAACAAAAGCAACAAAAGCACCATTAACAACAACAACAGAAATTATCTCCAGTGAAATACTGTGCAAACCCAAACGTGTCGTAGTACCACCCTCACATATTCCATCAATCGAAGCAATAGAAGCTATCAAAGCAATTAATACTCCTGACCAGCCGGAAACTGAGTTTTTTTGTCATAAATGCCAACATCTCGTCTTCAGAATTAACGATAAGCATACCCCCATTATGGATGCTTATTATAAACTGGATACCTTAAAAAAGGAATACATACAAAAAAAAATATATGCTGAAGACAACAAATACTCAAGAAACTTCAAAAAATTCAAAGGCGAATATAAAAAAATACACAATATATACGAACCCAAACTTAGAGAGTTCTGCAAATTACACACTATTGAAGAACAACGTCCATTAATTGTAAAGTATTTCTGCGAAAGCTTTACATTCGAATCACTTGCCAACCGCTCCAAGAATCTGGTTAAAAATGGAGCTATCGACAGGCTTTTATCTGGAGAATTCAGAAGCCAATTCGAATACTCGAAATCTGATATTGAGGCTGCTGGGGGTCCAGCTAAATACAAATTGCTCAACCTGTTCTACGCAAACAAGCACCGTATTATGGTAATAAATTATTAAACGCCAATAACAATGCAAATTACTTAAATGTTATATATCATTTAGCCAGGATATTATGGCCAAATAGGCTTTGAAATTATTAGCAAAGCAGCCATCTACAAGTTTTCCCATGAAGCTTACAAAGGGTCGAGTGCACAAAAAAAAACTGGTTTAAGTCACCAACAATATCTTACAACCGTCATCGTCCCTGAAATTGCTTGTTGGATTATCGCTGAAGACCAAGGTGTGAGATATGAAGATGCAATTCTAATTATGGAACAAACCTATAAAGTTGGCGAGCTCCTACATCCCTTTGACTTCGAAGCCGATTTTTTGGAAGACTAAAAATTAAAACAATTTAAATTATATATTATAAACTCGTGCAAAAATAAAAAAACACAAAGATCTCATTATCTTTTTTCATATATAAATTGATTGCGTGAGATAAAACACGCATATTAAAAACACGTTGAAAAACAAAGTATGTAGAAAAAAAAATTACGCAGAGAAAAACAAAAAAGTACATAGAAAAAAAAGCACTTAGAAAAAAAAGCTTTTAGAAAAAAAAGCAAAAAAAAAAAAGCACTTAGAAAAAAAAAGCACTTTGAAAAAAAAGCAAAAAAAAAAAAAAAAAAAAAAAAGTACGTAGAAAAAAAAAAAAAAAAAGATTAAGTACGTAGGTCACGTGTTATTTGTTTAAAAAAAATCACGTGTTTTAAAAAAGTACGTAGAAAAAAAAAAAAAAAGACGTAGGTGTAGACATTCTCTAGACATTCTCCATTCTCTTCTCCTGGAATTATAGCTTATAGTCACGTGCCAACAAGATTAGCATACTTAAATGGCAAATTATTTAAATGGGGTGCTTTTGGAATAGTTCTTAAAGACGCTAAAACTGTCTCATTGTTTAAACTTCACTTGGACGAAACCAAAAAAGGTTTGATCCCAGAATTGCCTTACGGACTGGAAATAGAACAGGCAATTTCAGATTATCTTAGGTCAATATTTGAGCACACGTGCACATTTTTAAGCCGCCGTATCGGAAAGGAAATTGATACAAATAAGTTGCGGTTCTGCTTGCCTGTACCTGATGGTTGGACCGAGAAAGCTAGAAACACAATGCGGAATGCGGTCATTAGAGCTGGAATCATTAGTAAAGAAGACCCTGAAGACAGATTATTGCTGGTTAGCGAGTCAGAAGCTATTGCTCTGTATTGCGAAACTTTTCTTGTGGAATACAATCTAAAGCCTGGTCAAAATTTTCTCATCTGCGATGCTGGTAGATTTAATGTAAATGTTGTGGTATATCGTAAAACTGTTGATAATAATGGCAAAAATTCACTTATGGAAGAAGTTGCAGGTGATAGTGTAATAAGTGGTTATACAACTCTGGATCCTCACTTTAGGAATTTTGTTTCTGATAATGTCAACTTATTTTTCAAAAACGTAAAGCCTTTAACTGATCGAGAGCTGGATAATATTGTTGACATATTCACGAACGATATAAAGGTATAGTAAAGTAGAGTGAGGTAATAGTGGAATCATTGCCTCAAAAACATTTTAGCCACGAGTATGCCATCCATCGAATCCCCATTATGACAAGGATTACATTATTATACCTCTTCCTGAACGATTTGATGAAACAGAATACGATGAAGAAGACAAACTATTTGTTGCGGATTCTCAATTACATATGCATCCTGAATTAATGCTATCGGAGATATTTGATCCCGTAATTAACCAGGTGCTATCTTTGATTGACACACAGCTTAAAAGAATAGACAGAAAGCTAGACGCAATATTTTTAGTTGGTGAATTCGGTCAATCAACCTATCTACTTCATAAAATTAAGGATAAGTTTTCCACTGAAGTGATATTAATTTGTGCCCCTCATCGTGGAGAAATGGCTGTAGTCCGTGGTGCTGTCTTGATGGGATTGAATCCTCAGTTTGTCAAGCAGCGTATCATACGTCGAACTTACGGATATGAATGCTCCTTAGAATTTGATAAATCATTAGATCCAGAAGGACTAAGAGCGGTTGATCAGAATGGCGAGGTTTATTGTAACAATCGGTTTAGAAGCTATGTTTTGAAAGGAGAAATCAGAGATGTAGATTATTATGTTGATATATCATTTAAATGCTATTACAGCAAAAATCCTGTATTAAGTCAGTAACCCATCAAATACACGTTACTATATTAATCTAATCATAAACATATTGTAGAGTTATATGCATATGATGGTAATCCTGATCATCTTCCCAGATTTACCACAGATGACGCGACGAAGAAAGTCACGGAATTCGAAATTAAATTGCCAAATCTTCCAGGCAAAGGTCCTAATGATACCGTTGTCATCGATGCAAAATTGTACCTCTATCAAACTGAAATCAAGCTTGAAGTAGAAATCGAGAACATTAAAAAAATTTATACAGGCTCTCATAAAAAGGTGGATAATATGCCGTTTATCGGAGAAATTAGGTAGCCTAAACAAAAAGCAAGGTTATAGACGTTAGGAAATAACTTAACAACCCCAAAAAAATGGAGAAGCCAAATAAACAAGTGAAAATATATAGGAATACAATGCGTTGTTACTGATATACCAACTTATTTTAGAAAATAGCACTTAATATATAATTCAGAGCTTTGATATTGAGGTTATCCTGTTGTTGGTTTTCTGTTAAATTCAAGCTGTAAGAGGATAAGCACCGTGACTTCAATGGGCAGGGATATATATAGCAAATATGTAGCTGAGACTATTAAAGCAGCCATGGTAAAGACAAACGAAGAGCAAAAATTTAACGGTTGGCTGCAAGCGTAAGCATTGCTTCATAATTTAGAATGATGTACCTAATCATACCTACGGAGAAAAAAAAACAGTAGATAGACGAGAAAGAGGACTTTCTATTTAAACAGCATCTGCGAAATGCTGGTGTAAACGACGAAGAATAACAAAATGTTGAAGTATGAATTCGGCTGACTTAGTAATATTTTTTATAAGCTCTCAAATGAAATTTACAATATGGATAAATATAAGGTCAAAATTACACATAAAGCAGTAGCTCCATATGTGGTGTAAACCATATATTTTTCAACATTTTAAGCCAATCAAAGTCCATGCATTGTGTCTCCAGATGACCCGCATAAATATACGCACTAGATTATGTTTGAGGCTCTTTAAACAGATGATGAACTTGGTTTAGACATGGCACATAATTTAACGTATTAGTAAAATAAACAGGACTCCAACGCTACCGCCACTTATTTATATAAATACAAAAAAGCAGCCGTAAGGTGTATGGCTTATTATCACTTTTACCCCGCGATAAACAACCGTTCAAGGTTTTGTACGCCTAAAAAATATTTTAGCGTATTTTTTTTTAAACACCTGCTTTTGTCGTCCCCGTTACTGAATAATCTAAATCTTTCTTGTGTCACATATAATAAACATTATGCCTTTCTTATAATGTATTTACATATCTTAATGGCATCTTATTACAGTCTCTGAGCATGTATTAAAAATTTTCATCTAGTTCCCAAAATTATTTCATTACAGGTGTCAAAGTAATCCATTTCGTCATAGTCAGAATAAAAATAAAAATAAAAACGACATATCACACACTAACTATATTTAAAAGGACTAAAACCCTGGGTTTATTTTTCTACCAATGCTCAGTCTTTTTGTACAATATTTGAGTTTTGTGTACCAATACTCAGCCCTTTTTTTCCTTTATCCTCTCTTTTTCTGTTTTGTTTCATTTTTACCACTTTCTTTTCCTTTCTTTTACTATATCATGAAAAATACAGTGCTAATATGCCTCATAATTCTATTTGCCCTGTCAGTTAGAGCAGACGAAATTCCTCCTTGCTTTGGATCAAGTAATGACATAATTATAAATATTGTTTAAGAATAAACATTAATATTGATAGTTATCTCAAAAAAGATTGTGCCTATACATTTGACAAAATTTACTGTTACGGCGGAAAACTCGACAACAAACAGTTTAATAATGACATGTATGAATTGAATTTGAATAGCTTATCCCAGATTCCAGTGAGTGACATTGTAAACAAATGGACTTTGATCACCCCAAACCCAAGTTCGGGTGTTCCTCAAGATGAATACAGATATGGAAGCCAGTTCGTCGTATTACCTGACGGTTCTTTATTTTTTGATGGTGGATACAATGAGGATCACCCGCTTGTAGCCAGAAATATTACTTACAACCCCCAAAAAAATGTATGGACTGTGTTACCAGGACCTAGCTACAACGACAGTAAAAATGGAGGCGTTTATAGACAAGTGTAAAAAAAAGAAAAAGAAAAAAATGCCAATACCAAATTTTCTAAACATTAACCTGCTTTTTTCCGACACTTACAGATATTCCGCAGCAGCAGTACATCTCCCTGATACCAATAGCGTAGCATTTTACGGAGGAAGAGAATTGTAGGCCAAATACATATACATTATTTTAGATTACCACTAACTTTTTAACTTTACTTAAAGGAATGCTGCCTTAAATTTTACGTATACAATTGAAAAACCTTTTGCTAATCTGACTTACGAAATAAGTTCGGAGCAAGACCCCTCAAAGAAACTAGTTGAGGGCATTTATGGATATGGCTACCTAACCGAACTAAACCTCGATACAGGAGTACGTCTTAGTATAGTTGATATACCTAAACCCACGTATACTAGAACTCATAATGACTTCTGTATAGATATGGACTTCCGTAAATGAATACTTTTCGACTACAAATTACTTTCCACCTATAACCAGTTATGCAACAGCAACATACCATCCAGGCAGCAAAAGAATAATTTATTTGGGCGGATTTTCCAAAGATGAGTTTTTAGTAGGTTCAACTGATCAACTAGATCGCATTAAATTCTATGATACTCGAACTGCGGATTGGGGTGGAAAAGGCACCAATGGATTTATCACACCGACTTCCAGACTTGGGCATACTGCAACATTGTGTTTGTGTTTATCGTGGGCTTACATTTTATCAATGAATCATTAACATGTTCAATGTATAGTAAATACCGGGAATAATATCCTTGTTTATGGAGGTATTATCCAGACTAGTGATGAGACGTTAGAAGGGAAGCGTATGTATAGTAGATGATTCAAAACCACTTTTATTGGATTTCTTTTAGAGCTCAATTATTGTTTTTTAGTTTCACCCGATTATATGTTTGATTTGGATCTGAACACCTTGACATGGACAGTGATAAACAGGCCAACAAATTCATCAGGTCCTAGAGCTTTTCATTCAGGTATGATTGTAGTGCATATACCCCAATATTTAATATATTTATACTGTTTTACATTTTTTACATGCAGCTGTTCTTGTTAATGGTACGAGTTTGTTTATAATGTTTGGTAAAAAGAACCCTGAGACCGCTGGCTCTCTTGTTGCTGCAAATGACATTATGATACTTAACGTAACAGACAGAAACGCTATAACGTCTTTGAATACTTATCCCAATCCTACAAATAATGATTCTGCATCGAATGGGGGTCAATCTAAAGGACTTTCGGGTGGTGCTATTGCCGGAATAGTGGTGGGCGTTGTTGCATTGGTAGAGTATTTAACTAGATGTTTTATTTTGACAGGCACTCATTCTTTATATAGATCGCTATTTTAGTCTTAGCGGCATTATATCGTAAAAAATCCAAGGATAAAGCAAAAAGAAAGGAGGAGCTTCGCGATAATTATAAAGCAATAGATGGCGAGTATAAAGAAGTGCAACCATTTAGTGCGGAATTTTCGGGAGGGTCCACGGACGTAGAAAACACATCAGCTCAACCCATCGCATCAGGAAAATCAAATCAATATGCTAATACCTATTCACCAGATTTAGCAGACTCAAAATTGATAAAACCTGATGTTTACACAGATTTGCAAACGAAACCCAAACCTGATGTTCATGGCACTTTTCATACGAAAGACAAACCCGATGTTTACGGTGGTTTTCATTCAAAATACAAACCTGATGTCGAAGACGACTAGCACACGAAACCTTTTTAATTTAATATTTATATTAATAACAGGTAGAAACAACAGTTAAATTGTGTAATAGAAGCTTCCATTTTTATAAATTAGATTAAAGGGCACGGATAAGTGCCCTATTGTATGCGTATAATATAACTTTCAATTAAAGTCGCTTCATCCAAAAGATTAACCTGCTTATGCTTGCGAGGGGTAAGAAGCCCCCACCCCACCCCACCCCACCCCCTTATTTTTCTCTTGATAACACTCTAGATGTGTTGCATTACCATGAGTAACTTAAATATCACTACCTCGTCATGAGCAACACGATTACTGGCAACAGATATATAAGTGGATAAGTATATCGAAAAGAATGGATTTATGGATGTACCAAACTTCCTTTTTTACCTGACACCCTGAAAAGGTAATCTGTTTTTTTTTGTGTCAAACCCCAAAACTAAACAAACAAAAGACCTAAAAACGTTCAAACAAGTACATGGTATTTAAAGTTTTACTTGAAATAAAGATTAACTTCATTGTATGTATTTAGGGGTATCTGGAATTATTTTTACTTTACTTTGAATGACGCCATTTGCTTTCGTATAATTTTTGCTCAATCCGATTTTTTATATAATAAATATGAGGTATTTACCTTGTTTCAAAAGAGATAGATATAAAATGAGAGCTAGAAAAAGTGTATTTATTATTGCTTCATGCGAATTTCATTGTTCTTTGATTTTCTCCCTTTTTTTCAATAACAACAACAATGAAGTCTTTTAATAATAGTCGATAAAAACGTTTACCTCAATCTGTACTCAATTTTTATTTTTCTCTTTCATTATTATTTTACGTGTAACTAGTTCTGTTCTCAAACTCATAACACTTTATACGTCAAAGGTAAATATTGTAACAACCAATCCAAAATTGAGCGACATTTATCTAAAATGTTACTATAGCAAACTTCTTACTTCAAATGACTGCCCTTTTTTACCAGTAAGAATTCTGATAGATCCTTGCCTGATACGGCAGGTATATCTGGAAGTAATATGAGCACATCTAGATAAACAGTTTGGTGTCGAAGTTGTTTATGTCATGGGTAAAAACTGGTCTTCTCCTAATACAAGATTTCATGAGCCGATCCGGGCTTTGGATTACGTCGGTTGCTTCAAAAAGCTGGTAAAAGGGTGTACTTGATTGATGAATTTAGAACAAGTCGGTGCTGCCCAGTCTGTGAAAGTAGAAGACTTGAAACGTTTCGGATGGTCGATAACCCGCGCCCTCATAGACGAAGAGCAAATCCTCGTGTGATTAAACATGGTCTCTAAAGGTATGTTGAGTGATTTCACTTGCTAATCACTTTTTTATCTAATATTTTTTTGTTGTTGTTCCTGTGACAGATATACAAATCAAAATTGTAGAGCCATAACTAATAACACAAATAGGATTTTTCCTCGTCTATAGAAATGTGATATGGCTGCTTGCTTGAACATGATTGAAATTGATCGTTCACTTCGTGCTGGAAACGACATTCCCCCAAGATTCCGACGTGGAGAGGCTCCCCAGGACCAACGGAGAAGAGCGAGAACCCAAAATGGCTAATGAAACCTTAGAAATGTTCGTCAACATCGCAACTATAACTTTCCAGGCCTGTTATTGCAGGGCAAACATGGATACACTTAAGTGGTAAGCTCAATTTTTTTTTTACGGTCTTTGAACCAATTTTTTTTTCGGAAGATGAACGCATTTTTTTTACGTTGTGAACTATTTTTTTTTTCCATTTTGATCTAATACTTTCTGAAAATAGTGTAAATAGTAATCACATTATACATGGTATTCTACGTATTCCTGATTTACCTGCTTGTATTGCATTGTAGTACCGGATACTTGTTTTTTTTTCTGGGGAAATAGATCTGTAAAAACAGCTTAGGTAACTCCGCGTAAACGGTTACTGTTACGTTTTATAGACAAAAAGATTATTAATATGATCCAAATCTAGTACATAAGTCATTTTTAGGTTAAATTTCTAAGCAATTAGAATAAATATGTGCGCGTTATAATATTTAGCAATCTAAATAAGAAGGTTTCCAACAGATTTGTTTGTCATTTGGTGAAAAAATGTTGTCCTAAACGTCTTTTTACTTTTTATGTAAAAAGTAAAAAGAAAAATCACTGCGGCTTTTTGTACGATATTTGAGTTTTGTGTACCAACACTTAGCCTTTTTTTCCTTTGTCCTCCCTTTTTTGTTTCTTTTTTACCACTTTCTTTTCCTTTCTTTTATTATATCATGAAAAATATAGTGCTAATATGCCTCATAATTCTATTTGCCCTGTCAGTTAGAGCAGACGAAATTCCTCCTCGCTTTGGATCAAGTAATGACATAATTATAAATACTTTTCAAGAATAAACACTAATATTGATAGTTATCTTATAAAAGATTGTGCTTATACATTTGACAAAATTTACTGTTACGGCGGAAAACTCGACAACAAACAGTTTAATAATGACATGTATGAATTGAATTTGAATAGCTTATCCCAGGTTCCAGTGAGTGACATTGTAAACAAATGGACTTTGATCACCCCAAACCCAAGCCCGGGTGTTCCTCAAGATGAATACAGATATGGAAGCCAGTTCGTCGTATTACCTGACGGTTCTTTATTTTTTGATGGTGGATACAATGAGGATCACCCGCTTGTAGCCAGAAATATTACTTACAACCCCCAAAAAAATGTATGGACTGTGTTACCAGGACCTAGCTACAACGACAGTAAAAATGGAGGCGTTTATAGACAAGTGTAAAAAAAAGAAAAAGAAAAAAATGCCAATACCAAATTGTCTAAACATTAACCTGCGTTTGTCCGACACTTACAGATATTCCGCAGCAGCAGTACATCTCCCTGATACCAATAGCGTAGCATTTTACGGAGGAAGAGAATTGTAGGCCAAATTCATATACATTATTTTATATCACCACTAACTTTTTAACTTTACTATAAGGAATGCTGCCTTAAATTTTACATATACAATTAATAAACCTTTTGCTAATCTGACTTACGAAATAAGTTCGGAGCAAGACCCCTCAAAGAAACTAGTTGAGGGCATTTATGGATATGGCTACCTAACCGAACTAAACCTCGATACAGGAGTACGTCTCAGTATAGTTGATATAACTAAACCTACGTATACTAGTACTCATAATGACTTCTGTATAGATATGGACTTCCGTAAATGAATACTTTTTGAATATAAATTACTTTCCACTTATAACCAGTTATGCAACAGCAACATACCATCCAGGCAGCAAAAGAATAATTTATTTGGGCGGATTTTCCAAAGACGAGTCTTTAGTAGGTTCAACTAAGCAACTAGATCGCATTAAATTCTATAATACTCGAACTGCGGATTGGGGTGGAAAAGTCACCAATGGATTTATCACACCGACTTCCAGACTTGGGCATACTGCAACATTGTGTTTGTGTTTATCGTGGGCTTACATTTTATCAATGAAACATTAACATGTTCAATGTATAGTAAATACCGGAAATAATATCCTTGTTTATGGAGGTATCCTCCAGACTAATGATGAGACAGTGGAAGGAAAGCGTATGTAATAGTAGATGATTAAAAAATACTTTTACTGGACGTCATTTAGAGCTCAATTATTGTTTTTTAGTTTCACCCGATTATATGTTTGATTTGGATCTGAACACCTTGACATGGACAGTGATAAACAGGCCAACAAATTCATCAGTCCTAGAGCTTTTCATTCAGGTATGATTGTAGTGCATATACTCCAATATTTAATCTATTTATAATGTTTTACATTTTGTTACATGCAGCTGTTCTTGTTAATGGTACGAGTTTGTTTATAATGTTTGGTAAAAAGAACCCTGAGACCGCTGGCTCTCTTGTTGCTGCAAATGACATTATGATACTTAACGTAACAGACAGAAACGCTATAACGTCTTTGAATACTTATCCCAATCCTACAAATAATGATTCTGCATCGAATGGGGGTCAATCTAAAGGACTTTCGGGTGGTGCTATTGCCGGAATAGTGGTGGGCGTTGTTGCATTGGTAGAGTATTTAACTAGATGTTTTATTTTGACAGGCACTCATTCTTTATATAGATCGCTATTTTAGTCTTAGCGGCATTATATCGTAAAAAATCCAAGGGTAAAGCAAAAAGAAGGAAGGAGCTTCGCGATAATTATAAAGGAATAGATGGCGAGTATAAAGAAGTGCAACCATTTAGCGCGGGATTTTCGGGAGGGTCCACGGACGTAGAAAACACATCAGCTCAACCCATCGCATCAGGAAAATCAAATCAATATGCTAATAACTATTCACCAGATTTAGCAGACTCAAATTTGATAAAACCCGATGCTAACACAGATTTTCAAACGAAACCCAAACCTGATGTTCATGGCACTTTTCATACGAAAGAAAAACCTGACGCTTACGGCAATTTTCATATGAGAGACAAACCTGATGTCCAAGACGATTAGCACATGAAACCTAAATTTAATATTAATATTGATATTAGACGGCAGAAAAATCATTAATAGAAACTTCCATTTTTAAAAATCAGATAAGCCTTATCTTATTGTGGGGTGGGAGGACCCGTCTATTGGGAATCTGTTCAGAACGCTTGTGTGAAATTAGAAGCTGAATGCTCCTATTTATAATAGCACATTTCTAGGATGCAAGGGATGTACTAAGTTATCTACATTTTTATTTATATGTTTCTCCAGACGTCCCTGATGTGCCTATTCGTATTGCATAGCACCAGTTAGCTGTTGGTTTTTGGGGAAATAAATACGCAAGATAGCTAAAAAAAAAGAAAGACTACTCAGTGTGAAAATATTTTGTTCCTATCAATTTTTGGCATTTAAAACAAGCAAGAAGTCAGAATTTATGGGCTGATATGAATATGGCTCTTTCGGAACTGAAGGATGAGACGAATGTCTGGTATGCCCAAAAGATCCTTTGAATTATCTACTAGCAATTATAAATTTGGGAAAAATGAAGAATTCAATTATTTTTACCGTTTGTTCGGTCAAAATTCTTAGTTTATGCTGCGCAGGACAACTAATTATAGCAAATCGAGCCTGCAACTAATTATAGTGACCCTCAAAAAACAACCAAATAGGGATTTTGTGCGCCTTGAAATACACCTAGTCTCGTTGTGATAACTGTATTACAAGTTACAGTATTTTGTCTGTATCCAAAAGAACTGAGATTAGAGAAGTTAATTTGTCTCCAATCAAATGGTGCAAGCCTAATTTCCTAAGCCATTTTGTACCCTCTTTTTCCCTTTTCGATTTTTATACCTTGTCTATACCTCTTTTATACTTTTTTGGTTTTTTTTTGTTCTTTTACTTTTCCTTTTTTTCCTTTTTTTTTCTTTTTTTTCCTTTTTTTTCCTCCTTTTTGCTTTTTTCATTCTAATTTCCTTTTTAAAGTATGAAAAACGGATTGATTATTAGCTTCATATTCTCACTCAGTCTATCGGTTAAAGCAGATGTAATAACCCCTCGGCTTGGATCAAGTAATGTCATTTAGGATGTATGATTTTGAGGAATATCTTTTTGTTAATTTTTTGAAAAGAATGTGCTTATACATTTAATAAAATATACTGCTATGGTGGAAAACTGGAAAATAAACAGTACGATAATGACCTGTACAGTTTAAATATAAACAGTTTGTCATCTGGGCCAGTAAGTGATATGATTAGCAAATGGGAATTGGTTATCGCAAACAAAAGCCCAGATATCCCTCAAGACGAATACAGATATAAAAGCCAGTTTGTTCTTTTACCTGATGGTTCAATGTTTTTTGACGGTGGTTATAATGAGGATAATCCTCTTGTAGCTCAGAATGTTACTTACAATCCTCAGAAAAATACATGGACTGTATTACCCGGTCCTGGCTTTATTGATATTGATAATGGAGGCTATAGACAAATGTAGAACAGAAATATTTAAGTATTAGCCTTTGTTAAAAACTAACTTTAATCTTGTTATAAAATCTATAGTCATTCTGCTACTGCGGTATATATTCCCAATTACAATAGAATTGTATTTTATGGAGGAATGCAACTGTAGGTCTCAATTGTAAATCTTAATTTAATGATTAATGTTTAAACTCTATTTTCAGAAATGCTGTCCCAGGTTATACCTACAGAGCGTATGCATATGTACTTCCAAATTTGACATTTGAAACTACCTCAGAGCAACACCCTACAAAAAAACTTGTTGAAAGTATTTATGGACATACCTTCATCTTTAACCTGAACCTTGATACGAGAGTGCGTAGTTGTATTATAGCTGATATGATATTCTAATTACACGAATCGTTACTCATATAAAATTTCGACCTAGGAATGGGTCCATCCAAGTACAACAATTTTAACCATACAAGACTTTTTACTTCTCATTAGTGATCAAACGGCTACCTATCATTCGGCCTCAAAAACAATTATTTACTTGGGAGGAATCAGAAGAGATGTAGCAACGCATGTAATCGGTATGACGCAGAGTCCTGCCAATAATTGCATAACTTTTAATACTGAGAGTGGTGCATGGAAATCACAAGAAACATTTGGAATAAGGAAACCAACTGCTAGGTTCGGTCATACCGCAACAATGTGTATGTGTTAACATACGAATATAAAAAACCAAATGAAAAGTTAAATTTTTTTGACTACTATAGTAAATACAGGAGATGATATTCTCATGTATGGAGGTATGAACCAGCCTGGAGGTGAACCAGCAACGGAGGGAATTCGTATGTGTAGTATATGACTAAAAATGACTTTCATAGTATGCTATATTTAATGCTCAGTTATCACTTTTTTTTAGTTTCTGCTGATTATTTATATACTGTGAATTTGATAACCTTCAATTGGACAGTTTATGATAATCCATCAAACTCGATAGGCCCAAGAGTCTTTCATTCAGGTAAAAAGCAACGTACAGACTCTCTGGTATTTAATATTTATTCATACCCGTTTTACATTTTATGATATGCAGCTGTTCTTGTCAATGACACAACTTTATTTATAATGTTTGGCAGAAAAAAATCAGAAACTGCTGACGCACTTGTTGCTTCAAATGATATTATGGTACTTAACGTAACAGACATGTCTCTTCTTACATCCCTGGACACCTATCCTGCTCCCCTAATTGGTGATACTGTGACTAATAAAACGAATACAAATGGCCAAGCTGATGGTCGACTTGATGGCCAATCTGATAGTCAAGCTAACAGTCAATCCGACGCTGATAAACATAAGGGTCTCTCTGCTGGTGCTATTACTGGGATAGCGGTTGGTAGTGTGGCAGTGGTACGATAGAAGCAAATTCTCTTCCGATGTTTTATAGATATTAATTCATTTACACAGATTGCTATTATAGTCTTAGCTGCAATCTATCGTAAAAAAACTAGGGCTAAAGAAGAGAAAACAGAGGAGATTCAGGTTGATTGGGATGCCATAGAGGGTGAGTATAGAGAGGACCCACCATACGGTGGGAATTTTTTCGCGGGCTCTGCCAACATGACCAGAACAGTTGTAACACCTAACGTATACGAAAAATCAAGTCAATCTTACAATGCCCACCCAATAGCTTTGGCAGATTCAAACATAATTAAACCTGATCAGAAGGATTTAAAAACACGACTCTAAATAAATATGACTTGTCAACTTTTAATTGCAAGATACAAAGAGCCTTAATTTTCTTTGTGGTAGAGTGTTGTATTCCATAACACTGCCAATGACATGGACGTGTCAAGCACTCTATTTAAAGCTTTATATAAACTTGATTTTCTTTCTCCTCCAACCATATAAATTGCAATAACACAAGATGCCAAGGACGATCAATAGGTGGTGGTTTTAAGTATCTAGCAGATAATGATACCCTTTCAAAAAAATCAGCAGCAACTTTTTTTGGCCCATAGATAGACTACTCTGGCCGCTCTTTTGAAAAGCTTAAGACATTTGTGTAAACCTAAGTTCTGCTGTTTTCCTCGGCTATTTTAGAATAAATACTCGGCTTGAGAAAGTTTTATGTATTATACGGATCCAGTGATAAATAAACTTAAATACATGGTCCACATAAATTGTCCTTTCTTTACTTTCTCTTCTTTCACAAAGAATTTGTGTGTATCTTTCAGCTTATTGGCATTCCAAACTTATAACAAACTAGAATATATGTTGCTTTATGATACAACAGACTAAGTGAAAAGGTCTTCAATACATTTCTTCGCCAAAAGGAGCATCGTTCATACATTTTTAGTTTAAGAGGAGTTGATCCGGTCATTCAAGCAACATACCTCTTGTCAGAAGAGAATAAATTGAAAGATTTGGGTTCCTCGACTATTGCACTGGACTTTGAACTGAATTAGAAATATGGTTTTTTAAATTGAGAACATGGTTTTTAGACCACTCTGAGGTGATTTTACATGTGTGCTATTTTGGCCATCCAAATGACAAGGAGGTCGAGTGCACAAAGAGACTAAATTCCTCACGGTTGTACTTGGGTAGGTTTCTCTACGTAAATTTGCTAGCAAATCTCTTCTATTTTTCATAATTAAAAACACGATATCTTATATGTGCTTATAAAATGTATTGCTATATAATATTAAATGTTGCGGTAAATGTATGGTACCAAAGTCTTGTTTTCTTTGATGTTCTGCTGATTGAAAAAATATTTATATTGGTATGGTGGGTAAGCGAAATAGTACCTCAGAAAGAGTTTTAGTGTCATTTGGTGACTATAGTTATGTAAAAAACATATTCATAAGCATCGAGGCACAGTTTTGTGTGATTTATGTCTAATTATACATAGGACACACAGCTATGATATGCCAAAAATATTAAGTGTGCAATAGAAAAAAACCCAGACAAAACGAGAAAGACAATTTGATCATCGAATAGCATCTTAACGTATTTTTGACTATTATCTTCTCTTTAACGAAGTCTCTAAGTATATAGATGATAAATCCGATGATATTTATTGGGTTGTGGGTGATTTGAACATATCTGGGGAATACAAATACGTGAAAAAACTTATTTGTAATTAAATTAAAAAAAAAAAAAAAATGCTCAAGTATGGATTCGATTGACCTGCAAAATGTTTTTCATATATTCCAAATGACATTTATATATGGAGACAAGATTACAGTTAAAGCAGTAACTCCATATGGGCATAGACCATACCTTTTTTCAAAAGACCCTAAACCAATCAAATCCCATCCATAATGTTTGTAGGTTACCCGAGTAAATAGATACAATAAATCATGGTGTATGTGTGTGAAAACCAAAAAAGTCTTTATCTAAAAAGTATGTGATGACTATGTATCCAAAAACCTTTAAACAGATGATGAACGTAGTGCACACATGGCTCATACTTCGACCGAATTATAAATAGAACATTTAGCAAGTTGCGATCCGTTACTGACACCACGCACATAATTAGATTCCCCGTGATTACTTGTGGATCATATCCAATGACCATTTATGTGCTTTATGACCTCTAGGATTGTATAAGCCCCCCAAAAAAAGTAACGTCGAATTCTTTCCTAACAAGTGCAAATTTGAGGGAAATAAAGAATATAACTATTTTTATTTTGTAAAAATAAAGCTGGACTAGATATTATTGACCTTTAAAAAAAGCCAATTGGGGATTCTGTGCGCCTCCAAATACACCTGGTCTTGATGTGGTCATTACTGAATAATACAATAATGTTGTTTACGCCATATAATAAACACGACATATTTTATTTTCTGTCAATTATTTAATCTTTTTGTCGCTCTGTTTGGATTTAGTCTCCAATTATATAGTTTGGATTTTTATTAAAATACAAATGTGTTTTTAGCTTGTTGTATGACGTTGCAGATAGGCGAAGCACATCCAATTCGGCAAATGGCGCCATATATGGTATCTTTATTGGGAGATACAGTCGTTGAAACTCCACAACAGAACGGAAATTACATGCATGCTTTGTAAATCACTGCTTATTGTATTGGGTACATCAAGTTGATTGCTTTCATGACAAAATAATTAGAAATGGAGAAGGTATAGATAGTCATAGTTGGTCTCCAGGAGAAAGGCGCAGGTCTCATTTTCCTAAGCCGTTTTGTACCCTTTTTTTTCTTCTCTTGTACCTTTCTTGTGTCTTTTTTGAACCCTTTTTAGTATTCTTTGTTCTTTCTAATTTTATATTTTCTTTTCTTTCCTTTTTTTTTTATCTTGTATTCTTATTTAATCATGAAGAGCGGATTGCTTATAAACTTTATCCTCGCACTCACTCTGTCGGTTAAAGCAGATGTAATAGCCCCTCGGTTTGGATCAAGTAATGTCATTTAGGATGTATATTTTAAGGGATATTTGTATATTAATATTTTAAAAAAGAATGCGCCTATACATTTAGTAAAATCTACTGCTATGGTGGAAAACTGGAAAATAAACAGTACAGTAATGATCTGTATAGTTTAAATATAAACAGTTTATCATCTGGACCTGTAAGTGATATGATAAGCAAATGGGAATTGGTCACTGCAAATAAAAGCCTAGATATTCCTCCAAACGAATACAGATATAAGAGCCAGTTTGTTCTATTACCTGATGGTTCAATGTTTTTTGGCGGTGGTTATAATGAGGATAATCCTCTTGTAGCTCAAAATGTTACATACAATCCTCAAAAAAATGCCTGGACTGTAATGCCCGGTCCTAGTTACAACGATGTCGAAAATGGAGGCTATAGACAAATGTAAAAAAAAGAGAATTATTTAAGTATTAACATTTTTTTAAATTTAACTTTGATATTGTTATAACATATATAGTTATTCTGGTACTGCAGTATATCTGCCTTCAGTCAATAGAGTTGCATTTTTTGGAGGAAGACAATTGTAGGTCACAAGTGTACTTCGTATTCCAAACATTAATCTTTAAACTTAATTTTAAGAAATGCTGCTCTCAACTCTAACTATACATTTGGTCAGTTCCAAATTCCTAATATATCTTACGAAACTATCTCAGAGCAAAACCCCACAAAAAAACTCGTTGAAAGTATTTATGGATATGGATTTTACACCGAACTGAACCTTGATACAAGAGTGTGTAGTTATATTATAACTAATATAATATTTACATTACAAGAATTGTTACTCATGTACACTTTCTGTCTAGGAATGGACTACTCCAGATGCAAATGATTTCTTGGTGAACAACATTCCGCTTTTAATTAGTGACCAAACGGTTACATATCATCCCACCACAAGAAAAGTTGTTTACGTGGGAGGGGTCAGAAGAGGATCTGTGGAAACGGGTTACACGGAAAATCCTGGTAATGTCTTAACTTTTGATACTATAAATTCAAATTGGAAAATACAAGAAACTACTGGAATAAGCAGACCAACTGCTAGGCTTGGTCATACTACAACAATGTGTATGTGCTTAACAAAAATCTATGTAAAACCAATGAATAATTAACAAGTTTTGACTATAGTAAATACAGGAGATGATATTCTCGTTTATGGGGGTATGGACAAGCCTGGAAGTGAAGTAGACGTAGAAGGAATTCGTATGTGTAGTGGATAACCAAAAATCACTTTCATAATATGATATCTAAAGCTTAGTTCTTACTTTTTTATTTTTTAGTTTCTGCTGATTATTTGTATACTCTGAATTTGATAGCCTTTAGATGGACAGCTTATGATAGACCCTCTAACTCAATAGGCCCTAGAGTCTATCATTCAGGTATAAATTCAATGTACAGACTCACTCTAGTGCTTAATTTTTATTCATACTGTTTTATATTTTTGTAATATCCAGCTGTTCTTGTTAATGACACAACTTTGTTCATAATGTTTGGCAGGAAAAAATCAGAGACTGCTGACGCACTTGTTGCTGCTAATGACATTATGCTACTTAACGTAACAAATATGTCATTTTTTTCGTCTTTGGACACCTATCCCGCTCCCACGATTGTTGATCCTGCGACAAATCAAACGAGTACAAAGGGCCAAGCTGATGGTCAATCTGATAGCCAATCTGATAACCAATCTAATAGCCAGTCTAATAACCAATCGGATGCTCATGAATCCAAAGGTCTTTCCACTGGTGCTATTGTCGGGATAGTGGTTGGCAGTGTGGCAGTGGTACGATATAATTGAAATCTTTTCCGTTTTTTTTTTTTTAGAAACTTATTCATTTAAATAGATTGCTATTATAGCCTTAGCTGCAATCTACCGTAAAAAAACTAGGGCTAAAGAAGAGAAAATAAAGGAGATTCAGGTTGATTGGGATGTCATAGATGGTGAATATAGGGAGGACCCACCATACGGAGGTAGATTTTCCGCTGGCTCTGCAAACATGTCCAGCACAGTTGTAACACCTAACGTATACGAAAAACCAGGCCAACCTTACAATACCTACTCACTAGCTTTGGCAGATTCGAACTTGATAAGACCTGATCATAAGGATGTATAATTACAAAAATAAAAAATATGATCTATTAATTTTTACATAAAGCCTTAAATTTCTTTGTGGGAGGATGAATCTAACTTAAACCTGTGCGTCTTTGGCAGCCTTTATTAAAATAAAAATCCTTACCCACAATCATTCCAAACATAATGCATGTAAAAAAGAATTTCTTGAACAGGAATTATGAATCAATTAAAGGGCTCTTCAAAGAGCGTCCACTGTTTACTTTTTATTTATTTTTTAATTTTTTAACGTCTGATCTTGGGACTTAATCTCCTTAACTCATCGCAATTCTTTAATTTCATGTTTGCTGCCTTTTTATAAGCCTTTTCGTTACGACCTACGATACCAAATAACACACCATCAGCCTGAGTCATAAGATTATCTCTATGCCTTTGTTCTGAATGACAGCTTGTTCTTAACTCTCCTAACCAATCTGACTCGATTTGACGTTCTGTTCTAGAAAACTTGTGCATATTATTTTTGACGGTTGTATCAAAAACCTTTGGGTTCACGTAATAATTAATATTGTTTGCTCTTGTGTTTCTGACATTGGTATTTGTCTGTGAAGGACGGAAGGTATAAAGTGGTTCACCTTCAAATGCAAACAGAATGGCAAAGATCGCTAGAATGGCAATTAAAATAACAGGCATCATCTGAGACAGGCTTCCAACCAAGTCTTCAGGCTGTTGTGGTCTTGTGTGTTGCTGTCTAAATCTTTGTTGTTGCTGTTGCTGCCTATATCTTTGTTGTTGCTGAGCTCTCATGTTGGGTCCAAATGAATTTCGCATGCCACCTCCAAAAAACATGTTGAATAAATCTTCAGGGGAAACATCGTCACCTTGTCTTCTATATGCGTATTGTTGATGTTGTTGATGATAAGACGCGCCAGAGGATCGTCCTCGACTTCCATCGGCATCTCCTCCTTCATCATGAATTGCTCGTTTGTTTGAATCAGACAAAATATCGAAGGCCTTCGCTACCACTAGATTTAAGACTTATTAATAAACAGAACCCCTCTTTCATTTCAATCATCACTTACATTTAAATGCTTCGTCCGCTCCTGGCGCACTATTTTTATCAGGATGAAATTGTAACGCTTGCTAAGTTATAAAATCAGTCTCTCTGAGGGGTAAGCATAAAAAGATACTATAACGAACCTTTCTATATGCCTTTTTGATTTCGTTATCTGTTGCGGATTTATCGACGGATAAGATTTTGTAATAGTCTCTTCCGTACGCTAACATGGTTTTCACCGCTCTTTGTTGCTCTACTGTGTATTTTCTTTCTTGCACGGGTTCCGGTGCTGCGGCTTTTTTCGTTTGTGTCTTTGCAGGAGCAGAGGCAGGTGCCTTCCTTGGCATCGTGCTTTGTTTTTGGACTATTAACAAGAGTTGTTCACCTTGAGATGTTGGGAACAATCGAATGGACTTTTCTGTAAATCGAAGTGCTTTTGAATAATCACCCAATGCCAACGAGTTCTTTGCAATCGACAAACATTTTAACGCCTCATCTTTATTGCTTTCCATTTTATAAAGAGTTTATTTTTTTTTATTTTACTTGGAAAAATAAGAAAAGGAAAGGAAGGAAATAACTGTTACTGGTTCCCAATTAAACTTATCGTCGCCCCCCCTCAGTTATTTTTTTTTTCTTTTTCCGTAATATCTGTTCCCTTTTGATTGGCTGGTTATTCACTATCGTTTTATTCTACTCTATTTCTTTTGCCGTTCTTTCATGAAAATGAAATTAACATGTCTATCATCTTTCTTCTTGTTTTAAATTATACATAATCATGCGATGCAATAACAATTTGTTCCATAGCAACGCTTTCAACAATTTTATTTTTTTAAAGTTTGTATTTAAAGTTCTATTGTGTCCTCCCCCACAAAGGTATAAAATAGAAAGATCTTCCCAGTGTACAAGCATCTTTTATTCGCAATACGATAAAGAACTCAAATCAATATGCAGAGAGACGTAATAGACTTTGATTTACGCTAATCGTGGTAAGCATTATCTCTCCAGTAGAGTCGTCATAATCATGCTAAATTGGTTTTTTTTTTTTTTTTTTGGTACCTGACAGATTCCTAAATTTAGATTGTGCACAACAAAAAAATTTATCGCTGCTTTGAAGCTACTATGAGCGTTATAAGAGTTACCCAATATTTGATTAGCAAGCCAAAAAAAGAAATATGGGTGTCTTTACTTTATTACTTTTTCAATCATAAAACTTGTTTTAGTTAACTGTGTGCATGATCCTCATGTGTGTTATATTCCATTATTGGATCGGGCAAGTCACATTACATCTCGAATAAAAACATAGCCAATTATGTCTCTTTAGCGTGAATCAAATACAATGTTGATGTATGTCTAAGTTTAAGGATAGAGATCTTTCCAATTAAATTAACAACGTTACAAAAAAGCATTATAAAAGGAATTTTATTAGACATAGATCCCTAGTTTGCCACTGCTAGTCAGCAAAAGACTTTTTAAGCCATAGGGAGAGACGTGATTTACTTTAAACATGTCGATCACTCTACAGCATTAATAAACATAAAGCATGTGTTTTCAAGTCGGAAATAACAGATGTATTGCTAACATTTTCTCAAAGAGAAACATTTTCTCCCTCTAACACCAAATCGATCCTATATTGATGTCCATAATACCCCGACGTACAAGTTGTTTAATTCGTAATTTATGTGCAGGTAATTTATCTTTGGACACCCATTTTTGCAAGATAACGAGGCTTTCGTGTCGTACAGGCGGGTTTAAATGCTGCACTGTTTAATTGCGTCTGCAAACACAAAAAACACGCAATGTTCCCTTGGCATTTATACTGATAGACATTCTTAATATATACAAAAGCTTCCATCGACCACATCGGGTGCCTCCGAGAGATTCAATGTTGATGGGTGCGTTATGCAATGCACAATGTCATACAAGATAAAATAGCATATTGCTTCTATTCGTTGATTATACCTCTTGCTTTTTTTTTAAAAAAAAATAAAAAAGCACAAACTATTGATGACCTACATTAAAAGACAAGCCGACCAAAGAATTAGCTAATTTGCACCCATTGTACCTGCAGAAATATCGGACAAAAAAAAAGAATGAAAGGTCATTCATCTTGTTTCTCTTTTTTAAGAGATACCTGTCTAGCTGATTGACCTTCTTTTTTTTTTTTTTTCTGAGAAACATGCTAAATTTGAGCCGAACCTCTATTATGCAATAAGCTTTGTATGTGAAGTTTTGGAAAAAGATTCAGTGAATGCAGTTGGTAAATTCAAAGGGACTCTAGACAATCGAAAAGGCAGCAGGATTGGGTAGAGTGACGGTTTAGTGACTAGTGTTTTTTTTTTGTGCGGGGGAAAGGGAAAAAATCGCAACAAGGGACCTAACTTTTTTTTTCCCAGTTGGGCATTTTTAAACATACACATACATATATAAGAAATGGTTGTCCGCATTCGTCTCGCCCGTCATGGTCGCCGTAACTTGCCTTTTTATCATATTGTTGTAGCCAACGCACGTACAGGCCGCAACGCCAAGCCTATTGAAAAGATCGGTACATACAACCCCGTTGCTGATGAATCCGGAAACAAAATGATCAATTTAGATTTCCAACGTGCAAAGTATTGGTTAACCGTTGGTGCTCAACCCTCAGAAACCGTCGAAAAGTTACTTGTTAAAGTAAATTCACATAAGAATATTTTCATATCAATCGAAAGCAGGAAAATGTTAATTTTTATTTTATTTTTATTTTTCTAGGCCGATTTAATGCCTCAAGCACCTAAGCCCTGGATGGAAGAAGCAGCAAAGAAATTCAAGGAATTGTAAAAATAAAACACAGAGAATAAAACGAATTTTTAGAAGACATTCAATAGTACAATACCACCAGCTTTAGAATTTTGACAGCCTCTCCCCTCTCATCCACCAAATCTGTAATTTATATAATTCCTCCTCTCCCCCTTTTTTCTCTCTCGAAGCCGGGTGAAAGAATAAAAAAAGTGAAACCAAGTAGTCTGTGATTCAAGAGTGATTTATTTTATATGGTTAAAAAAAAAAGAAAAAAAAAAAACTAATCACACTAGTGAAATTAACTTGTTTCTGATATTATGATATGGGGGGAGAATGATAATGCGGGAGTCTTTTATTTTTGTTAATAATGATAAGTTTGATGAAATTGAGATGAATTGGTGTAAATATTCTCCAGGCTTGCATTTCTGCTGGCAGAAGTGAGTGAAGTTTGAGAGGAGCGTTTGGCGGGAGAGAGACCATGTGCAAAACCCACAGACTCGCATGAATTTGAGGAAACAGAACTACCTCGATCGTAATTATAATCATCAATTAAACTGGATTCGAGTGAGCTATCATCGTAGACAAGGCCTGGTTCTTGAACAGTAGCATATGCATTGGTATTGACGTCATTTTCAGGTATAAAGTCCCATGTTTGATGCTGGCTAGAACTTTGATGTGGGAATAAAATCAAGTTTTGTCGCTCTTTCTCGGTCGGGTTTTCATGGCTGCAAATGTCAAAAACCCAGTCGCTGTTACAAATCGAATATATCACAATCCCGACTTGGTTCTGATGTAATGGATGTTCGGCCGCCGACCCTACTGAACCAGCAGCAGGTCGAATGCCCCAGAGTTGATTATGTGCCTCTTGTGGTGGTTTCTTGTAATACAGGCAAATCTCGGTATCCTCAATCAAGCGAAGTTTTCCTAATAAATATAAAAAAATTTAATATTATTGATCATTCAAAAAAAGGACAGGTCTTAAGCTATACCTTTACGTATATCCAGGACCAGCCCTGTAGCCTTATTCTTTAGACAATCTTCGTCCCAACACCATAGTTCGTTACTCGTATAACGCGGTTTAATAACCACCACTTGTGATCTTGCATGATCATTATGGTCATCACAAGCAGAAGCAATAACTTTGCCTGTTGATTTATGTTGGATGTAAAACCAGCTTTGGTCCTCGCCGCACGTCATATTCATTGTGATAAAAAATTGTATAAAATAAAAAAAAGAAGAAAGGGCGGGAAAAATGATTGTTCTATTTTATTTTATTTCCTCTTTTATATCCGCCTTCCATTTTCTTCTGTCCCCAATAGGAATTAAAATAATGCTAGCGTATTGATCAGGTTTTTGTTTCTTAGTTAGTCATCTCTCAAGTTACCAGCATGTTTCTCCTTTCTTTTTCTTTTTTTTTCTTTTTCTACTTTAAGAATCAAATAATACCACGCCATCCTTCCTGTTCGTCATCATCCTAGTCGTTTGTCACTCAAAAGCAAGTCTAACGATATACTGTCGCACGGTTACTTTTGACACTACTGAGTCTCTTTTTTTTTTTTAAAAAAAAAAAAGATTTTCTTTTTTAACTTTTGAAATTTAACGAATTGGGACGATCCTATCTCGAAAACTATCAGTGCACTTCCAAATACGGAATCTATAATTATGCTATTGGTAGATCTTTTTCCAATCCCATTTCTTCTTTTATCTGAACGGGTATTCGTTTTTCTCTTGCGAGTCATCAATTATATCGAATATTGATATCAACTATTCGGTTGCAACTCTCGAGTTTGTTCTGAAGTAAGTAGCCTTGGAAACCACCTTTATAAACTTTTTAAGGATCAGATACCTACGTAGTTTTTTTTTACCCCGGTTTTTTTTTCTTCTTCTTTCTGTTATCCATTTAAATGGGCGACCTGGGCTACTTTTTAAAGAAACGCATCAATCAATTGTCGGTAATTTCCATTCTTGTTAAACAAACAAATCATCTCGGCCTAGTTCGCATATAGAAAATGGGGGTTGCGACGTGTTTAAACAAATATGATGACTCAAAAGTAACGGCAAAGACCGTGACAACGAGAGAGGATATGCATTTTTCAAACGGAATAATGGTCCTCGGACAACCGGTACACGCTGTCAAAATTGATTGCTGGGTAAGCCATGCCCAAAGTGCATTCGTCGGTGAGAGAGACACCCCGTTTACCATCAACTTAATGAGTCTATCGTAAATAACATTGTGTTCACATTATTTTACCTTCATCTTTTTGCTTGGCTTTTACACTGATGATGAAAACATATCCAATCGAAGATATGTTCTTGGAACTCTTGGCATTACATTTTGATGATGTAACAGAATGTTCTTTTCTGTTTCCTAATAACCTGGAAAGAGAGAGAGAGAGTTCTTTTGACTTACATTCATCTTTTTTTTTTTTTTTTTTTTTTTGATTTGAAACAAAGGAATCCTGCATGAAAAAGTGAAACACATGTCAATTGTTTTTACGCGTGAGTTCAATTTGTCACTCGCACTTTGGGTTCTGATCTCACATTAATATAACGCATCACTCACACCGTATTGGCTTTTGTTTCATGTTTCAGGCGCACTAGTAGCTTTGGTGTGGAATAGATTATAAGAACAAATTCTCTTTTCTCCATATATATAAAAAAAAATCTCACTCAGTGAATTCCCAATGAATGCTTGGGAATTGATTGGCGTTTGTCTCTTGGGGCTTTTGGATAGGGGATCCCTTTTCTACCCGAGTTTTTCGCACTTTAAGAAACTCTTTCAGGTAACTATTTCTCTCGCCCAATGGAATGATGCATACACCCCCGTCATGCACTTATCGTCATAACATCTACAGCAGCCACTACTTGAAATCGGAAGATTAGTAATGAGCGCCTATTTGGAAATATGCTTACGTGAATAATTCAATGAAAGAAACATTTTAGCCACACGGAAAACCCCTGCTACGCATTTAGATAGACACCAATTCTTTCTAGTTAGATCTATAGTGTCGCACTAGATACACTAAAATGTGAATAAAGACTTGGCTATGATGAGTCGAATTATAATAAGGTCATTAGAATATTGAAAAAGTAGTGTTTAGATATCGTGCTTCTTCTCCATTTTAATTTTTATTCATTGCTTTCTAAAAACTTTTCCTCCCAGTCGCACCCTTTTTTCTTCTTCTGACTTTAACTAGTGTCAGGTTATGGACACTTGTCCCTTGTAAGATATAAAGGTTATTCAATGACTTGACAGTTACAGTCTGTTTACGTAAAATGTGCCTTGTTCTGTGATACACAATGAATAAAAGAGGTCTCGTCGGAAAGTTTGTGCGTCTTGAATCTCGTGTTACACTACTGAGAACAATAGGCAGCCAGTGATTGATTGTGTATACAGTAATTGATCACAAAAAAAAAAGATTTTTTTTTGGTGGGGGAGATCATATTGTTAAACTAAGGGATTTATATAAATAAGGGACGTTTTTTAAAGTACTCAGTAAAATATTAGCATGATGTCCAATTGTACTACCCTTTCATCATGGAGCCTTCCACAATCCCAATAGACAAAAGGTCAAAAAACAATGTGATTAAAGAAATTAAATGAACATACACCAAGAAACTCCAGACATCTACATACAGCTTACTTTTTGTTTTGTTTTAACAGCCTCAAGGAGGATAAACCTTACTAATTATCGGCACACCGCAAATTAGTCCCTAATCGTATTTGACAAAATGTGCCTTGTATTACTTGTTTCCTTTATTAAAATAACACGAATTGTTATCAGGTAGGACTATCGGGAGACCCATTTGAACACAACGGGCGGCGCATTTATGCTTACAAGAGTCACACCACAGTAAATGGAAAATTGTTTCCTCCTTTAGTATAACATTTTAAGCGATTTTTACATAGACCTACCCGGCGATCTCTTTTGTGAGAAGGGATCACCATGGATACGATGAGAGTGGGTGGCTTATTGACCCAGTGTTTAGTTTACACGTACTTGTACTCCCTTACTACTTTTTTAAGGTTTCCTCCGGAAATAAAATTCATCTCTCGGGGATGTCAGATTACACAAAAAAAAAAAAAAAAAAAAAAAAAAAGACATGCTAAAAAATGTTTGGTGGAGTAATCGCCATTTATTTTTTTTGTAAATAAGTGTTGAACGGTATTGGGGGTAAGTGAAATTAAAAAGAAGTATGGAAAAAAAAAAAGATACAAATATAAAAATAAAGATGGGGGTGTAGCTTTTTGTTTAAAAAAAGAACTACAGATGTGTTGAACATGTACAAGGGAAACTTTCGTTGAGGAAAGAAACCGTGGGGTGAAGAAAATTAAAAAAAAAAGAGAAAAAAAAAGAGAAAAAGATATACACAAGAGGGGCTATTTTTATTCTTGTTGAGGTACAAGAATAGAACGTAAAATTGAACAACGACGTTCAAGCATACCCAAAAAACCATGCATTTGTTGAGCATTCATACGAGAAAGTAAAGTCTTGAATCGTGTATCATCAATTTCGGCCCATTCCTTTGATTGCGCAGCAACAGAAGGAGGAGAGGGTGGCATAACAGGTGTAGCAGGGAATAAAGCAGGCATATCAATACTCTGTCTCTTGTTCATCAAATCATGTTCGCTTTCACGACGACGCTTCAATGGACTTTGTTGTTGCTGTTGTTGATAGATACCACAAGAGTTACAGAGAGACTCACCATTTTCACTATTCTTCCAGAGCTGAGTGTTGGTTTGTTGACAGCTGTTACATTGTTGTTGAGGACGCATATCAACATCAGCAGATTGTTGAGGAGATTGAATGGGAGAGACAGGGGCAGGGGAGGATGGCTTGCTTGATTGTTGCTTTTGACGAACATGGAGCGGACGATGAGTACCATATTGCTTATAGTAGAGACCACATGCATTACAAAGAGAATGAGCTCTGTCAGGAGTACGACGCCAGAGCGGAGTCTTTGTGACGTGACAATTGTGACATTCTAATTGACGTGGAGGACGGTAAGCTTTAGGTTTTTGACCAGTAGGAACAACAGCAGTAGCGTTGGGAGCAACAGCGATAGGAGCGGGGGATTCACCGATGGAAGCAATGCTGTTGTCTTCTTCAAACTTGACAAACTGTTCAAATGAGTTCTCTGTGGACAAATCATTTTGCTGATACATGGCAGCAAGAGATTGGAGAACCGACATTGGCAGGTTTTGCAATACAGTTGGGTCAATTGATAAGTTGTTCATCATGATGGGACTATCAAGGGTATCCGTTGAAGAAGCTGGAGAAGGAAACTCGTTATTGTCTTGAAGAAAATGAGAAAGCGACTGGTCTTTTCCAAAGATATCAGACGATAAAAGTAAATAATCGTTTTGTTCGGTCATAGTGTAAAAAAGTGTAGGGGGTCAAGTTTTTTTTTTGAATTAAAAAAGAGAAAAAATATAAAATAAAAACGTTACTAGAACGTTTAAATAAAAACAAAAAAGAGGTTTTTAGTTTTAAGTTGGTGGAGGAAAGGGAGGAGCGTGGTGAAGAAACGTTCTAAATCGACCAATCTTTCAAAGAATATATATATTTTTTGTTGTAAATGGAAAAAGAAAAATATAAAAATATAAAAACAGTCTGTCTATTTATACAAACCGTCGGGGATACGAATAACAGATGTGATGGGGTATTTAAAAATCCAAACACCGTTTAAACTGACCTGGATTTATCTTTTTTTTTATTTGTGTGTGCTTCATGTGAAAAGTGTGCGGTGTAACACACCTTAGTTTCTTATTTTTTTTTTTTTTTGCTTTACTCAATGAGTCACACACTCAAAGACTGATGACCAATAATAGCTAAACATACTGCATTTTTGTATACATAAAAGACTCTTTTCTGATTGGTGGCTGTTGTTAAATACCTCTTGTTGCTCATAGGACTTTGCATCTTATCGAGCCAATCGTAATCAAACTGATAATCAAACAAAAGGGCTGTGTTTCTTTGCGTCGTACAACCAAGAAAGAACTGAGGGTAAGTGCTTTTTTTTTCTGGGTAAAAATCACTATTTACAGATCTCTGGTAAAATTCAATAAAGGAAAACCCTTCTTTTTTCTTTCACGTTTAGGAGTCTGACTATTGTATACACATATAAAAAAAAATTTTTTTTTTTAAAGTTCAAGTGTTACTTAATAATCGGGTGTAAGATTAGCAAGCTTTTTTTTTTTTTTTTTTTTTTTTTTTTTGTAAAAAAAAAAAAAGTTGGTTTCCATAGGAACGGCCCAAAAGGCCACAAAAATGAATTCATTGAAACTACTGCAATCAAAAGAGGAATTTAAATACAGTCTTGACTCTTCTCCTCCCCGCTCTCTCTTCATAGGAATACCGGATTAGCTTTTCAAAAGAGCGCCGTATTTTGTGTTCCAAAGAATATATATGCAATAATTACTATTTCCTACTCCACGAATTAGCCTTTACATCTGCTTTTTGCGACATACCCAATTGAAGATCTTCCTATCAGAGCACACAGGTCTCATTTAGAGTTTTGCCTCAAAAGAGAGAGAGAGTCCGACTCCGCTCCCAAAAATACTATTTACCTTGCCTCGGATACGTAAACAAGCAACTCGTACACAATTAATTATATACGGGTGGATGTGTGTGTGTATGTGTAAAATAAGGGCAGACAAGCTGTCATATAAACATCATGTGTCCCTTTTAATTGACGAATAAGAAAAAGTGAAATTACGCCATTTTCATTTGTTACAGATAGAAAATGAGAACGTTGGGTTTATAATTTCATTAAAAAAGCGACGACAGCAAAAAAAAAGGATGAAAAAGGGCAAAAGAAAAGAAAAAAAGAGAGAAGGGGAAGAAAGTAGAAAAAAAAAAGGATATTCCTCATTCTTTAAATAATTTTTTTTTTGATGTATTATACCCCCCATCTCATCTTTCATCTACATAACATCATCTAATCATCTCGTATTCTGTCGTATTACTGCCTTAAAAATAAAATAAAAAAAAGTTTAATAACCGATCAAAAAGCCCAAATTTCCCACCCTACGCTTTTAGACAAACGTGTTCTACTCCTTGTCCCCCAGGGAGAGATAACAGCATTTTCCTTACGTGATAAACTTTAGCCAAAAAAATAAGATAAAAATAAAAAATGATGCGGGGTCTGTGGGCCTAAAAAATAAACTAGTTCTTTCATAAAGAGAGGGGGCGCTTTTTAATTCTTCTAGGCGTTCATGATGTCAGCGTCATTTCTGCCTTTTATGCACGAACTATTAGGATCGTCCATTTTAGCTTGTATCTTACGTCAATGATATATTATTTTTAGAATGTTTTCGAACAAAATAAAAATAAAAAATGTAGCATTATTATTTATATTCATGTTTATTTTAAATGAGACAATTGAAATTCATTTTACTAAAAAAGATAGGAGGTTTGATTATTATCAATGCGCATAAAATATACGCCTCCTCTTCATTTCCCCCCTCATCCTCAGGATAACAATCACCTTCTTTTTCTAGTGTAAATGTCCTGAGCCGCTATAAGCAATTGCCGGCGCGAACACAGGCACAAAATACATATCTCGTAAAACCAAAAAAAAAAAAAAAAAAAAAAAAAAAAAATCCGGTTTTGCCATGATTGGCTAATTACCGAAATGTGTCATATGGTCAAAAAGATGACAAAAAAAAGTCTTTCATCTGTAGCACAGACCTCCCTTATTTCCTAATTTCGCCCCAAGTAAGTCGGAACTTTAAAGCCTACTAATATCCAAATTTAAGTTTACTCAACGGGTTTCTATGGTAACCCTGAATGATCTTACCCTGTCATCTCTGAATAATAAAGATAAATTTGCCCCATGGAATAAAATGTGCCTTTCTTATTTATAGTACCTGTCAAGATGTGCGGGATGGTGATATATCCTGGGTAACTGAAGTAGCATGTATGTCCCATGTTAAACCCACAATGCATCAACTCACTCTCTGTGTAATGCGCCCTCCCATGTGGTTCTAATCCTGTTTTGTAGGCATTTTATCACAGACAGGTACCGTCATTGAGTGCCCTTTTTGTTTACATGGTATTGAAACAGGAATAATAATAATAAAAGGACTCCATATAATGCTTTAATTAACCCTGAGGCAGTTTATTTCCTAGACGCACGTAAGTCCAGACTTATGGGAGGGTCATTGACAGATGGAGAAGGGGGAGGTAGGACACATCCACAGGTTTTTTTTTTATCATACTCGATCATTTTGGCGTTCCCTAAAGTTTTAAATATATTATTATTTAGCCTCTAAATCTTGCATTCATCCCGATACTTAATTTGATAATTCCTGTTTTGCATTTTAATATACTCATCCAACGCAGTGGTAAAAAAATGATAATTAAAAAGTGCCCGAATATGGCATACGTTCTTTGCACTTATCATCGATTCATTCCAATTCTTTTGTATTTAACGGTACGTCATTAATGATTTGTCATCCTAATGCATTTATGAAGCCGATCATTCTGGAAGGGCTTTTTGTCAATTCATGATGTGTGTGTGTGTGTGTGTGTGTGTGTGTGTGTGTGTGTGTGTGTACGGAGGAAAACAAAGTTTCAATTTAGAATGCAACGATGTGCACCTTTTTCACTTGGGGCCCATCACTCATAAAGATACAATCATATCATACTCTCAAACCCCGAGTGTTATGCTATTATTTTTTTGAATAAAATGTCATTCTTAAAAAGGCAAAATGGGTATTCTCAAAAGCCACGGGGGACAAATCACAAGCCACACAATCCTTTTTTTTTTAAAAGGAAAAAAATAAATAAATTTTTTCGCTGCAAAGCATTCTTTCAAAATCAACCGTAAAATACAAAAATGGAAGCCATGTCTGAACATATGCACGATGGTATTGTGGGTGGAGAACCATTGCAGATTCCAGCTTTTTTAGGCATGACGGAACAACAATCCCGTCTGTTAGTTGCACTGTATAACGAGACTGATCCAGAGTTTGCCAAGAATATGCCTACTGCTTTACCTGTGGCAGCACAACAATTAAGCAGCGAGTACGAGAAGCGCAACAGTGTTGGCAAGAAGGTGAGCTTATTTCTATTGATTGGTACAGCCTCCCCTTTCCCAGACTAACAAACTCATATGAATATCGTAGTTGGAGCGTGCTAATGTCAAGTGGGCCGATGAATACAAACTGTTTGACAATGTGCAACATGAGGCCGTCGAGAAATTATCCACCACCGACATGAATATTGACAAGGCAGCAGAGAACTTGGAGTTGGAAGAGGATCAAGAAAGCAGTGTCCATGATTTGGTTTTGGGCAGTTTATTGTACGGTGGCATTCGTCGTGAGCCTTCAGGTCCCGATGATCGTGCTTCCATGTCTCCCGTTGCCAGTCCCAATTTTGAAGGCGCCAAGCGTTTGTTGGAACGTGCACTCGAGAAAGGATACACAATGGCTGCTGTCCAAATTGGCTCATTCTATATGCAAGAAGAGAAATTAGCTGCCGGTGCTAATTTAAAGTCTGGTCAGGATCCTAAACTCTTGGCCTATGAATGGTACAAAAAAGCTGCAGATGCATCCAATCCTGTAAGTTTTTATTTTAATTCTACATGCGTAAGAAAGTTCTAGAACCAATCCCTTTGTTAAATTTTTTTTTAGATGGCTTGTCATAAACTCGGCTTCTTTTTGGAAAATGGTATCGGTTGTAAGAAGGACATCAAACGATCCATTGAATATTATCAGAAGGCTTATGAACAAGGCTATCCCGATAGTGCACATAATTTGGGTATCATCTACCAAGGTTATGTCAAGGATACGTCTTCTTTTAGAGATATTAAGAAGGCCATCGAATATTTTGAACGTGCCAAGCAATGGGGATATTCTGCATCATGCAATGCACGTAAGTTTACTCATATAAAAAAAAAAGTTTAAAAGCAACAAGAGGACTAAAATAAGCATGTATAATAATAGTCGGTAGAATGTACTTGTTGATGAGCAAGAATAACGAGTTGGCCAAAGAAGCAGGCAATCCAGGCAGTGAACCAGAGGATTATGTGGTGACTGGCATTGAATTGATGGAAGATGCAGCCAATAATGGAGATGCTGACGCCATGATGATGCTTGGGTTGATTTTTGGATCGAAAGACTACGGATTGTATGATATGGACAAGGCACAAAACTACATGGAATTAGCACTTGTTCGTGGTGATTTAGAAGCATATAACTATTTGGTGCGCATTTTGAGAGCCAAGATGGCAGCTCGTGTAGCACTCGAAAAGGAGAATTTAGAGAATTTTGAAAAATTAAGTCAGGCAGACAGAGAAAAGTTGATTCGTCAGCTTGCAAAGGAAGCCACACCCGATAGTGCAACACATCGTCAATGCGCCAACATGGCTTGTGATAAAAAAGAGACTGAACCAGGAAGTTTCAAGCGTTGTGGTAGATGTCAAAGGGTTTCTTATTGTTCTCGTGAATGTCAAAAAGAACATTGGAAGACTGGACATAGAGCTGTTTGTAAGACACAAGATTAAATTCCAATATATCCTATTCCGTACATATAGATTTTTTTTTTTTTTTTTTTTTTTTTTTAATAATAATAATATACATATAAACAAGAAAAAAAAAAGATTTTTTTTTTTTTAATATTTTTATTATTATTCATGATGACGATGAGTCAGATGATGTGGTGGGTTCTAATGTACTAGTATCGGACTCATTGTCAGAATCAGCCATACTATATGGAGATGGTATAATTGTATTTGTTTCTAGAAGTATCACTAAATCTTGTCGGACTGTTATTGCTTTCCTCCATTCATAAATGATTTCCTGTCGAAAAGAGTCAATGCGCTCTCGCCTGACTGGGTGATTAGACTCTAGTTTTGTTAGAACAATCAATAGCACTTTGCACATATGGTTGAATTTTTGAAAGGATTCTTCCAGATATAAATTGACGTGCTGTATAAAATCATGATTTTGTTCTTTTCCAAACGGTGTAGGGCCTACTGACTTTTCAAATGCTTGTAGTTCTTGCACCACAGATTTGACCTTGTATAAACAACGAGTGAACTCTATAAAACTGCGATCACTACTTGACAATGTGGAATGAGACATGTGTGGGAATAAGGAAGGCTCAATAATAAGAGAAGCAATATTCATTATTATTTTTAATAATAAAATAAAAAAAAAAGAATAAAGGAAGAATTATAGAATCTCCGTGCAATCTTTTTTGTATCCCCATTTGCTTTTTAAAAAAAAAGGCAGGGAGGTTTCAAAAGAACAATTAAGAACAAAATAAAGGTAACTTTCTTTCTGGATCAAAAAGAACTATAAAGAACATTCTTGGCCTTGTTAACTAAAAAGAAACCTCCCCTCGGCCTAAAAGGTCACACTAGCACTAGCATCACTCTCTCCTCCTCTCTCTTCATTACTCTTTTGTTTCTCCCTCGGAATCATCTATTTCTAGACGTTTTTTTTTTTTTTTTTTTTTTTTTTTTTTTTTTTTTTTTGATTATTTATTGTTTTTGGATGACCGTCTCAAGACATTTCAATCTATTTTTATCAATCGCCATATTGCAAACAGGGGGGCGTTTTCCCCAATTCATTATACACTTACATCTTTGGGCTCTTGCAACTCTCTCTCTCTCTCTCTCTCTCTCTCTCTCTAAACTAAGCTTTCTCCGACCAGAGTGGTTGTCAAGCTGACCGTCTCCAAGGAAACCGTCTCTAAGGAAACAATCTCCATATCAAACTCACCCATTCGGTCTTACACGATCGATTTTAATTTTTTTCAACTTGTTACACTATGAAAGAAGAAAAAACAAATCACGCAGCTTCAAATATTTGCGGGTTTCTGTTACACCATTTAAGAAAAAAAAGCGGATGCTTCCTTATACATTAAATTATATAAAGCAAGACTCGCGTCATTCAGGCATCGGGGGAGACGAGGCAATTACACCCGCAACAGTCCATGCGTAGGCCGTTTCCCTTCCCATTACAGCTCGTGCTTTTCGGTCTTTTTTCATTAAGGCACCCCCTCCCCCTCCTCGCTTACCCCCCTTTATTTTTCAACCCAACAAAAAAATGACCCAACGTAACGGTCTCCCCGGTGTGTGTGTCATGTATTTATATATAAAAGAAAATCTATTTATTGGCCCATTTTCTGCATCTTTTCTCCAACCTTGGAATTGACATCCAAGAATTTGGCAACACAACGATCGATACAAACAGCTTCACCTTGACTTAAATCGGCTTGCACATATTCCTTGGAGATACACTTTTTATGACAAGAGTCTGCAATTCTACATTTATACACTCGCATGTCAGTTTTTTTTTTTTTCTTGTCCTACTTTTTTTTTTGAAGGGGGGTGGGGAGGGCACTACCTGTTGAACAAATCAGTCACCATCTCAAGTTCTTGCTCGGCCATGGCAATATTTTGAGGGTTGATTGTTTGTTGCTGAGCTTGCATATTTCCACCACCAAAGAACGACATTTTGTTAATAGATGTTTAAACACACACACACACGCACACGAAAAAAAAAATAGTTGACAACAAGGGGCCAAAGAGACAGTCACGTTATCGCAAATCTGACAAAACAAGCATTTTTTTTTTTTTTTTTTTAAAAAAAAAAAGGGCCAACATTTTATTCGTTTGCAAATCACTTGAACTTATTAAGGGGTTGTTACAAGAGAGAGTTAATTATAAAGATTAGACGTGAATGACCATGAGATGCAAGTTCATAAAAGCGCGATTTGAATCCATTTCCATATCCATGATATCTGTCTTATATTCCAACTCATCTTCTGTTCGTTCTTGTTTCTCCTTGAATTGGGCGATTTCTTTCTGAAAGGACTCGATCAAGGTATGTACATCGTCTCGAAATAGGACGCCCAATTTACCTCCCCAGACGCCCAGAGGCAATGAAATGTACTTGATTTCACTGTGCATATCTTCTTGGGTAATCAGGTCCTGTAAGTTGCGTGCTAGTCGTGGATCTAACCCCTTGGATTCAATCACCTTAAACACTAAGATGACATTATTTTTAGTTATTAAGATAAGCAAAAAAAAAATCTAAAATTATTTACCTTCGCTGTTCAGTAATTGAGTAATCGTGCAGGACAATAATCGATGATGATAGATACGCAGATCCATCTCTACTACCTCAATAAACGCTCCAGGCTTCGCAATACGAACGCATTCCCTCACCAATTCTTGATATTGTCTAAACGTGTAGGCAAGAATCAAAAATCGAGACGCAATAAAATCAAACGAATGGTCAGGAAATTCTTTTAGTCCTTGTAACAGATTGACACACTGCATGAATTTAAAATTTTTGACCGAATTCGAAGCCCGTATTGAACTGGTGATGTAATCATCATGTAGCCCAGTCACGTTCCATCGCGAATGTTGCGTAGCAACATCAATACCCCACGATGCATCCCCACATCCGATCTGTAAAATTTGCTTTTCAGTGCTCTTTTGTTGTGTCACCAACTCTGGAATAAAAAACAGTCTAATTTTTATGCATAATTTTTTTTTTTAGCTTTTTCGTATGTATGTAGACCGTAAATAATGATATTACCCATCCACCGCGAGTTTAGCTAGTTCATGCTTAATGTTCCATCTTAGTCGATCTGTGGGTTGCTGTAGCCAATACGCATCTACAACACTTTCGTTGTGACTGAGATGAGATGTCGGTAACATGTTGGGCGAAGCGGGCTGTGACGGATAAAGGATGGAGTTGGGTCTTGAGCCAAATGGCGTATTGTCATTTGTTGTCACTAAAGAAGATGAAATGGAGTGTCTTTTCAAATGCCTTGGGAAATGATGTTGTCGAAAGGAAGAAGGCAGAGAAGAATCCTGCTGATAATCATTAGGTTGTTGATTATTTAGTATCACCTGTTGTGTTTCATCCCTGCGATTATTGGAGTGTGGCCAATGAAACTTGGGATAGTGTGGATGTCGACGCCTTGCCTTGGACCAAAGTTCAGATAAGATGGATCGGTCACTGTTGCTATCACGTCGATTAAACGAGTATTGAGATTCGGCGGTACGGATGGAACTACACGTCGTTTGTTGAGAGTTACGTCTTTCGTTGGGTGAAAGTGAGATCGTGATGCTGGGTCGAGGCGTTTCTTCTCCCTGTGGATTTCGAGAGGTACTGGACGTATCAAATGATGATGTGCTGCAGGGCACGTTGATGGGTGTTGTAAAGGAAGAGGCAGCTGCCTTCATGTTGTTATCTCGTTTCCAAGGTAATATGATATTACTGGTTTCTTTGGTCGTGCTGGGTTTACCTAGTTGATTGAACCAGTTTAAGAGCCAAGTGGATTGTTTATTATTATTAGGTGATGAGTTTGTACCCATTAGATAGAAAAAAAAGTAAAACAGAATAAGAAAAAAAAGGTACAAGGGGAGAAAAAAAAAATAGAAAGAAATAGAAAAATGTTTTTTTTTTGTAGGGAATCATTGAAACTTGTGCCACAATAATGCATATACTCTCATCATTTCCACCTGATATTTTTAAACAATCATCAGCCCGGACTTTTTACGTCCGACTTTGACAAATTTTTACCCAATCTAAGATGTCTTCAAAAGTCACCACAAAAATATTTCTATTTCCTTCCTCATGACTACCCTCTCTCTCATCAACGATCCAGCATACCATCTTCTTTTAAACTAGGCAGAAGAACCTGGTCTTTCTATTCAATTTCGAAAAAAAAAAAAACTTTTGATGAGACAATAACCTTGGACGATGGCAAGGCTGCCTTGGGTAAGTATGGCGACCAAGACATTTCAGCCATGATATTTTTTTTACTAGTCAGTGGAAAGAAAAAGTATTTTAAAGTATAACCCCCAAATACCGTGAAAAAAAAGAAAAGTAAAGGTGGAAGATAACTTTATCCAGTTACTGTTTGTTCTCAGATGGTAAGAGTTTCTTGTGTCAGTAAGACCAAAGTTATCAGCGTTTAAAACCTCTTGCCTAATCCTACCATATGGTTGAACAATGCGACACAGTACCCTGGGCGCATAAGATATAATGTTTGAGCCACCTGGGGGAGAGGAGGAGGAGGAGGAGGAGGAGGAGAAAGTTTTCACCGAGCTGAATAGTTAAAAACTGAGTGGTTAAGACAACTGTGGCCATAAGCATTTTATGGTGCGAGATAATTTTTTTTTAAGGTTAAGGCAACACTATCACAAAGCAGCTTGTATATTATTCTACGGTGATCCTTTAATTACTGAAAATCAAATTTTCAACTAAGTGAAGCAGTCCAGGATGTTGAACTTTTGCTACATTGTTACACCGTCAGAACCATATCTTGCTCGCAAGCAATATAATTGATTTATTTTTGTCCATTTAATGACAAAAAATACCGTCATACAGAATTGAGCTCACAGTATGGATTGCTTGAAGTAGTAGATAATGAAAGAAGATATAACGTAGTCTGTAAGAGTTAGTGTTCGAGATTTTTCGATCTTGGTCCGAGCTTGCTACATTTCTTTTGTTGATTTTTATCATACATCACTTCTTTGTGTTTGACACCTTTCACATATGCAATTTGTGTACCATAATTAAACTCGAGCGAGATGAAAAAAAAAAAGGATTACAAGGTATAATGCAGTAAATATGACTAACGTAAATGAGTTGATTTTGTACACAACAACAAAAAATTATCAGCTACTGGCTTAATCAGGTTTAGTGTGGATTTTTGTATCATTTATTGGAAGGCTTCTGGATTTTCAAAAACTCGGTGCGAACTAGCACAAACTCGGCGTAAGATCGAAAAGTTCCAACACTTTAGCTCTAAACCCTATGGAAACAAGTTGCTTTTCGCAACGCCTGAATTTACTAGTGTGTTTCTCCCACATGTCGCCCAATTTCTTTTAGTAAGCACAATAATATTCAAGAGGAAAAATATGATGTTTATTTGTAATGATCATTACATTATGATGTATTAAAGATGGAGGGGGGAGGGGGAGGGGGTTATAGAAAGGTGCGGGTGAATCTATGCGTACACCTGATATTTTTGTTTCAGTTAAAAGAGTTATAATCTATGATTGCTTAGCTGCTTCAGCCATCACTACGAATCGCTCAAGGACTTCCACAAATCCTTGTCGACCCACCAAAGCATTCTGTTGAAACCGTTTTATCGAAAAGTCTTCAATTGTACTTTCCCAACGAGACAAAAAGCTACCAACGGACATGGTTGCTTGTTGCGTAAATTGCGTTCTAAAATTAGAAATAATCGAAAATTAGACTTTTTTCATGCAAAAAAATAGTATAAACAAATAATTACATACTTTTCTGGATTTTCAGGTGAAACGGTATAGGATATTTCTTCAGTACATTTCATAATATTACACAATGACAAGTTTTGACTTGTAAGCGTAAATGTCTTTGCATGTGGGTCGATAGTCGACACTTCTCTGACGTATTGTGTTTCATCAGCTCCCATTAACTAGTTTTGATATGTTTAGACTATGGTTTCTCACACTAAAAATAAAAAGCATTTTTTTTTTTTTACCTTCAACATTAATCGAGGCATATTTTGTTTAACGGTAATTAATCTTTCCGTAGTCAATACACCTGTCTCAGGGTCCACTTTACGGTCAAGTACATCCACATGCTGCACATGAGGACAGTGTTCATTAGGATACTTTTGCCATTGAGCAGCAGAAACCAAGTTCCACTCGTAATTAAAAGTATGTACACTCTTGAAGAATTTCATTATTGTAGAAAGAGAATAAAGAATAAAGAATTTTTTAGGGGAACGGAAGGCACATTTATATGTAAAACTTTTTTTTTTTTTTTTTAGCCGAACCAATAGAACTCAATGTTCCATGTCGTTTGTTCCATTTCATTGCTGAGATTTATTACACTTTTTTCCGATACAGAAAAAATCGGCCAAAAAATCAACCCGGTGGGCGGCTGGTATAAAAGTGACATTACTATATAGTATAGCTCAGGGTGATATACACATATTTCCTTTTCAGAATTGGAACATGTTAGTTATTTCAAGAGAACAAGCGGTACTATATAGTACATACCTTTAAACCGCTTGTAAGTCTGTCATGTTTATTGTGAGGCCTGCTGAATCAATGATGACTTAGAATTACTTTGCTCATTTTTTTTATGTTTCCAAGTAAATCTGCAAAAAAACCAATGTCATAGTAAATGAAAATTGTATGCTATTTAAGATATTAAATACCTTGGGCAGTGCCACTGATACCTGCTAATTCTTCCATGATTGCAATTTGTTTTTCGGCCTCAATTCTTAATTGGCATACTGTCGCTGGAGCTAATAGAAACATATACCTTCTGCAAACCTGATAGCGCCTTGAATTCGAAGTGTCTGTTTTCCATTACATAGCAGAGCGCGTTATGTTCGATGCTCGCTCGAATAAAAATAAAAAATAAAAACTGGCGCATGCTCGAGTACAAAAACTCGGCACTACATCCAACCCAAACTTAGCGACAAATTATAGCTTGTAAAGAAAAAAAAACTTAATGACTTATTTATTGGGCAAGGTTCTCCTTAAATTGCTGTTGAACACGGTTATAGTATTCATCATTCAATAAGACTTCGACACCAGTAGCAGCAAGACACTTGGTAGCACGAATGGTATCTTTATGAGCTGTCAATGTCTTTGCAGCTGCAGTGAATTCAATGGTATGGTTGGAAGCGGTAGTATGAATACCATAGGCAGGATGAATACAAGGCATTTCGTAACTCACGTTACCCATATCCGTAGATCCACCACCAGCACGAATTTGTTCTTCTTCTGAAGGGAATTTGATACCGTATTTCTCCATATGGGCAGCATACGTATCTGCCATCACTTGATTTTGAACCACATTCTTGGTAATACCAATCTCTCTCCAGGTATATTTGACCTTACATCCTGTAGCCAATGCAGCAGCTTCGAAACAAGCTTCCAATTTCTTTTGGAGACGAGGGGCTTGTGTGTATTTAGTGGTACGGATAAAGAAAAAGGCAGAAGTATGTTCGGGAATCACATTGGGTGCTTGGCCACCGTCAGTCACAATACCGTGCACACGGTCAGTAGGTAAAAGCTGTTGACGCATCATACTGATACCGTTCCAGGTTTGTACAAGAGCATCTAAAGCATTCACACCCTTCCAAGGAGCGGCAGAAGCATGACTGGGTGAACCAAAGAACTCGACATGGACATCATTAATAGCAATGAAGGCAGCATATTGATGGTCATAAGAACTATTTCAAACAAAAGTTCGGTTAAATCACTCTCCCAAAAGTAAAACATCAAAATAACTTACGTAGGATGTAACATGACACAAACATCTACATTGTCTTGGAAAGCACGCTTTGCAACAAGTCGAATCTTACCAATCGATAATTCTTCAGCAGGAGTACCAAATAAAACAACTTTACCGGAAGCCTTTCCGCTTTCAATGGCAGCCTTGATACCGATGGCAGTAGCGAGACCACTGATCGCAATTAAATTATGACCACATCCTTGACCAAGACTGTATATTTTATTCAAGCATTAGTTTTTTTTTTTCCTTCCTTCCCATTGATTTCTCTCTGCTTTTTTCTTACCCGGGAAGTCCATCGTATTCTGCACAGACACCGACTCTTCTACCGGATCCACGACTGTATTCAGCCATAAAGGAAGTTTCCATACCATAGGCATGACGAGTGACTTTGAAGCCTTTGGATTCAAGGTAGTCAGTCAAAACTTGATGAGCATGAACTTCCTTCATACCGGTTTCGGGATGAGCATGAAGCTACAATAATAACGTCAACCATGAGTAACATTAAGTAAAAAACGAGAGGAAATATATGTATTTACGTCAAGACTAATGCTTCGAAGTTCAGCATCAATGTCATTGATGGCACTTTCAATAATATGCTCGAGTTCTGAGTCGCACTTGACGTCGAGTTTATCCATGGCCTGATAATACAAGTGTGTGAGTCATTGATAAGGTTAGGAGAGTTCTTTTTATCTTACTTGAGCAATATCTTGATAAGCAGGTAATTGCTCCATGGGATCAATGGCAGAATAAACAAACTTTTCATTCAATTCTTGCTTAGGTGTACGAGAACAAGAAGAGAAAAAGCTTGACAAACAGCCAGTTTGTTCCTGATCGCTACCGAGTTGAATGGGTGCCATATTCAATAAATAATTTGAAAAAAAAAGTTAAGACAAAAAAGAAGGCAGAAATTAGATTATCTGTTTTTATTTGTGGGAATTATTAAGTTACGACCGAGCACTCGACCAGAAAAAAAAAAGTCAAAAAAAGAAGTTAAAAAGTCTCACTTTATTAGTCTCTTTCTACCCTTTTTACATGACATGCGTGAGTGGGCATAATCTTTTCTTTGTCTCTCTGTCACAGAGCGTGTTGGGTCGCTTCAATCCTTCGGTTGCTATCAAGAGTGTATTCTCTTCATCAGTGTAAATTTCAGTTTCCGACGTATCTAATAGCTTATCTTCCTCTGCGTACTGTTCCAACGCAAGTTTAGTAGTATAATCCATTCTTAGCTCCTACGTAAAAACATGTTAATGTACATACATATACCTATTTGTAAAAGTACAGAATAAAAAAAAATAAAAAAAACTACCTCAGTACTCTTGATATGCACGAAGCAAATTGGACAATGCCAAAGTTGAATGTCAGCATGATGGTCGAAAAAGACAGCAGCGTCGAAACAAGCGTGATGGTTGCAATGGATACTTTGGATGGGGTGCTGTATTCGTTCGAAGGAAATAGGATCGATGAGTTCTATCTCTTTTGCTTGCTCATGACAAAGATCCGAATAACTGTTACTAAGACAAGTCATGAAGAGATGCTCGGCTGACTTTAATGATTTAGTTTCATTTTTTTGTCGTAACAAATGAACTGCGATTTGTTGTGTATCCAGCGGAAACGAACTTGTTTGAATTGATCTGGCTATACATTCTGTCGTCGCCTGAAGATACAAATCACTCACCAGCTTTATAATTTTGTTTTTTTTTAATTTTCTTGATATAATTTAATTTCATTTGTTTCTATTCTTACCTCATCTGTGGTTCTTTTGGTCACTGCTGATATCGAAATATGACTGATGTTGGATTCATCGTCATCCGCAAGCTTAATTTCGAACTTTATGGATTTATGAGGAGTGATTTTGAGTGCATGGTTGGGACTAGGCTGACAATGATTTACCAATGCTTCTTTGGAAATCCTATCATTGATAGCTATTGATTTCCTGGAAGTGAGTTGGATAAAGTATTTCAGCTTGTCAGTAATGTCAATATGCATAAACCCTTCATTCACCATTTGCTATTGTACATTTATATAATAAGTGACATTGTCCTTTTATTTTTTTGTATCAGCAAAACTCACCTCTTTCTCCTTGGACCATATCTCTTGATGATTTAACAAGAGTGATTTGCATTGTGGTTTTAACAAGGTACGAGTGGAATTCCAGAAATATAAATGATACTCCACATGTTCATTTGACTTCTTGAAATTACCAGCACGTATTCGATCCATAGATTTCTTTAACAATGGTATTGGTACGTCAATACAAGGCGCAGTATTTTGTTGCCAATTTACGTCAATGCGGTAGAGTTCATCTAGTCGTTCATATACTTGTGTGGTGGGCACATAGTCGTATGCCAAAGGAATTGGACCTAAATCTTTTTCTCGACTAAAGTTAAAGGTAAGTATTTACTTGGTATAAATGTGTGTATTCCCATCATATGCGCACTACTACTGTACCACGCTCGATAATCTGTGTAAGCTTGATTTTTGGCTTTACATGCAGGATAGCCTGGGTAAATGATATTTAGGAGATATTCTGCTAATTGATGTGTCTGTAAAGAGTCAATAGTAGGAGCTTTATCATGTATCAAACGGTGGTTTTCCAAGTACTTATAAATCTTCTCCAACTTTCTTTTTCGTAGTCGAAACAAGTTATATGGAATCTAGTCATTGACATGAGGTTGTCAGACTATCAATATTTTTTTTTTTTCTTCTTGTTTTATTTCTTTTCACTCACTCATTCAAAACTTACCAGTCCTTGGTCAGTCACATGTTTAAGCACTTTATTTCCTGCCAGTTGGCCCAATTCTCGGGATTGTTCAATTGTCAAGATATGAGGTTTTTGCCTTAATCTTCTTCTTTTGTACAACGTTGAATTCATTTACAGTTTGAAATAAAAAGACAAAAAAAGATTTTTTTTTACACACACACAACACACAAATATAATTTATATCCCGCCTTGTGTGTGTGTCACCTTCAATTTGACACTGTATTCTTATTGGCCCTTCCTTTTATTCTAATCCCCTACAAGCCCGAGACAGTTGCAGCAGGATTATTAAGAAATGAGTCTGTGTATTTAGATGCTCTATTAAAAGAGAACATTTTTTTGTATCATATGTACAATAAAAGCTCAAAACTTAACTGTGTACTTTATTTATAGTGTTATTCTCACATAAAAAACAGTATTCTAACTCAATTGGCTATTATAGACAATCAGGAAGAGCTCATTTCTCCTCTGTAAATTTTTTTTGGGGTTACACTGTAGTCAATCGTAGCACGAATCATGCATTTTCGAGAACCATTGTTTATGTAATAATTCACTCTAGGTTATAAGTACATCGTTCTAGAGGTAAGTTTTCTTTTAATTATGTAGTGTAACTTGTTTTTAAAGTGATGTCATGTCAGTTGGCATGATTTTCCTATTTCAGACAAAAAGTTTAAGCTCTAATATCATTTTTTTTAATACAAAATACTATATTGTTAGTTGGAAATGGGATTCCAGTCTGAACAAAAAAAGAAATGGGGGATGGGGGGTGTTACATTATATATTGTAACCGTTAGGTGATTGAGGTGATACTGGAATGAGGGGCAAGAGTAAGGGAAACTGAACAGAGTGCGCGCACTCTATTATCTCCTTCCCTCGGGAATTGTGCGCTTTCGTTGTGAATAAAATGTCACCGGGGGTTCCTTTTATGTATTTCCCAAACAGAGAGGTAATTGAAGCATATGTTTATGTGATACAGCTTGGCATATGCTTGATCGAGATAACAAAGATGTGTAGATAGGAGAGCATTTTCATTCAGGAATTAAAATGACTATTTACATTGAAACATTGAATGAACAATCATTAAACCTTAAATAACAAAGTCAAATTGATAACGAACGAACAAAAGGAAACTTGATGTCTCTAGACATTACTATCTTGATTTTTCTTCTCTCGGGTAAAGTTTAACTAGAAACGCATCATAAGTTAAATCATGGTGCAACAAAAGATGGCTCATTTCCTTTTTCGAGCCTTTTTACGTTTGGGTGGAATTTAATAGAACATAAGCCCTTGTGTACAAGCATTGTACACCCTCCCTTTCTCTGAAAGATCGTTGTAATTTGGGTCCATATGACCTAAGAAATAAGCAATCATTAAAATTAGTCGATCCATAATATTTTATATACGTCTTATAAAACAACATCAAAAAATTTACTTCTATGTAGGTTTGTAAAACATGATAAGAGGACCATCTTTTTTTCTTGTCACACGCAACAGCAGAAAAAAGAAAATCACTGATTACTACCATCATGACGCTATAAAAAGGAACTGAAAGAATTCTCTTATTGAACCACCTTTCTTATTTTTTACAACCACTTTTTCTTGTTTTTCTTTTTTTTTTAAAAAAAAAAAAAAAACCACATACACACACATATATATATATAAACAATGGTATTTCGTACTGAAAGAAATAGCAGCGAAGACTCAACTTCTTCTACTGAACAACATGATCCTCGACTCACTGTCAAAAAATTCACAAGAAGAGATATCTTGATCTGTGCATCACATGGGTATATTTATGCCATTCATAAAGCAGATGGAAGTCGACTTTGGAAAACGAGTTTTAAATCAGGCAGTGGCATCATTTCTCTATTTGTCAGAGATAACGATCGCTTGATTGCAGGCGCATTTGGCAGAACCACTTGCCTAAATTTATTAAATGGTGGCATCGTCTGGGAAACCAAATTGGCAGTAAATTCATTTTTTTTTAAAATAATAATAATAATAATTTACCCTTATATTTACAATCAATCATTTCATAATCGTAGGGAATGGGATCTGAAGAGGTGTCGGTTGTTTCCACACCCAGTAGAGTGTTAAGGCCCCACCCCGATCACATCATGGAATTACCACCTCACTATAATGAACAAAGTGTACCACCAGATTATCATGATAATGTCGTACCAGAATCTGCAGTCATTATTGCCTGCTCCAGGGGGAAAGCCATGGGATTAGACGCGGATTCAGGCGAAACCTTATGGACTTACAATTGCCCTGGTGGTGGGTTCAATATTCCCGTCGTTATTGTGGAGCCACCGAGTAAAGAATCTGATCAAGTTGTTTATATTGGTGCTGCGAAATGGGTGTATTGCCTAAATGGTAGAACGGGTGCACTCATTTGGTCAACCAAAGTGGCAACTACTTTATTTGGGTCGGATTATATGTCTTTAGCTACTGGTTGGAGCTCACGGCTAGCAGCTGAATCTTATTCGGCATTCAATCAAAACCCTTCTTTGCAATGTTTGGAGCTTGAACGGGATAGGAATAGGGTGAATACTTCTCAATCCTTCAAACGACTTGGAAAAACTGCTGCGCGCTAAACACGTGACCCGTTTACATAATAAAGAAGTAATTGATGTGAATTTTTTATGTAAATAGTACAAAAGACGGATTCGATATAAAGGCCACTTAAACAATTATATATGATGTTTTTGTTGTTTTTGTTGTCACACTAACTAGACATGATTATATCGCAGTCATTTATAGAGTCACTTGTTTAATCTCTTTTATCAAAGTGCTGAGCAATGACTTACCATATAAGGAACCCAAAATATCTACAAAAAGTTTGAGCCTATTTTTTCTTCTTTCTAACGGCTTTTTCTTTTTTTTTTAAAAAAAACTATACAAAAAAATGATGGGAATGTTTAAAGGCGATGAAAAGAACGGGGAAGAAGAAAGATCTGATTTCAATCTGACTTTCTCTGCTGTAAAAGCGTTTTCAAGCAAAGATGTGCTGATTTGTGGTTCTCACGGTAATATCTATGCCATTCATAAAACGGATGGAAGTCAACTTTGGCAAACCACATTCAAAGCCATGGGTGGTATCATCTCGTTATTTGTCACAGATGATGATAAATTAATTGCTGGTGCCTATGGTAAAACCGCCAGTTTCGATTTAATGACAGGGGCCATGATTTGGGTGAATAAAATGCCCGTAAGCCTTTTATTTCATATTTACTTTCTGCTTTTGCGCTGAATTTATATTTATATTTTATAGGGATTCGGGTATGAGGAAGTGTCAATTGTTACTACACCCAGTAGAATATTGAAACCCAAAAAGAACCCCGAACAACAACCCGCCACAGATGATATGGAATTACCGCCTCATTATAACGATGCCGTGGTACCGGAAAGAGCGATTGTATTGGCATGTTCACGAGGCAAAGCCATGGGTATTGACATAGAGACAGGCGAAACATTATGGACATACAACTGTCCGGGCGGAAGATATAATATTCCTGTGGTAATTGTGGAACCACCTAGTATGGAAGAAGGCAGACCAAATCAACTTGCATACATTGGTGCAGCTAAATGGGTCTACTGTTTAATTGCTCAAACAGGTGCTGTGGTCTGGTCTGCCAAGGTTGCGTCTGGTATGTTTGGAGCCGATTTCATGACATTGGCTACCCCCTGGAGCTCGCGTTTGGCGGCCGAATCACATTCAGCTTTTAGTCAGAATCCTGCACCACAGTACTTGGAACTTCAACGCCAGAAGGCATCAAACTCTTCCTCGTAGTTTTCAGAATAAATTTATTATGTATGTATGTATGTATGGCATACTTTTAAGACATTTTTTTGTGTGTGTTTTGTTCTGACAGACAAAATGCAATACCCCCTCTCCTTCCTGCTGAATGCAATGCCCGATAACGCATAAAGAGTTGAATCGCAAACATTGATTTGATAATCATACATTTTTCTTTCATTCTTTGCCACGTCATGCTTTTTTTTTAGTGTATTGTAGATAGATTAAACCAAAAAGAAAGTTATGATATTCATGTGAGATTTGTAACAGCAAGCAGCAGGAAACACACAATTTGACCATAATAAAAATGATCCGACGCGCAGAGAGACGACAGGATAAATAAAGAATGATCGTAATGATAAAAAGGTTAGGATCATCACGAGCCAATTTCGTTTCATTAGATCATTATTTGGTTTTCAAACAATTCTTAATAACAAACACTTAAACAATGAAGCAAACTTCCTTTTTAAGTGGATTGAGCGGGAGGCGAGTCTAGATGTGTATGTGTTTTTTTTGTTTGTTAATAAAAATAAAAGAAAGAAAGCGTGACGTCAAAAAAATTATAAGGTTGCATGAAGCATGAATTTTTTATTATTGATCGGTTCTTATAAAGTTATCATCTACTGTTTCGTCGCTTGTGTCACCTTCGGGTCCATTGGGGATGGCCAGGACTGAGCTCTGCCAACCACCAAAGCCAATGGCAAATACAAACATGGAACTGAGCGCTTCCACAATCTTGGGTGTGGGTTGGGACGTCTGCTGCATATTGCCATGACCCAAAGCACCCGAACTATAATTGCCCCAAGTGAGCAACTCTCCTTCGTTTGTCACTGCACCAAAATGGTAACTATTGGTAAAAAAAAAAGTCAATTTAGTTCAAGTTCTCCGGGCGTGGCGTGCTTGCTAAACTTACTCTCCAAACGAAACTTTACACACATCTCTATTTTGCAATTCTCTAAAAATAATTGGATCTGTAGTGGGATCCGCATCTGCTTTTCCAATCAATACCTGGCCTGATTTTGTATAGACAGCAAAATTATTAAAGGCCCCGGTAATGAACCTGTTCATGATGCCATCGCGATGATTGATTTCAGGTTGTACAGCACTAAATTTCACAAGCTCAGCCGTATTTTCTTCGGGGTTTGCAAGATAAGCTGTAGCATCTGTTGTTGTGTATTTCATCACACGGCCGTCTTTAGTGAGAGCCAAAGTATAATTATCTAAACCTGCAATTTGAACAATGTCGCGACCGATTCTGTCTGCGACAACATGCGTTGGCTCAGGTTCCTCCTCGACCTTGGAAGGTAGGATCATGTCGGGTGAAGGAATGACGTAAATAAAACCAAGATTTGTCAATACAGAAGAATTGGTCCAGTTTGCAGAAACCTGTACAACTTTTTCGTCTCCGTCCAGGTTCAAGTCGACCCGTTGTAACATGATGTGGTTGGACCAATGCCATACTGAACCGTCTCTCGCCAAGCCAATCACATGAGCTCTTCCACTTGAAATGGAGCTGAAGTGAATGGTGGGTTGTGTGGTGTTTGATTCCTGTATCTTTGTGGGTGTCAGTAAGCGTCGTGTGCCTATCGACCTACGAGGGCTTATTTCTTGCTGCATCTGCATTAAAAGGTGGGTATATTAGCGCGAGGGGATTGAAGGGGGGAGTATATATTTTAACTACTACTTTACTGTTCCCCACATCCATACAGAACCAGAAGAATCTAATGCATGAAATGACCAACCTCCTGATACAATGTCTATGATACCTTTATTCTGTAAACAAGCTACCTCCTGAGGAGTTGTCACGGTTCTTGGATACCTCGTACGCGGGTTACTGTAGGTGTGGATTAGAATAACAATAAAGTCTTGGCATTTTTTTTTTCTTTCTTTCTGTTTACCGAATGTTGAACTGAAACGCGTCTGTAGAGACTTTTGGGGTTAACCCAAGCCTGTCATCCTGATTCTCTCCCCACGTAAATACTCGGGTGTCCACTAACAAGGCAATATAAAGTTGCTTCCAGCCTTTATTTCTGAATGCATTATCTTGAGAAATATTAAATTCTTGGTGGCATAATCTTTTCCAAATATGTTGATCATTAACTAAATAATTGAAATATGTGGATACCATTGATAAATTAATTAATGATTTGCTATCCAGTAATATAAGAATATCCTGCAATAAAATATCTCTTGGTAATTTTGACAACATTTTAATGAAAAAAAAAAAAAAAAAAAAAAAAAAATTGCGGGAGAAAAAAAGAGAGGAAAGAGAGGGGTATAAATATGTATATATATAATAGACGGAGTTATTTTTTTTTTTTTTTTTTTTTTTTTTTGATAATTTATAAATGGGGTTAAATAATAATAGTATAAATAATAATAAATAATTTTGGGATAGTCTGGTTAAAAAGAAAGCTGATCATCATGTACTGGCAGAGACTCCATTTTCTTGGAAAGAGTGGATATTTTGTATGAGATGGTACTATCGATGGAATACTGCTGTAGTAATGTTTGATAGGATTCTGTGCATTGGTCAATAGCTTCTTGAGCAGCTATTCTATCACCTTGATAATAGGGTGAACCACGAGAATCTTCAGCATAGCTTATTTCGTCCATAGCAAAGTTATAGAGTTCGTAAAGCTTTTCGATTTCTTTGTCCATATCGTCATTGATTGTTGATGTTGTTGTTACACAAGATCCATTTGAAGGTCTTCTTAGAAAGGTTGACATGCATTTATCAAACACTCCCTCATTCAGTGAGTTTGGAATAGAGGGTCTTTTGGTGCCCGATGGAATATATAACAAGTCATCTTTACCATAGCAATTGTGCGTGGTTGATGTACTAGCTGTGGTTGCTGTGGTTTCTGTGCTGGTGGTGCTGCATTGTGATGGACGACGTTTGGGTAAGACTGGTGCAAACCATACTTTGAGTGAATTCCACTTTTCTTTAAAACTGGTAGGTGACTGCATAATAATAGTAGTATTTTATGTAAGAAAAAAAAAAAGAGAGAAAAAAAAAAGAAAAGAAACTTGGTGAAAAAGAGTAGAGTTTATATAGAAACCCTTATTTTGAAACAAGAAAAAGGGGAGAGATAAAAAGGGGAGACAAAGAGAAACGGCATATATGGATAAATATATTTATTCTAGGAGAATATGTCAGTCTCTTCTTTCTCCTGCTGGTGGCAATAAAGAACTCACTCTTTATTTCCCCTGCTTATTTAAATTCATGCAAATTGTTGTTGTTGTTGTTATTTTGTTGTTGTTTATGGCAAGAATGATTATTATATTTAAGCCACTTTAGATACATATATTACCACTTCTCCTCTTGTCCTCCCCCCACCCCTTTGCTCCTTTTTATCTATCTATATATACAACATCAACAACAAAACAACAACAACAAACAACAAAAAAAAACAAAAAAAAAAAATTAACCCCTTTTATTGATATAATAATGCAGTGGTTACTAATAATAATAAAAGTAATTGCAGTATATTTGTAATTTGTATACGATCAGCTAAAGAAGTGGTAGATAGCGGCATAGAGTCACCGTCTGATATCCCACTATAGGTCTTTCCGTCAATATCATCACAATCAGAATCGGGTTTGTTAGTCTTTATCACACTGGTTGTATAATTCGTATTTGTCAAGACAGTTGAATATCCAATTGTTTCCAAAATACGCAAGATGCCTGGACCGATTGCAGATTTATAAACATATTCGATCGTTTCATCTCTCTTTTCTGTTGTGTTGACGGTGGTATTATGAACGACTGTTGTAATATTGACAAGTTTGCTTATGGTTAGATTGTATTTGATGATCGGTATATCCGTATACCCATCCTCAATCAACATCTGTAGTGTCTTCCCCTTGACGAAATGATGTGTCATCAGGAAATCCGGTGTGGTGCTATAATCATCATCGACATGGGAGATCGAGACACCCGGTCGATAATAAGCTTCCTGCAGCGATGAGAGTACATCAGGACCTGTCATTAATTGGATGGAGTCATAGGTGGAATTTAAGTAAGGATTGGTATTATAAAGTGTGTGATTATTATTTGTTCTTGTGAATCGAAAGGTTAAAGTTTTGGAAGTGGACAATGAAACGTACATGGCTTTGGCTCTAGAGGATTGAGTTGCATTATTCAAGAATGAATTCATAAAATTAACAATAAAAGAGTTTGGTGAGTCTGCAATGCAGAAACCTTGCATATCGAAACTATATTCGACCAGATCGGCCGTAATATTCTTGGCGGGTATGAATAATTTCAGGAATTTATCGAAGATCAAATTCGGTTGAAATCCTGTGACATACGCTGGACCCGTATCGTGCTTAACAAACCAATTCGGACTCGGTGTCATCATTTTTAAATTATCGGATGGGATCAAACCCTTTAATAATTCTTGAAAAGGAGACGTACTATCTGAGAAATAGGGAGCCCATGAAGATAACATACCTAATCCATGAATCATTTGGTGCAATACAACATATTCAAGATCCACCTGGTGGTCTTCAATAGAACTACTATCGTTAGCAAAGTAAAATCCACCTATTCCATCCGAATCCATCTCATTATTGTGTATATCATGATTGATATCCACCGCTAGATCGTAACTAGCCCAACTACTAATATCCGTGTACGGTGCTCGGATCTGTTTCGCTAATGCCTGTGGGTAAATGAAGTTGGAGTCCGCCTCATCCAGTGAAATCAATGTAAACTATCGCTTTTATCTATCAGTAAACATTCCCTTATCCATCAGCTCATATCTCCTCTACCTGTGAGCTAGGCGTACCCCATCCAAACGTGCTATTCGAACAACGATTCAGGCAAAAGCTGTAATAAGACGCCTTGATTCTAAAAATTAAAGGCGTCAAAAGAAAGAAAGAAGGACAAGAACAACAAAAAAGCTTACACAATCTGGTTACGAAAGTTCAAGACGTCCGAGAGTCGATAGGCCGCAGAAACAAGTGCGGCTTGAACTTTGGCACAATGCGTATTGTCTATTTCACAGTAAAGCTTGACCTGCACTACCTCATTGATATCTGTGACATTAGGTTCTCGTGTGAATAATTCTTTCGAGTTGTAAATGTCTTGATTGACTGGATCGCTAATGTTTGCGGTAGAAGTTAAAACGTCTTGTTCATAACCAAACACATGTGGGAATAAGAATAATAAAAATACAATAGAATACATGAGGGGAAACTTAAGAAAGGGAGGCGGGGGGCGAGCGAGCGAGCGGCGGTAGGGGAATCGAACTCTTACTAAACGGGAGAACTATAAAAATTAAGCCACCCAAAAAAGGGGATTCTTACAAAAAAGGGGAAGCAGTAAAGTCTAGAATCAGGCACACAAAAAAGACGCGGGTGTTTTTATTTAATTGTTAGCCAATGATGATCCCTTTTCAAAAATGAAATGGTATTGGCTGTAGACCCTATCTCTAATGATTCTAATCGTCTACATTCTTTCATGAGACGCTGTTCATTCACCCACTGACCACCATGAGTGGTAGTCAGATGACGTAATCGAGGTAACCATGGGAATGTATCCATGGCATCGCTGGAGATAGAGACAGAATAAAGATAAATTCGATTTAAATTGATCAAATTGCCTAATCCTTTTAAATAATCTCTCCCTCCCCCTTCCTCCTTGTGCTGTCTTAATTCAAAAACTTCCAATTGCGGAATAGACCGAAACAATGCATGCAGCCCATCTGATGAAATTGTTGGAAAACATAGGCGGAGTTCAACTAAATGGTGACATTTTGATAAATGATGCAGAGAAACGTCAGTTGCAAGTAAATCGTGTTCTGTAGTAGCATAAGACGATATAGAACGCTTCACTGGATGTTTCCCTCCGTTACCCCCTCCTTTAGGATAGATATTCATCTTGGGCGATACATCCAGTCGTCTTATTCCATCCATCAATTCTGTAATTACTCCATCCATCCTACCCGCAGCCACACGCGTCATTCGGAAATCTTGCAGCTCCTTTAGATTACTCAAAGCTTGTCGTATACAAGGAAAATGACGCCCAACATCATGACATGACACATGAAGACATTTCAGCTTTTTACAAAATTGGGCTATACACAGCCACGTCATGTCTGTCAATTCGATATTCAACATCTTGAGACTGACCAATCGATTTTTTCTTAACAGACTCTGAAGGCTAGCTGCACTCACTGCACATGATGAAATATCCAAGTACTGCAAGTTATTGAATTCTGTAAAAGAAGACGGTGATATATCCTGGTACTGCATAGATAATGCAGTGATGCTAGGTACCTGAGCTAGGATCGACGATATCAGAAAAGATGGTACCTTGAGTCGATTTGTTGATTTCTTTGACAGATCCATCGCCATCGATGATAAGTCATGAGAAGGTCGTACTTGATAGACATGGTCGCGTTGATGCTCAAAAGCAAGCTTATTACTTCCTTTTAGTCTGTATCCATTTAAAAACAATCCATCTAGACTAGAAAATGATTTAGTGAGAGCCATCACCATCTCTTGAGATAGGCACCAGCATCCACTAAGATCAAGCTCTGAGATACCATGCACCGCTGTACCCGTACTCGTAATCAAATTGATACGGTTTTCCTTCAAAAATCGGAGTAAAATACTATTACTGAGTGTGGCGTAAGAGGAAAGATCAAGACGACTCCAGCATCTTACATGAGTACTGAAAAAATTACGCATGGCTGTACAAGTTTGTAAAAGCTGACATTTATCGCGAACACTGGGAACTGATTGTATGATGTCCAACAACAATTCAGCTGGTAAATTAAGAATTTGCATTTTACTAACAACAAAGGAAAAAAAACAAAAATAAAAAAAATACGATTAAATCATTATGCATAAAATAAAATAAAAAAGTGACGTTTTTTTATTTTTATATGGTTAGTGGATTGGGAGAGAGAGAGAGAGAGATTATGCATACTCCAAGGCTAAAACAAAATCACTTCCCCAAGGAATATGGAAATTGCGAATGAAGGATTGGAAACAAATAAAAGATAAACCTGTATCAGCCAAGAATAATTCACCAGTGACGTTACGGGAAGTACAACCGGTATAAGGAGCGCCAAGACATAAGGTCCATTTAGGAGTAATGTAATGTTTAGCAGGGAAAGCGCCATTATTAGGATTGACTCCACTGGGGAAATCGATACTCAAGACAGGAGCCTTGTTTGCATTCGCCCAACCCATCTGACTCTTGATCGAAGCAGACAAACTCTCGGTCTCGGATCCCAATAACGCATCTACAATGATATCAACAGGCGTCGTGTATTGGTTAGGTAACTCATTAATATTCGATACAATACGTGCACCCGAGAACTTAGCAAGTGACTTGTACTGCTCAACACTAGCTGCTCCGCAATAAGTCTCGTCCGTAATAGACACAATGACTTGGCATCCACGATTGGCCAAATGGCGTGCAGCGGCAATACCAAACTCGCCGATAGAAGTGGGACCAGCTAAAATAACAACCACAGGTGCAGCATTATGGTTATCGGGTTGAATACGACGATGACCCCCAATTGCCTTTAATACCATCATACTAATACCAAACGCACCATTTTCTACGAGTTGGACTTGAGTATAACCAGACTCTCCTGAAATGAATATAAGTATGCGTGTATGTGTGTATCTCTGTGTGTACATATTTATATAAATATATACATCTCTAATAACTCACTAGCTGTTTGCTTTGCCTCTTCCATTTGGCCTGATGTGACAGTTGGGATTTGAATACCCCCCGAAACAGTCAAAATACGACAAGGCTCGACCACAACAGGTTTTGCAGTAAACTGTGGTTGAGGAGTAACCGAGCCACTTCTTCTGGCCTTGGGAGGAATAAGCGATGCAGGAATCAAAGATTGCTTTGATAAGGTTTCGACAGGAGGTACGATATTCCGATTGGTGGTGTGCCTTTTACCTTCATTTTGCTCAGATTTGCCTTTAACTGGCTTATCCTCATTTTTGGCCTTGTTTGCTCTTTTAGGCGTGTCTATTTTTTTACTGCTATTGCTAGGTTGAACCTTCTTCACAATACCCTTACCACTTTCGAATTCGGAATAGTCTTCAAATACCACCACTTCCTTTATCGGTTTCTTTACCTTTCTACCTCCAAAGAGAGGAAGCTTGGGTTTGGTTTCAGCTGGCTTTGTAGTCGTAGTCGTAGTAGTCGTGACACTAATAATTGCAGGATCTTGGAAGGGTGCCTGGGGTGTGGGCTCAGCTGGTTTTTGTTGTTGAAAAAGAACGGAGGGATCCAGAGATTTCGTAGATTGTTGTTGCTGATGCTGCTGCTGTTGTTGTTGTTGTTGCTGGTGGTATTGGTCTTGTTGCTGGTGGTATTGATCTTGTTGTTGTTGATGCTGAGGAGGATACATTGGCTGTTGTTGTTGCTGGTATTGAGGCTCTCTAGTAGGGGGAGGTGCGCTTTGAGTAAACAGGATGGCAGGATCAATGTTGGTAGCGTGACTGTTCATGCCTGATTTATCGGTCAAAGACATATTGACAAAATCTCTAGATACTTGTGGCATGCTATTATCGTTTTGGCTCTTGGATTGTTGATACAGAATGGCAGGATCCATATGAGGAGTGACTTGAGGAGAAAATGACATCATATTATGCTGCTGCTGCTGCTGCAGTTGCTGCTGTTGAAAGTGTGCTTGTTGTTGTCGCATCTGTTGAAATTGTATTTGTTGGATTTGAAGTCGCTGCTTTTCTAGCTCCTGCTGCTTTAAAAGCTCTTGTTGCTTCAAGTATTCTTGTTGTTGCTGCTGTTGCTTCTGTTGCTGCTGCTGTTGTTGTTGCTGCTGTTGTTGTTGTTGCTGCTGCTGCTGCTGCTGCTGCTGCTGGTGTTGTTGTTGTTGTTGTTGTTTTTGCTGCTGCTGCTGGTGTTGTTGTTGTTGCTGAAGAGGCTGTTGAGAAGTCATGACGGGTGGTTGGTTTTGCACCTGTGTCGCTTCTTGCGTAGGAGTCTTGTCCGTCTTCATTTGAAGAATTTGCAAGTCAGCAATTTGTGCCGTGACAATAGGATACATGTCTTCATTAGAGATGAAGCCGCCGGCACGTTCAACGGTAGCTGTAAAAAAAAATGAAATCAAAACTTGTTATTACAGATTGAAATTTTGTAAAACAAAAAAAAAACTTGTATATGTTTACCATTTCGTAAAATGAGGTTTTCTTTATCGTCCTTTCCGTAAATATGGCCTTTGATGGCATCGTTATTATGTAAAACAATTCTTACAAAGACACCGTGATATTTATCCATTGTTGACGCGCGTTTAAAAGAAAAACTGAGAGTAGAAAGAAAAAAAAAAGTTTTGGCGGGGATAAACACGTCTTGGATAAACTCAGGCCTTTTAAATATGCATTTGGTTGGTTCACATGGGCCAATAATGTTGCCACTTTTTAAAAGCTAGTTTTTAAAAGTCATCGTAATGATAAACTCATGTCATGATATTCTATTTTAAAATAATAGCATACGCGATAAAAAAATCACTCTAACTTTTGTAAATATAAAAATTCAACCAAGTTTTTAAAACAATATTAGGGTGTGGGGAACCCGCTTCTATTGGCTGTTCATTGGCTCCCCTCATAAACATATAAAAGGTCCACAATCTCACTTCAGGGCCTTCGATATTTGGTTTTCCAAGCCCATGAAACACGATATAGATAGAACAGATACATAAGACTGATATTGTATCTATCAAAGATTATATCGTAGTTAATGTACTCCGGGTATTTTTTAGGTGTGTGATCTAACTTTCCCTTTTAACGCACGCGTCTCAAATATTTGACAAAACAGATTGTGTATTTCATTGAAATCGATATTAATTAAATTGGATGATATAGTATGTTGTATCAAGGGACAAGTACCAATCAACAAAACGAAACAGAAGATTTGATCCAGCTTTCACGATGCGCTACAGACACCCATTGTTTAATGGAGTTGGCTTTAAAAAAAAGCGCCTGTTGACAGTATCATAAGTCAAGACTCAAGATTGGTATGTCATTTTCTAGATATTTTTCAATGGGTACTACCGATCACAATAATGCACTGCGTTTATCTTCTCTGATACGCCTGATATCAGCTATAGAAATCTTTTGGCTATGATATACATTCTTACTTATCCATTGCGTGCGCCCTGGATTAATAAAAGATTGATAATATAGCTCACAGTTATTTGAAAACTCTGCAATGGTATTTGAAGACACACAAGTCATATACGAATCCAAGTTTATCGAAAGATATAGAATGTGTTTCTCCATTTTCCAAAAGACTTTGGGTAGGAAAATTACCACAAGAAGACATAAACACAGCAGAACCCCCAAAATTGGTGTGCACTATTATGCATATGATGACATAAAGACAAGCACACACATGAACACAGATGGAGCCTCCACGATAGCATCAATAAAATAAACCTTTTTACCAAACTCGCTTTATACATCATGTTCTATCCCTCCAACTCAAACACATGACGAGTCTTCTTTCGATATTAACTTGATTCTGCCCAGTCTTTTTTACTTTTTTGCTCCTGGAAGACTAGTTGTCGTACATCATTGTTGCTGTTGGTGTTGCTGTAGATTCTTGTTGCGTACTTGCTGTAATTGCTGAGTATAATAATGCGCGCCCTCCAACATGCATTACCTGATAACCCTGACGGTTAGAGAAAAAAGTGTGCTCATCATACTTGCAGTACTGACCCGATAAAAGAGAAACGTTAAGCAGGTAAGAAAAGGAAGAAGATTGAGCCGCGGAGAACGCACCGAACTTTCAGCTCGCATACTTGAGAATTCAGATCTAACGGAAGGCCTACAATAGTTTGCTATAGAACCCAAAATTCAAATATAGCCTCTCACATAGGAACTAGCCGAACGACTACTGGCATAATCTTCCAAATTAAACTATTGTGTGTCATAAGAAGCGCACGGTGAAAGCTTACGAAAGGTATAGCAAAGGCCCCCACTTGCAATTCAGTTGAATCCCATTTTAAGCTGAATTAAAAGGGTGATCTTGCTTTCGACATAGTTTCGTGTTATCCTTCCCTCTAAATCCAGCGTTCGATATAGGTTTTTTTTTTCACACAAGTAAGCATTAGTAGATCTATTCCCTGATTGTTAAGAGGCACATAACTTTAAGAGGTCAAAGAAGAAACACAAGGAGACAAAAGTACACACACGCAGTTTGAAATGTTGAAGCGGGGCCGTAACATTTGCATAAAGAAGCAAAAAAAAAAAAAAAAAAAAAAAAAAAAAAAAATACAAACGACTCATTACTAGAAAGAATAACTGTTAATGAGATTTAACAACAGCATTAGCTATACATTCTAGCTGGGCTTTTGTCTTAATAGCTGCTCAACCCATTATATAATGACTGGTATTCATGGAGAAAAAGACAATTTTGACAAAACTACATTTATTAGACGACTTATTTGACAGAATGACAGTAGACATTCTTGGGTATAAACAGTGATGAGGGTCAACAAAAATAACTACATTGGAGTGCTTTCTACGATGTCTAATTAAAACCTTTTTTATTCCTTGTGAGGATGCAGGAAAATGAGACATCAGGTAGACCAATTCAATGTCTAAAATCTCATTCTGGACTTGGAGTAACAAAAAAAAAGACGGTTGAGTAACGTGAAGACTTTAAAGAGTGCATGAATTTTCGTAGCATATAAAATAGAGATTTTTACAGGAAAAAGAGTAGTTTTGTGTAACACTTTTTGTTTTTAGAGCGATCTTTTTGCTGCGCAAACACACTCACCCACCCAGAGGCAGTCATATCGATAGTCATGTGGATCGCATGGCCCACAAGTATAAAAAGGGGAGCATTTTCCCCCCACCCCGATTTTTTCTCTTCAATTGAAACATGTCTGGAGGCGCAATACCGTAAGTAGGGCCCGGGGTTCTTCCTTTGGAGCATTAGTAACCTCTCCAGTTGTGGGATATTGGGTGTCATCAACTTCTTTGTGGGATATTGATGTTTGCCACTCTGCCTATAATCTCTCAATCTTAGGATTGGATCACTCGTGGTTCTGTAGAGATTGCAAGTAGTAGCATCATTGTAGGGTGCCTCTTCGTAGTGCCTTTTACCCTCTTCCATAGGATTTTGGCCTCATTGTAGGGTGCCTGCTTGCAGAGCCTTATACTCTCTCTCGCTAGCAACTGGACTGGTATTGTCTTAACCGGGTGTTTCAATTCACCTTTTTTTTCCTACTTCGGTAGGTTTTTTGCCCTCTACTTCGGTAGGGGGTTATTTTACATTAGGACCGACCATCCTCTACAAATGAACCATTAAGCAATAAAAACTTTTACTTGATTAAAAAAAGATCCTCTTTACTCTCTATTAATTGAATGTCTTGAAAGATTAAAAAAGATTCTCTTTACTTTCTATTAATCGAATGTCTTTAAAAAAGTAGTTTGAGAATCTTGTTCACTCCACACCCTTTGACTGCGTCATGGTGAAAGATCACTGACCTAATCTGTATAATGCACAACGTTTCTACTCATGGAGCCCGTCAAACTGTCCGATTCTGAAGAGTGACAACGAATACGTTTGAATGTGGACATGTTTTATTATATTTCATAGACTCCATGTCTCCTTGCTCCCACAAATACAGCTTAAAATACCAATAAAATATGTGTACACTGTAACAGCTAGTGTTTCTTTAGACAAGAAGAGATATTCACGTAAGCAAGAAGGTCATACTGCTGCTAATGAGATGTAACGGAACAAAAAAAAAGCCCTTTTCCTGTTGGAATATTGTTTTGGACGACGACTTTATATGTGAAGCTGTTGAATACCTACTGCAGTGAAAGAATATTTTCAAGTCAAGTCTTAAACCGACTGTAAAAAGAAATGAAGCTGTTCTCTATCGTAATTATGGTTGGTTTACCAGTCCACTTACCTTATCGTGTTTGAATAGGCTTTTTAAGTACAAGAATCTCACTATGACAAGAAATGGGTGTCATAAACAGAACAAACAAGCGTTGCTGAAAGCTCTTCAACCTTTAAATGACCGATGATCAAGTAAAAGAAACATTTTATTAAAAGGGAAGACGTGGTCCATTACCTGGAAAGTAAACCATTTAATGCTTTGAATCTCAAACATTTTCATTATTGTAGAAGTGCGATATTAAACACAACGTTATTGACTAATAATGAGGTAAAGTCAAGCTAATCTGGTATGTTATTCTCTGAGGAACAAATGCTGTTTATAAAAGTTATAAAGATCCCTAAAGGCTATTAACATGTACTGAACGATCTGAACATGCCAACACCAGTCAAAACTAGATCCAAAGAAATTCACATGGTATCCCATATTTTGGCTTATCATTTCTACATAAATATCGGGTTAAGCTTATAAATACGATGGAAACATAATATACAGGTTTTTCTAAAAGGGCTATGGTATTTATGGGATATGGTTATCTTAAAAAAAGTTTTGAACTTTTGGTCTTCAAAGGCTATTTACTTCATCACTATTTGTTCATGAGAATTGTGTATCAAGAGATAATAAGCTATTTTTAATGAGAGAGGCTGTGATTGCCTGTTTGCATTAATTAAAGGTGGATTCTATGATTACCATCTTGTCCTAGCTGCAATCACTATATAAACTGCTGATTAACGTTCCCTTTTTTTTAGTTTCGCGTTTTACTTGAGTAGATACTGCGTGAAATTCATAACCAAACATCCACAAAACTGTTCATGGGTATTTTTACACCGCATTTCAGTAACATCAATTTTTGCTATTGCTCTTATGACAAATGAAATATACTTTTTCCACTTTTTTAAATTACTATCGTGCTTGTTTAATGGTCCATCCCCATATGATCATATAAAATGCTTGCCCCAACGTGATGATTTTAACTCGACAGGTGGTTTAATGGAAAGGAAAAACTAAAAGATTTGGATCCGTATCCAAAACATCTAATATTTATACTAGAAGCAGTAGGTTTAACGATGTCTCAGATCCAATTTTACATTCTCTTTGCTAATTTTGCGGTTCTTCAGCAGCGTAGTATGAACGCGCTTTAAAATAAACATTGCTTTAAGTGTAGGTGCTTTCTTAATCCAAAAGAAAAAAATCAGTAGCCGAGCCATTCTTGTTATTTTATCCTCAAGAGTATACATGATTTTACATGATGCCTTGAATAAACACATTATTATATCAAAAGATTTGTTAAGCTTTTAAAATTTTACACGTCTTGACTGCAGTCACTGATTTACCGAGGCAAATATAAAAATATCTTTAGTTGAGGTAATAGTAACTGGGAAAGCTCCGTTATTGTACATGATTTATCTAATCTGAACAATAGACACACTTTGGAGATAGATTTGGTATGTATAGCAGCTTTATTGAAATAGGCTGAGTTGGTCAAAGTTGACAAGTTTTTTATTGTTACTATTGTTGTAGAACAACTGTGCTGTGACATATTTGTATTTCCATCTCAGATTCAAGCCTCTTTTTTATTATTAGATCAACAAAAAAAGAAGTGGGGAAACATTAGCATTGATGGGTTTGTTTTGTAAACACAATGAGTTTTTGAAGACAGCAATATTAAATCTGGTGGCGTTTCGTGGCTTAAGATAAACAAACATCATAACAATACAAGGCCTGTAAGCTGATCTTTATGATGAGGCGTTTCTTTGACTTTGTGCAAACTGGCAGATATGTAAAGTTTATGACATGAAACTTTAAATCCTCCTTGAAAACGGCTGTCTAGACTTCATCCTTCAATTTGTCATTGCTTGGTAAAAATAAAATAAAAATAAAATGTTTGTGAAACACCCATAATTTCGGTAAATACGCCAACATAACCATATAGGGTGATGAGGGTACACAAGTAACAGCAAAGACGATGAAAAGTGATGTATATAAAGAACAGCAAAAGAAAAGAAGATACGCCGCGTCATTTTATCTAGTTTGTGCATCATGTGCATTGAAAGTGTGTATCCAAGTGCATGTGCATGATCCCTCACAAAGCAGGGTTCTATGAGACAATTTGTAATTATTGTGAACAAAAAGTATGTATTGAATACACAAGAAGCGATATGTAAATACATACTCTATTTGGAAGCACAGTGGAAAAGACGGACCGTTTATTTTGTTTGCACACCCCAAGTTTGTCTTGGAATATCTCACGGTTACACATTTGATGAGGCACACCTAATGTATGATATGGCTAAGCCTTTCCCAAAAAAAACATATATTTTAAATTTGGCAAAAACAACATGCAATGAATTTCATCTACACTCTATGGTCACGTATACAATTTAGCATTTTGAAATCCAAAAGATACAGAGTGAATGATCATTTTGGTTGGAAAGTGATGTTTATCCCTTTTTTGTAGTGTGACACAGAAAAGATAACCCAGGATTTATTGGAATGCTGCATTCTATATCATGTAATTTAAAATGAATGCAATGTACAAGAGAATGGATTGAAGAAAAAAAAAGAGGGGGTGTGGTATCGCACCTTTGACTCTTTTTTTTCCCCTGTGGGTGCGTGCTATAAAGAAGTTGCCAGGTAGTGTAACCCTACGAGTTTAAATAAGACTGCTTCCCCTTTTATAAAAAGTGCCTCATTTATTTCCCCATTCTTTTCTCTTTTGTTTCTTTATCCTCTATTTTTTTTTTTTTTTATACATACATATATAAAAATGGGAGAAAGAAATTGGCAAGAAGAATTCCAAAAATTGGGTCTTGAAGATCCGTCACTTTCACAACAAGTAAGTGTTAATAAAACGAATCGTGTTTGCTGTTTCGTATTAAATTTTAGCTTGTTAGTCTTCACAGCACGAGTCGAATTTTCACCCTCGAATAAATCAACACGGACTCAGCGACTTTGACTTTCAACATCGACTCAACGATGGGGATGACAAGAATGCCTACCCCAGTTTTGAATCACCCGTAACACTTCGATACAGAGACTCTGTCAGCTCAAACGCTTCCTCACTCTCAAGGAACTCCACTGTGTCTTCCAGTGATACCCGTTATTTTAGCGTATCAGGACCAACTTCACCTTCACCTTCTTTATCGAACTGGAGTGGCTTACCCTCACCTTTAGTCACCACACCTAATCGAATGGATAGATTTAATACCTTATCACCTGTTCAAAGTCAATTTCCCAACGAACCATATTACTCGATTGTTGAACCACAGGGCTGTTTCGTACCAACTAAACCACTACCTTTTATTCAAAAGAATGATGTGACCCGACATCATTATATCGTCCCTTCTTTTGCTGCGGTAATTATAATGAAAAAAAAAAACCTGTTTATTTTGTATTATTACTAATTTTTATAAAGGTAGGAGAAAGTCAAGCTAAAGTCATGAAGTTGATCTTTAATTATACCGACAGCACATCCTTCAAGGTAACTAAATGTACAAAACGTTTGACAATATTACGTCATTTCTAAAGATTTTGTTCTATTCTATTATTAGCCTAAAGAAGAATACGAACGAACAATACCATGGCATATCGATGGTAACTCGTCCTTGGTCACCTTATCTCAGCATACCAGTGCGGGACGAGAGAACCCTGTAACCCGCAATTACCTATTGGGCTTAGGCCAAAGATTAGGCATCACAACAATTATAGTCATTGTTTCTATCGAAGTCATGTGAGTGCATACAAAATAGAAAACCCACACATGTATTTAAAACTAATCTTGTTTTAATAATATAGTAATACCATCTACCCATTATTGGATAATCTAGTCAAGTCAATGGAAGTCTGTAACACAAGCAATTTAATAGAGCAAGATCAGGCTACCTGGTGGAGCCGGGTTGTCATCATCGTCAATCAACAGCATGGTGTCACGGATCAAGCTGCTTATAACCAGCGCAAGGAAATACTGACAGTTGAAATGCCTCGTATCCAAGAGCGTTATCGTCTTTCACATCCACTTTCTGTATTATTTTTAAGCACACTTGTGTACGACAATATAAAAAACCCTAGTCAAGCTTTTCATTACAAGTCATGCTGCCAGCGCATCTTATGGCAGATGATGGAAAAACACATGCTAAGCGGTCGTTGGTGTAGCGAACTGATCAGTCTACAAAACAGAGTTGATACAAATTTAAATGGTGGCAGCTTACTAAACGTCCTGAACGAGGATGATGAATCGAGTTCCAGTAGTGATGATGCATTATTTAAAACTGTCATTGATTATGTCGACGGTAAAAAGAAAAAGCCTGTCAAAAGAAAGAACACGCCAGCACCCGCATTACCACCTATTCCTGCAGAACATGCTGCTCCACCGTCCACACTTCAGAGAAGAGCGACAAGACGGCAAATACAAATACAGACACAGAAACTTCATTCGCATGATGGAGATGATGGTACCACACTTCCAGTCTCTGATAGACGTTCCTAGATCGTTATACATTTGTATTTACATGTTACATTATTTATACCTTTTTTTTTCTAATATATATATATATACCTAAAATAAATAGAAACACATTCAGTGTTTATTTTTTTTTCTACTCTCTACTATATTAAGCTAGTGTCAGAACCCCTATAATGTCATTTTTTTGTTTCCAAACGGTGTCTATGCCTTGTATAATTATGTAACACATCTGATAGAAACACCAGGTCTTTTAATATCGTACCAAGAAAAGCCCTGAGTATTATTGAGGGGATCTGATTAGGTAATTTTTCTGCACACCTTCATTCCTGAAATAGATTACACAAATCCGGATTCTAATTATACTTGCACACTCATAATTCCATCATGTGGGGCGTGCTAAGGTAGAAAAGACACTATAACAAAATAGAAACAGGTTGTAACAGAAATAAAATATACTTATTAAAAAAAAATGATGACGAAGGATTTTTTACGAGACTTTAAAGGTCCAAAATTGCATTAGCAGTTGTCATATTTTTACTTTTAGTATCAAACATGGTCAAATGTCATTGTAGCACTAAGAAGGCGCAATGAATGTGGAGGAAAAAGATCGATTCTGTATTTTGGTTAATCACACCTTTTTTTTTTTTTTTTACCTGCTCACTAAAAAAAACTGGAACCATTACTCGATAGAAATACACCAGCTTTAACCTACATTGATTAATAGACATAAACCTATCAGAACTACAAATCCTTGCGTTCCACCAGTTACCCGATCCCGAAGACATCTCGATGCATGTCCTGACAGCTCTCCTAAGAGGCCTATTGTTTCTTCAATTGGAAGTTTAAAAACTTTTAACAATAAGCGTAACATTGCATGAGGTTGCAGCTGCTGTTTACTTGAAAGCGAAAAAATACATAGATTAGATAGCCGCTCTGTGGGGTACGTCGGACTCCCCAAGATCACAATCCTGAATTGCGGCAGTTTTGGTTTTACAAAAAAACCCCCCCCCCCAATATTCAAGAAGTCTATAGATTACCATAATGTATATGAATGTGGGATCATTATTTGTGAGTTTGAAATCGGAGTTTTGACTTTTTTCAATTTATGCGATTTTATTGCTTAGCGACAATAAGAATTTTTTTTTTTTTTTTTGGGTAAGACAGTCGCGTATCTTGCCCAAAAACGTATTAGTCGTCTGTTTAGAGAATGCGCGCATTATGACTCAAAGTTTGTATGAGTTTTATCAATGCGTGAATTATATTTTCACATATAAAAACCAAAAATGTGGCACAGTTAGATAGTTTATTTTTATAACAATACGTGGTACGAAATAACAAAAGAAATCAGACTGCCGTTATGTATGATTGCCATGTGCGACAAAGTTTATTTATCAATAAGAAGGAGGAGGTAAGGGGAGGGAGAAATGAAAAGTGTAGGAAAAGAGATGAGAAAGAAAAGAGAAAGAGAAAAATAAAATAAAAAGTATATGAATAAGTAAGTGTATATTTCAAATGAACAAGCAAAAATTAATGTTTACATACCGTTGCTATTAACATCACGGGATGGAAACATCAAGGGTTGATCATATCCTTCAGGTAATTGAAAGATATTAGCACTCATTTCTTCTCCGGAAGCAGGCTCAAAGTCAAAGGCAGCTGCACCGTGGATCAAAGTTGAGTCATAAAATGGTAGACTCCATGCACTCATTGGATGATTGGGCATTTCAACCTGATTGAATTGCTGGATTTGTAAATGTTGTTGTTGTATTTGTTGTTGGAACTGTTGTTGTAGGACTTGCTCTGGTTGTAATACCTGTTGATACATCTGTCGTTCCTTTTCTTGGGTTTCACTAGGCTCTTGACTCCGCTTCACGACCACGTTACTATGGATGGCATACAGATCGCGCACCATAAAGTATAATTTGTCAGCCATTGCCCAATAGTTCCTTGCAGCCTGTCGATCACAAAAAAAAAAAAAAGGTTTGGTTTTGTTTAGGAGGGACTGTTGTTATGACAAATCAAAAAAAGAAAAACTTACTAATAACAATTGGAAATAGACTCCCAAAGCCTGTTTGGCCTTTTGAGCTTCATCAATTCGAGAAGAGAAGGATGCACTGACAACGACAGTCGCCACGGTATAAGCGAGATAGGTTAAAAATGGAGGCATTAACTCCATGTGTGTTCCGATTTCTTTTAATAAGACTGTCACATTATCTACTGCGGTCATGCATTTTTCGACGCTCTCGAGCACAAAACGCTTAATTTCGGGTTGCACAAGATCGTTATCCAATGCATCTGCTACAACCAATGACGGACGATGTAAAAGCACTCGTAACGTGTTGTGTAGGATATGTAACTAGTTAATTTTAATTTTTAATAACGCTATACGCACGTGGCTTACGAATAAAAAAAGGATGAAAAAGGCTTACCAAGATAAATTGTCGATTAGTGGCAGGGTTGGCACAATCTTTATAGACTTCGAAATTTGCAGGTGTGTTTTTTAAATGCAAGGGTAACTGCTCATACCAGTCTTCGATCAATCTATCTAACTTTGAAAACTCGGATTCAGGATGACATGGCGGTAATGCGTTTTTGTCTTCTTTTCCTTTTAGGTTGACATAGGCAGTGACTTTTCCAAGCAGGTTGGTTGCACGTATTAGATATGAAAAGCAGCCCAAGCTGGGTTTTCTGCTCAAGGTATTTGGGGTTGACACTTGTGTTCCTAAAAGCTGACTTTGTAGCATCCCATCGAGATTAAGCATAATGTATCGACTACCATCCAATGTTTCTGTATAGTATCTTTCATTATTGCATGTATCTACATTGGCTGGTAAGTATGCTGTACAGAACTTCTCTTGCAAAATAGAAGGACGACCCGTAGCCGCACTTGAGAATCTAAATAGCCAATAAAAAAAAAGGGATGATTTTTTAGATGGGTATGACTCGTGTATTTGGATTAGTGATCATACTTGTCGATAGTGAAAATAGTCCAAAAGAGTCTACGTCGAGTTTCTTGTGTAATCAATTTCTGTGCATTCGGATTATCATTATCGTCATCTTCTAGGTCTTCATGGATACCAAGTTCTGTAGCCATGCGTATTGCCATGCCGCCATACATCCAACTCCGTGGGCCTCTTCCGCAGCCATATTCATGAAGTGTTAAGAGAGTGAGTGCTTGTAGATTGGACATACTAGGTTCGTCTACTGCCTTGAGGATCATGGCGCGGGCTTTTTCTGCATATTTTTCACCGGCTTGCCAAGCAGGATTTTCTTTTATATCAGGTCGATTAGAGAATCTGATAAAAAAGGGACAAAATTGGTAAAATTTATAAATACATGTTTTTTTTTCTTTTTTACCTGGCACAAGCACCAAGTAAGGAAAGTAGCAAAAAATCTGAGCATTTTCTTTCTTTCACTTGACTGCGCAAAGTTTCCTCGTGAAAGATAGGTAGAGCAGAAAAGAAATATTTGAAATAAAGGTCGACTATATGCTCAATTGTATCAAACGAAGGTAACAAATCATCTTGTTTAGATGCCGGCGGCAAGTGAGCCGAGGGTGAAGGAAAGTTGGAAGAGATACTTGAAAAGGAAGTGGGTGATGTACAGTCATGATTATCTTCACTTGAGCGTTTACTACTACTTTTGCTTTTGGGGATAGGTGTGAATTCAGTTGTATCATAATCATCCTCTTCTTCTTCCTCTTCCTCTGTTGCATGATGATTTGTGGTTTTAGAGTTACTAGAAGATTCATCAGGCGAGAGTAATATCTCTTCCATTTTAGCAAGTCGTTTCTCCAACATTTCAATATATCCTTGACGTGGTCCTCTCTTCTTGCTGCTGGAGCTATAAACACAGTCTGTCCCGAGTCGGGTACAGTTGGCACATGTCGGTTTGCCTCCATCGCATCTTATCTATTCCGTAATGAGTTTTAGTCTTGAGTGTAGGCAACTAAAGAAAGTGTTACCTTTTTCCTTCTGCATAACTCACACGCTTGGGTTAAACGTTTCCTCTTATTGTCCTTTTCCTTTGTAGACATGTGAAGGATAAAGAAAAAAGAAGAAAAAAGGGGGGAGAGGGTGGAAACAAAGCACGAAACATATAAAAGAAAAAAAAAAAAAAAAAAAAAATTAAACAGTCATGACTTCGTTTTTTATTTTTTTAATGGATATGCTAAAGTTGTGTAATTGCTTATCGAGATAATCGTTAATGTCTGTGGCATTTTCAATGGTATTTTCAATGTGATAAATTTTATCTGATTCCGTCAATTTTTTTAAACCTAGAATCAGGTCGGGAGTACAGAGAAAGTCGTCCAGGAAAATGGTTTCTATGTTGCAGAGTGATGCGATAAATACAGATAACCCATAGTCTTCTGGTATGGCCATATCTAGCGTTTTGATCCTGCCCTTATAACCTTTCAAGGAGATATATGTCAATTTCTTACTGCAGGATTGCATATATTCACTCCAAGCAATGGTTGTATATCTACTGAGACGATCCAATGATAAACTAGTCAAATTATTCAATGAGGAAAAAATGGAGTATTTCTTGGCTGCTTCCACTTCTGCATGATTCACGAAATATTGTATGGAGTCTGTTGTATCATTTCCTCTCTGTCGCAACCGGATTAGATAATCGATAGCCTGATCGGAGTATATGCCCTCTTCATCATCTGTCAAATTGGTCAACTCTAATGTGCTCAATGTGGATGGAAAGACATCTGGACAAATATCTTGACCGAATCTGTTTAAAAAAGGTGATATTTCCAGACGATACGGTTGTGCGAATTTCAACCTTAAGCTATCTAGTTTATCAAGGCCTTTGAACTTTGGCATAACCATAGATTCTTTTGCTTCTACAGGAATGTCTTGACAATTTAAACTGATTATATTTGGTGTCCAAACGGTGACATATTGTATATAACGAAGTGGCATATTGATCGTGTTTAACGTCTCGACTTGTCCAAAAGGGGAATATTTTATATAGTGCGTGTAACTTTCCATAATCATTTCACTGTTAACGTTAATTGTCAAGACCCGGACATGTTGAAAGCGTAAAGACGGTTTTGGTGTATGTTTTAGTGAGGTTGTTGATTGATAAAAGGCAAACCATGGCACGGTCAAATCTGTCCACTATGATGTGTGTGGGTTAAGAATAGGGTTTTTCTTTTTTAGTTTTCTTTCTTTTCTTGTTTCCTACTCGCATATATAATTAAAATTGTTATGTACCAGTGAAGGGGTTTGTGCTATCTTTCGCCAGTTACGATTGACACTAGCCAGACTAAGCAATGTTGCTAGTGGGCAATATCGAAATATCATCAATAAGCAATCAAACGGCAATTTTCGAATAGGTGTATCATCATCTTGAAAAAGGTCCAGCATTATCTTTTTTCGCTCTGGTTTCATAACGGGTCTTTCAAGCTTTACTTTATTTCCTTTCTTTTGTGTGCTTTGTGTGCTTTGCTAACCATGTTTTTCAATTGTTATTCATTGGCAAAGAGAGAAAGAAATATATATATACCTGTCTTGTTGGGGTATTTTCGAGTTGACATGAGGTTGGTTCAAGTGGTTTTGATTTGAATTGTGTACTGGGCGTTATCTTTTTAGTTATAATGTTGCGATCTACAGGTCGCAGCCCTACTCGTTTAGAGGACATGTGCAAGAACAAAAGGCAAAAGAACGAGAAGAAAAAAAAACAGAAAAAAAGTCACGGCGCGTAATTCGATATCGACTCTCGGAGTTACAGCGCGAAAAAAAAAAAAAAAAAAAAAAAAAAAAAACTTTGGGACCCAAAGGTGACGACGCAGTTTTTCCTTCTTTTTTTTTCTGTAGTTTTCTTTTCTCTTAGACTATTCAACATGGAGATTAACGAACAAACCTATAATGGGTTGCAGCAATACTTGTTACAAACCCTCAACCCTGCCACACAAAAAGAAGGTATGATTCAAAGTTTTTGAAACGCGCGTTTTTTTGTATATACATATAGATAGTTCTAACATTAAGAAAAATACCTAGCTGGGTACAATTTGTCACAAGTTGAAATTCAACAAGGCTTTCCTTTGCTTTTATTAAAGCTCATTAGCGACGATTCTGTTGATCAAACACTCCGTATGGCCGGTGCCATTTACTTTAAGAACTACATTAAACGTCATTGGGTTCAAGTAAGTTTTATTTTTATTTTTTATCTTGACAACTTGTGTGCTAAACCCACTTTTTGTTCTACAGGATAACGAAGACTCTGCCGACAAGATTGCCGAACAAGATCGTGTCGAGATTAAGAACCAAATTGTCCAATTAATGATTACTGTTCCCGAAATACTTCAGTTGCAAATTAGTGATGCTCTTACTTTGATTGCTGCCTCCGACTTTCCTGAAAAGTGGGAGTCTTTGTTACCCGTAAGACGACCGACAACAATGAAAAAAAAAAAAATTATGCAGAAAACAAAAAGTTGCTCATGCTAGTTATTTAGGAACTTATCAACAAATTGAGTGCTACCGATTATCAAGTCAACAATGGTATTCTCGGCACTGCACACTCCATTTTTAAAAGGTGAGTTATTTCTAGGACGTGATTGAATTAAGAAAGTAACTGAACCAAAAAAAAAAAAAAAAAAAAAAAAAATGATAGATGGAGATCAGCATTTAGAAGTGATGAATTATTCAGCAACATCAAGTACGTATTGGATCATTTCTGTGGACCTTATATGCAACTTTTCCAAATCACCGACAAACTGATTGAAGAAAACCGCAATAATTTACCAGCACTCCAAGTTTTGGCTCGTTCTTTAACTCTCTTGATCAAGATCTACTACGATCTTAATTGTCAGGATCTTCCTGAATTCTGTGAGGATAACTTACCAACATTCATGGGCTTATTCGAAAAATATCTCGTCTATCAGAACCCTTTATTGGTTACCGATGATGAGGAAGAGGAAGGTCCCCTTGAACAAATTAAGACTGGCATTTGTTATATTCTTGAATTGTACGCTTCTCGTTATGAAGATGCTTTCCCTCAATTAGAACACTTTGTTCCTATCGTTGTCGGTTTGTTGACCACCACCGGACCCGAGTCAAAATATGATGCCGTAAGTGTCACACACACACACAAAATACCCAAATCACAGCTACTTATCTCATTCTAATAGATGGTCTGTAAAGCACTCACTGTATTGACCGCCATTGTCAAGATCGAACGTCATTCTCATATTTTCGCCGATCCTGTCCAGTTAGGCAACATGTGTGAAAGAGTAGCACTCCCCAACGTTGGACTTCGATGTAAAGCATGATTTTAAATGTATAAAAGAAAAAGAAAGGAAATACTGACTCCTTTTTTTTTTGTACATAATGTAGTGGTTGACGAGGAATTATTTGAGGATAACCCAATTGAATATATTCGTAGAGATTTAGAAGGCTCCGGTAAGTGGGAATGGCATATGTGTGGGGAGGTATCCATTTGACTTAATTTTTTTTGAAATATATTAGACACCGATACCCGTCGTCGTGCCGCAGCTGATTTTATTCGTGGGTTAATGGAGCGTTTTGAAGCACAAGTGACCAAGATCATGTCTGAATATGTCACACGTTACTTGCAGACGTACAGCGCCAACCCCAAGGATAACTGGAAGGATAAGAATACCGCCATCTTTTTATTGGTGGCTATTGCTACACGATCTGCCAATAGTACACAAGGTGTGACCAAGACCAATGAACTTGTGGATGTGGTGGATTTCTTTTCCAAGCATGTCTTGTGTGATTTACAATCGGACGTCAACACGGAAATTCCCATCTTGAAGGTGGATGCCATCAAATATGTCTATTCATTTAGAAATCAATTGACCAAGGAACAACTCTTGACCGTCTTTCCTTTGTTGGTAAAGCATCTTGAATCCACGGATTATGTTGTACATACATATGCTGCCATTGCCATTGAGCGTATTTTGTTTATCCGTCAAGGCAAAGCCATGATGTAAGTAGTACATAGAGGTGAATGGTGTTTTACAGCAGTTACTTATCAAAAAAAAAAAAAAAAAAATTACAGGTTCACAGCGGCAGATATTTTACCATATTCCGAAGCACTTTTATCTCAATTGTTTCGATTGATTGAATTGGGACAAACACCCGAAAAGCTTTCCGAGAACGATTATTTGATGCGATGTGTGATGCGAGTGATTATCACTAGTCGACAGGATATGATGCCCTATGTGAATGTGATTATGGGCAAATTAACCAACATCTTATCCATTGTTAGTAAGAATCCCAGTAACCCCAAATTCAATCATTATATTTTCGAGAGTATTGGTGCTTTAATTCGATTCATCTGTCCCGTCTCAGATGAAGCCTTGGCCCATTTTGAAAACATGTGTTTCGGACCTTTCCAGACGATTCTTTCCCAAGTACCAGAGTTCAACCCTTATGTCTTTCAATTATTGGCCCAATTATTGGAGCAACACAAGGGTACTGAATTAACCGATTCCTATGTGACTTTATTGGTTCCTCTCTTGAATCCCGGTCTTTGGGAACAAGGTAATATCCCTGCCCTTGTTCGTTTATTACAGGCCTATTTAGAAAAGGGTATCAACACCATCTTGGCCAACAATCAATTGGAACCCATCCTTGGTATCTTTCAACAAAAATTGGTCAATTCTCGACAATTTGATCATTATGGTATGCTTTTATTGCACACCATCACATTACGTGTACCAATGTAAGTCCATTTTCGTGTAGTTTAAAGTGATCTTTTGCTCATCGTTTCCCCCCCCCCCTTTTTTTTTCTCTCTCTCTGTGTAGCAACGTGTTGGGCAACTATCTTCCTGCATTGCTTAGTGCTGTATTGAAGAGACTTCAAAGTAAGAAGAAGGGAGATGATATTTTGTTTGATCGATTCACGCGTACCTTTACATTATGGATGAGTCTCTGTTTCTTGATTGAGCCTATGGGTGGACCCGATACTATTATTAGAGTGTATGATGGATTACAGCCCGGGTAAGTTGAGTGTTTTATTTTTTTTAAAAAAAAAAAAAACTAGTGGCGAAAAACAACTTATTCATGAGATTCTACATGTATTATAGACTTTTTGGACAGATTATGGGATTGTTTGTTGTCCCAGATTTAAGCAAATTAGTTAAACCTCTTGACCGTAAACTGGGTGGATCGGGTATGATTCGATTATTGACGAAATCTGACTTGATGCTTGTGGAGCCCTATGTCAGTCAATTATGGACTAAATCTTTATTATCGTTATTGGCGTTACTCGAAACACCCGTTGCGGTTGAATCGGATGGACCTGATGAGTTGTATACATTTGATCTTGATGCGGAGGGGTATCAAACGACGTTTGCTAAATTAGCTACGAGTAACCCCGTTCCTCAAGATCCTACAGCTGGATTACCTGCTTGTCAAATTTACCTTGCACAACAAATCATGACGATGCCCGCTGATAAACGAGCCATTGTGAAGAACTTATTGTTACAATCTCCTGAAGCTACACAATACTTACCACAATACTTTCAAGCTGCCAATATCTCTTTGGACCAATTGTAAAAAAAAAAAAAGAGAGAAATCTATACATGAAAAAATAAAATATATATATATATTTTCTTGTTGTACGTGACGTGCTTGTACGTTCATAATGATGAAAAAAAAAAAAAAAAATAGACGCGATTTTTTTTTTTTTTTCGGTAGCTTTTTCCTTTCACTTTATACATATATTCACACTTTCACATGCTTGCTAAAACTGTAGAAATCAATTGGCATGATGGACAGGCCATTTATTCTGTTGATTTTTCACCGGATGGTTCACGTTATGCTACTGCAGGTGCTGACAATTCCGTTCGTGTAAGTTTTTTTTTTTTTTTTTACACGAATATGTATATGAAAAAAAAAAGCTTAAATTGTTTCAATGTAGATTTGGAGTATTCATAAAAGACCTGATAATGCAGGCACATCCTCTACTTCTCACGATAACATGACAACGATTGAAAAAAAGCAAAGTAAACAACTTGTGGATTCTTTACCTGTCAACATTGATTTCCTTTCTGAATTAAAACGACATTCCTCGCCTGTCAATGCAGTTCGGTTCTCTCCCAGTGGTGATTTCATTGCATCTGCTGGCGATGGTATGTTTTTTTTTGACATGTTCCCCCCTCTTATTTACATATCACTAAAAAAAAAAAAAAAAAAAAAATGTAGACGCTTGTATTATTTTATGGAAATTATCATTGATGAAGGAAGCAACGTTTGGAAGTGACTACAATGAATACGAAAAAGAAACATGGTCCGTGGTGAATATGTTTTAGTAAGTCAACAAGAAGCAAAGGGAAAGAGAGAGAGAGAAAGTGTAGGCTAATCTTGTTTATCCTCTCTAGTGGTCATAATAAAGAAATTTATGATTTAGCATGGTCACCTTGTGGCAATTATTTTATTACAGCATCCATTGATAACACAGCCAGAGTTTGGAGTTTAACAGAGAGTAAGCAACCTTCCTTCAAAAAAAAAAAAAAAAAAAAAAAAAAATCCAAAAAAAAAAACTGACCCCTTTCCCCACCTCCTCCTCCTCTTGAACAGAAACCTGCATTCATGTATTTGCAGATCACACCCATTACGTACAAGGCGTCACCTGGGATCCATTAGGACAATACGTTGCAACGCAATCCAGTGATCGATCCATGGCGATTTACAAGTACCGTCATTCAGCTCAAGGCAAGCTTGTATTTGGACCGTGTTCACGACGTTTTTCACGTATCGACAAGGGAAAAATTGCATCGACGTCCGTCAAGATGGACGATCCTGCTGCCATTACAACTACAACAGGTTCATTTCGATTATACCATGACGAGAATCTCGTTTCATTCTTTAGAAGGTTATCGTTTAGTCCTGATGGTGCCTTATTAATTACACCTGCAGGCCTAAACAAGCCCATTTCCGATTCAACAACACCCATAGCAACAACAACAACAACAACAACAGCGGCGGCGGCAACAGTGGCGGCGACAGCATCGGCAGGGATAGCGGCGGCAGTGGATATCGATGATCATGAGGAACTGTCGAACTGTGCGTATATTTACCCTCGTAACACAATGCTGAAGCACCCTGTGGGGTTCATTGGGAATTACCCTAAACCTGCGATCGCGATTCGTTGGTGTCCTATGCTTTTTCAAAAGAGAAGAAATATGTCTTCAGCATTTGCATTACCTTACCGCATGTTGTATGCAACCGCCTCACAGGACTCGGTCTATATATATGATACCCAGCAATCTCGTCCTATTTGTGCTATTTCAGGAATGCACTTTGCTCCTATTACTGATCTTGCATGGTAAGTAAAAAAAAAAAATGGGGTTTTTTTTTTATTATTTATTTTTAAATACAAACAAGAAAGAAAACAAGTATTGAATTTTATTTTATTTTTATTTTTTTATGCAATCCTTAGGTCGCATGATGGTTCTGTATTGATGTTCTCTTCTGCAGATGGCTATTGTTCTGCTGCTGTCTTTTCTGATGGAGAATTGGGTATAAAATATGAAAAGCAACCAGAGCCAGTGGAAGAGTATGATGTTGAAATGATGGATATAGCCGTTAGTCATACTAATTTACCCAGTAATAGTAGCAGCAGCAGCAGCAATCATCCGACTGCAGCTACGAACAATGAACCAATGAGCACATTGGAAGGGGCCAAGCCGTATAAACGAAGAGTCTCGATGTCCCCTACGGATAGTAGTGTGGCTCCCAATCATGGTAGTGCTGTGATGATAGAAAAACCCAAAAAAAGAAGAATTACGCCCATTTTAATCAGCACCCCTTTGCAGACAATGACTCCTACCCATATCAACAACACCAGCATTAATCATACTCATAATCAAAATATGTCTCCCCCTTCTTCTTCTACAACTACTACTACTACAATAACTAATCATAATATGACAGAGAATAAATAAATAAATAAAAAAAAAAAAGAAGAAAGCTATTTTATTTTATTTTAACAGTATCTTCCTTCTTGACGAAAATACCGCAATGAAGATTAGTTTGAAAATAGCGCACATTGTCAATGATTCCATCTGTGTTACCGACTATAAGAGTGTGTGTGTGAGAGTGTGAGTGAATAAATCCACATGATGTATCAAAATGCATAATAATATGTACTACATACCTCTACTAGACAATTCAATTCCTAACCATTCTCCAGCATCAAAATGGACTTTACCGACGTATTTGACTATGCCAATAATGGGTAATGGTCTTTTAAATAATTTAACTTTTGAACCAAGTAAGATGGGGTCTTCCTCTTCCTCGCTACTACTATGACTGCTATTGCTGCTAATACTACTACTGTTGACATGACTGTCAAGTGTTTGTATTTGTTTATTTCGTTGCGCTTCTTCCTGTTGTTGTTGCTTGATGAGTTTACTCCACCTACTAGGTCTCTTTGAACATTTTTTCTTGTCGTCAGGTAAAGACCAACGTCTCTGTCGTGTTGCATGAAAAAATGGGGTGGTATCGGGTGATTTTGATCTGGGAGGTGTGATGGGTAATGCAAATTTAATTTTGCTAGGTCTCATATTGGATTGTAATTGTTTTTTCTCTTTTTCTTCCTGACAGTCCATACGTGCTTGTGTCTCCAATGATAAGAGTAGTTCCATGTCACAGGCCGTAATCTCTTTTAGTTTAGAGGCTAGCACACGGTCATCGAAATCATCTTCGATAACGGGTTCCAGTAGTATCATACTTTGTGAAGGTGGAGTCAAGGGTCGCTTGGGCGTTGTCGTGGGTGACCGTAGGATGCTAATGGTTTCCTTGGATGTAATGGTGCGTGGCTTTATCACAACAGAGTCCTCAATGTCTCCAGTAGATTGTGTCTTTCGTAGTCCGAGTGATAGTGAAGGTGAAGTCATTTTCCTTCTTCCATTCTTTAGTTTAAACAACGGCATTTTTTGTGTGCAAAAAAAAAAGGGGGGGGGTTAATAAAATGAAAAGAAAGAAAGAAAAGAGATAAAATGAAAGAGAGTTATATATATAATCAAAAAAAATAAGGGAGAATAAGATTAAAATAAACTCTCACCCCAAAAAGGGCACGTGTGTGTTAAAAAAAAAATTAGTTATACATCATTTATTATATACTAACTATTTTACTACATAGGAAAGTTTGCATAATCCCTCTCTCCCCTCGTATATATATATATGTATGTGTGTTTTTTTACTTGACTTTGACGTTGGCGGGTTGAGCAGTAGAAGGTTGAGCAGCCTCTCTTCTAGCAGCGTCTTGTAAAAGCGCAGTATCGACAGCGTGAACAGGTAACTTTACATAGCGAACCACTGAGCCACGAATGAAGCAATTCTTGACGGATGCCTTTTTATGGGTAACAACAACAACAAAAAAAGTGGTTAATGAAAAGAAAAGAAAAAAAAAAGGTGGGTGTGTTATCTGTTCTATACCATGTGAGGATATCTTTCTTCATCAACCACTTGAATGTCATCTAATTTAATATTCAAGAACTGATCCACTGACTTTAATACACCTGTAATGGCCAAGTCGTTTTTTAATTCAACCGTCACTTGTTGGTCCACCAACGTTTTAAAAAAGGAATAGAACAACTAGTATAAATGAATAAGCATGAACTACACATTGGCTTTTCTTTACTTACCATTTTTTATAAAGCTAATTAGTTTCTTTTTTTGGCTGGGAAAACGCGCCCTTTACAATTTTTTTTTGTTGTCGTTGTTGTTATTAGTGACTGCTGAAAGTGTGCATTAAAGAGTGAGAGAGAGAGAAAAAAACCTGCTTGATCCCCCCATCTCTAAGGTAACCAAGTTTTTTTTTTTTGAAGCCGCATTTAGTGATGATGGCCCCTCCTCATAAAGCTAATGCGTACTATTTTAGCTATCTTGTATTGACGTCAATACCCTATCTGTGCATTTCCCTGATAGATAAAAAAAAAGTCGCGTTTTTTTAATGAGTTGCTGACGTAATTAGACTTTTTATGAATCGGTTGTCATTAGTGTAAAAAGAAAACCAGTAGCAAAAAGGACGCTTTAATAAGTTATTTGTAAAGACGCCGCATCAAACAACAACAACAACAACAACAATACCCAGCCTCAGTTCTCTTTACAAACAAAAGGGACCAGGTGATCGATTGGAACACCATCTTTTTTTTTGTAAAATGGATTAGTGATAAGAGTTCCCCTTTCTTTGACAACATGGACCGTCTAAGCGACCATCTCAAGAGTTGATTTTAATGAATACAATTCGTTTTTTAATAAGAGGAAGAAACCTCTCTCTCTCGCGTGTGTTTGCATTCAACATGCTTGTTTATTATTCTTCTTAATAATAAATGAAAAGTGTTTGGGTGATAAGCAATGCTGTTCTTTAAAAAAAAAAAGGAACGGTTTTTAGTCATTTTCCTCTCTCTGTGCTTTAACATATTCCCTCTATGTTACAATTAAACATTTTTTTTGGGGGGTTTAAAGTGTTAGAGTGTAGCTCTTTTCTTTTTTTTTATATCGAGTGTATATACAAATAGACAGTTTAGTGGTTTATTTCTATAAATGAAAGGGTTGGCGGCATGAAATAACGTCATCGGACTTTTGGAAGTGATTTGACCTCTTAAAACTAATGTAAGAGAGAGAGAGAGAGAGAGAAAAACATAATTCATGCCACGACCAAAGAAAAACGTGGATGAAAACCCTTTCCTCCCGCCAGTTATTTTTTATTTACTTTTATATAAAAAAAAAAAAGACTGTGACCTGTAGCAAAATAGGGAGGGACCGAGCTTCTTTGTGATTCTTGTTTTTCTGCGATCATTCATATTGAACAGTAAGACCATCAAAGAGCTCATGTCATGATTGTGACGCCAAATAAAAAAACAAAAACAAAATTTAAAACTCAAACTAGAGAAACCTTAACTCTATATACACCATGATGTTTTTTATAGAAAAATAAAAAAAAGTGTTGGATGGGCGATCAAAAAAAAAAAAAAAAAAATGTCAATGCTGGTGTTTAAAATAAAAAAGGGGGGGGGGGATGACGATCCTTACCATATTTTTTTTTCATACAAAGTAAAGAAGTATTTCTACATAAAAATGTTAAAATAAGAAAAGAGCAGCGACATTTATGGTAAGTCTAGAATTGTAATGTTGTGCACACATGTCGTTACGCTCGGTAATTATAATAAAAAAAAATGTGTTTTTTTTTATTATATCGGCATTTGCTTCGGGTGACACGATACAGTTTAAACATATGTTAGAATAGTCTGACATTTGTTGTTGTTGTTGTTGTTGTTGTTAAGATGGATTTTCTGTTCTGTTTACAGAGTGTCTGTATCGATCAGTCCATACACTATATCCATTGTTTCCCAACACACACATATCTATTGTATAATAAGCTTTTATATGTATATATATATATAAACATATGTGATATGTGTGGAACCCAAGAGAGAAAACATGGGTTGTACAATGTGTAACGATAAACCAAAAAAAGAAGAAAGAAGATGTATATTTATTATTTGGTTCCGAAGATGATTTATATTACATGCTCTATAAAGTTTTGAATAGCATGAGGGTGGTAACGCAAATGCAATTCGATGATCGGCGATTTGTGCGAAGTTTAAAAAAAGAAGAAACAAAAAAGAATAAAAAAAGAACGCATTAGTTACACTTGATAAACAAAAAAAAAAAAAATTCATATTCCCGCGCACCTTCCCTTTTTTTTTTTTTCTGATCCATCTACTCTATGTTATGTAGGATTGAATAGAGATACCGTTTGTTTGGGAATGGCGTTAAACTAGATTTGGGCAAAAACCATCTGTGTAACGCAGTGTTTTCAAAAGAGTGGTTAAATTACATGTATATATAATAAACATGACGCGTTTGATTATCACTGGTTGTGATGTGCTTATATATGTTCATAGCAACGATTGTGTAACACGTTGATCTCTCTCTCTCTCAAGGTTGATCCTCCCCTTGGAAACAGGTCTGTCTGTGAACGGGAGTGTGAATATGAGGTGCAACAAAAAGGAAAAAGGGAAGCGGAGTATATGTGTGTGTATGTGTGTACAGTCCATGGGTGAAATAGCAACACCATGCGGGATACAGAAACCTAAACTAAAAAAATAAAGATGCTTTCAGTTGACACTTTTGCTTATTCCAAAAGCACACACAAAAAGGGAAACGGAAGTGAGAGATGGAAGGTGATCCGACATTACTTTAAAAGGTATAAAGTCGAAATACCATAAAAGGTCAAGTTAGAAAAAAAAAAAGGGTTATGAGTTTCAAATACGCTCAGGCATTTTTTGTTTTGTAAGAAAAAGATGATGGGAAGATATTTTGCAAGTCACCCACCGAAAAAAAAAAAAAAAAGGGCATCACAAAGGTTTTCTTTTTCTTTTTTTTTATCTTCATTCCCCCTGCCCTGTTTTTATTTATTTTTTATTATTTTTATTATTTTATTCTTTTTCTTATTCTTCACATGGATTATCCACTACAGCAGTACTCTGAGGACAATGTCAGTGGAGCCAATGGGCAACAGCAACAGCAACAGCAGCATCAGCAGCATCAACAGCAGTCAGGCTATAGATCGTATGGCGTGTTTAATGATACGTCCTTGATATTTGACAATAACAGTGCGTCACCTACATTGGAAAGCAACGACGATAGATCACGTACACTCATGTTGATGAGTACTCGTCCTCCTCCACCACCACCACCAGCACACATTATGCATGACCCTTGGACACAACATCAGCTCATGACAACGGCAGGTTTCAACCCTAACGACCCACTAGACAATCAAGCACTGCTTCATCATCACCATCACCACATCTCTCATTCTGAGCGTGGTATTGCTGGTTTTGTCTCCAAGCTTTATCAGTAAGAAAATAACCCCCCCCCTCCCTCCTTTTATTTGTTTATACCCCCTATATTTATATATGTATATATATCTATTTACATATGTAGGTGTCTTCAATCGTCTGATACGAGCTATGCTAGGTGGTGTCAACACGATGGCAAGGACATGTTTATTATTGACTGTATCCCAGGTATACCAAATTCCTTAGCATTGTTTCTATAACACCTTTTTTGGCTAAAAAAAAATTTATTCATTCTTTGTAGAATTTACCGAAGTCGTATTGCCGCGTCTATTTAAACATTGTAAATTCCCATCCTTTGTACGGCAACTTAATGTGAGTTTAAATTTACCTCGTCCCTTTTTTTTTTTTTTTTTTTTTTTTTGGGGGTAAAATAAACTAATCAAAGCTGCTATAGATCTATGGTTTTCAACGAGATACCGATGCTAGGAAATCAAAAGACACCAAAGATAAGGAATCGTGTCGATGGTACCACCCTTATTTTCGTCCTGGTCGTCGCGATATGTTTCATATGATTCGTAGAAAAGCTACCCGCTATTCTAGAAAGAAGCGAGTTAAGGCTGAAGAAGATCCTGAAACTATTTTAAATTTGGGTTCAGGAGATGAATCCGAGGTTGATGAACTGATTGAACAACAAAAACAACAGCAACAACAACATCAACATCAGCAACAGCAACAACAACAACACCATCATCACCACCACCAGCAACACACGAATCCGTTACAACACCACTCTTCTTCAGCCTCACCCGTTGACCCTACTATGCCCATGGACTACAGTACAGCAGCATCTCAATTACAACTAGGATTCGTTGAACAACAACAACAACAACAACAATCACCCAACAACAATAACAATTTACTGATTGCAACGCCTAAAGAATTCGACAATGATAATTTAAACCTTTTACGAGAAGAAGAACTCCGATTAGAAATATTTCACTTGAAGCGGGATTACGATCGAATGCACGGTCATTTTGAAGAACAACTGAGTACAGCACAAATTCAAATTGAAGAACAAACACTGCGCATTCAACAATTGGAGGGACTCTTGCGTCTTCCTAAACACCGTCACCATCAGCAGCAGCAACAACAACAACAACAACAGACACCATCGACACCCTCCATAGCAACAGCAGCAGCAGCAGCAGCAGCAGCAGCAGCAGTTGCCGTTGCGCCACCTAGTACGGGTGTCACGGGTAGTACGACCACGGGTACGGGTAACAATAACTACATGCCCTTTCATAACAACACTAATCATGGCTATGTGATGTCTCCTTCACCTCGTATAATGAATGGATATGAAATGACGGACGAAAGTACGACACCTAAACCCGACTATAATAATAATGCTTTTTATTTCAGTAATAACAATAATAATAATAATAGTAGTAATAATAATAATAAAGATAGCCATCACAGTAACCATGATGTGAATGCCATGCATACGCCGCCACTCCCACCACCCACCGTAGCAGCAACAGGAACAGGAACAACAGGTGCAGGAGCAACAGGAACAACAACAGGAACAACAAGCAATGTGACACTCGCCTTGCCACGAACCGCCTCCTCTCAAGCAACATGGAGCTCCTTTAAAACGGTTGCTGCTGGCAGTAACAATCATCATCATTCAGAGAATACCAATTTAGAAAATGACAAGACACTCCATCGAAAGTCGAGTCAAATGAATTTTAATTCATACATGTGAAATTTTTGTTTATCTTACGACAACAACAACGGGGGAGGGGAGGGGGACTCTCTTTTTCCCTTTCTCCTATCTACTCTTTTTTTTTTTTTTTTATACACACACACACACATACACAAAAGAACCCTTAATTCTTTTGTATTTTTTTCCAACTTTTTTATACCGTTTCTCTTTCTTTTTTTTACCCCTTTTTATATCTTTTTTTTTTTTTTTACAATAAAAAAAAAATTCGCATGCTTTCTCACAAAATGGAACTCCTCCCCCCACAACACCCCCACCCCCCTAAACTTTTTATTTTTTATTTTTTGTAAACCGGAGTTTTGATTTTGGGGGGTGATGTAGGGCTTTTAAAAAAATCAGCTCTTTTAAAAACTTAATGGGTTCCTAAACTTACCTCTTTTTTTTTTTAATATACAAGATTTATCGAGATTGAATCGCTAGGGGGGGAGGAGGAGGAGGAAAATATAAGCTATATTGTTTGTTGTATGTACATTGTTTGGTTTATTTAAATTTTTTTTTTTTTTTTTTTTTTTTTTTTTTGGGTTTTTTTTTTTTGCCTGTTACCAAAGAGTATTTAATTTTTTTATTTTTTTTTTTTTTCTTTTTTTGTACTTTAGGCTCCCTTCTCCTTTTTTTTTTTTTCCTTTTTTCTTTTATATTCTTTTTTTTCTTCTCTCTTTTTTCCTTTTTTTTTTTTTACATCTTCCAAAAATAAACGCACACACACACTACAAAAAAAAAAAAAAAAAGAAAAATTAAATTACAAAAGAAGAATAAATGACAATTATTGACACAGATATCATTTCGGTGACGCCAACGATGGAAGATAAAAAATCTTCTGGGTTAGACATGTCAGAAAGTCTATTCGGTAAGGTTTTTATTAGAGAAAGTCCAAATCTTTTTTTCTGATGTTAAAAATAATCAAGAATTAGATTATGATTTATTACTGAATGATACAAGACACGCAGTCAACAAACACTTGTTTGAAAGTTTTTTCCATGAAGAAGAAGAAGAAAATAGTAGTGATCATTCTTCTAGCCTACCTTCTTCGCCACTAAGCAAGTCGGGCATACAACGACCCCGAATCATGCAATGGGGACCTCAAGATGGACACCAAGATTCTACCATTGTCTCTATTGTTTTAGAACATACACAAGAAACAGGTCCAATGAAAATCGTTTTTGGTTCAATCACAGTCGAAACTGCTCAACAACAACATAGGCTTGTCAATGCAAACTCTCATGAGAATTCAGTGTGGATTACATTAGCTGCATCTGTACCTCCGTTACTAGACACCAGATCTGAATCAAACCAAGTTCAACTCTCCGTGTGTGCATTTGACCCCCTTGATCCTGATCTTGCTATAGATACGTGGGATATTGGTCATTTCATTTATCGTGATATCCCCAAAGGTTAGTTTTAATTACAACTTCCCCTCTCTCTCACACACACACACACACTCACTCACTCACTCACTCACACTCACACACACACATCACACTCACTCGCTATTTGTTATCGGTTAATTTATTTTTACTTATTTTTTCCCTCCTCTCCAAATTTAGTTTATCCTAAAAGAGCCCTGTCGAATGAGCCTGAAGAAACCAGAAAAAAGAGGACATTGGATATAAAGCGAGGTATTAATTTTAAAACAATATTACTATTCTTATTATTATTTTTACATATTCTAAAAAAACTAAAAAAAAAAAAAAAAAAATTATTATTATTAAAAAAAAAAAAAAAACTATAAAACCCAAAAAAAGACAGTGATGTGGATTCTCAACTATTAAAACTGTTGGCGCCTTATGATCCTCTTTTAACTGCTGTTCCTTCTTCTTCTGGAGAATCTCCTCATTTAAACCTTACTACTCCTCAAAGCGCTGCATCAGCTTCCTGGATGTCTTCCCCTATGGATGACAATCCCCAACAAAACTATTCTCAGGTAAATCTTCCCCCTTCCATCAACATCATCAATAACAACAACAACAACAGCAGTATCCATCAAATGAACACCCCTTTCCCTTCTTCCAGCAATAATATCATGCTTCAACATGGCTTGGTTAATAGCAGACCTCTACCTTCTAATCATCATCTCTATGGACAACAAAGTCAGTATATGTCTCATCCATTGCCTCCCAAGGAAGATGTCTATCGAGATTACCTAGATGTTCAAGAACAACAGCAACAAGAACGTCAAAGACAAGCTCATGCCTACTCTATGGGTCAACATCAATTCATGTCACAAGCCATGAACACTCTTATGCACACTAATTACACAATTCATCCATTTGATCCCTCTTCCGATTGCCATACGAATAACCCTGTCCTCTACAATATGACAGAGGGAGAAAAGCAAAATCAACAATTTCAACGACTTCAACAACAAAGACAGCAACGCGATCTCATGACGCAATACAATACGAATAATAATACACGAAGAGCATCTGCACCTGTATCCTCTTACTCGATCACCAACAGTAATAGTTGTGCATTGAACAAGGCCCATCTAAAGCTCAATGGTGACCTTATGAATATGATCACCAACTGGTCTATGCCGGAATGGCAATCGGGTAGACGTCTTGTTCAATTCTGGCGTCATGCAAACACGGGAGCGGATGGACAACTGTCACTGGTGGAATGTGGATTTGAACCCATGGACCAACAGGTGTATCATCAACAAAGAATGCGAGATAATGTTGCTGCTGTGGCTGCTGCGGCTGCTGCTGCTGTGGCTGTCTCTAATGCATCACCATCACTACACGGGATGAATAATAACAGTAGTCGACCTACTCCCATTGTAATTTCATGTATTTACTGGCGCGAAAGAAATGATTACTTTATCACATCTGTGGATTGTATCTATCTATTGGAAAGTTTGATTGGAATACAATTTACGGTAGAAGAAAAGAATCGTATTCGACGTAACCTTGAAGGATTTCGACCCCTGACTGTTTCGAAATGTAAAATTGAATGTGCGGATTTCTTTAAATTGATCATGTCCTTCCCGCATCCTAAACCACGTAACATTGAAAAGGATGTCAAAGTCTTTGCTTGGAAGACATTACCTCATGCTTTACGTAAAATCATCCGAAAATACACACCTTCTTATATTACATCTGCTCCCTTGGAACCCATCCACCATCATCCACATCAACAACAACAACATACTCAAATGAATCGAACAAATCATCCTTACTCATCCAACATTTTTTGATCAAAATAAGACGCATTCTCTACTAACTCACTATGGCCAAATTGACAGTGTCAATTTGAAAAAAAAAAAATTATGAATTTAACTATGAAAATTAAAAATATATAACATCTATGTGTACATAATAAGCAACATTTCATTATCTAATTATTCTCTACCCTATTCTTCTTTTTCATACATACAAACATATATTTTCTATCTGTGTAGTCTTAACACATCTACCCCCCCCCATTCACTACTAATAATAATCATCATTTAATAAAATAAGTAATTTTTTACACGGGTTAACAAATCGGATTTCAACCTATTTTTGGAAAAAGAAAAAAAAAAAAAGTGGGATTTTTAAGTTCTATCAATGCTCCCTTCCCCCTATTTCACTCCTCTTTGTCCCTCCGAAACCCCAAATACGTAAAAAGGCATTACGTAACCTCTTCTACATAAAACACAAGTGAGGGCCAATGATGATATCAGTGACGTACAGGAAATATATATATATATATATAAAGGGGACCTCACCGCTTATACATTTACATATAAAAAAAGGAGGGAGGGAAAGGTGTCTGCAAGTAACTGATAATTGAAACATTGTTTCATTCCCATTTACCTGTATGAATTTTTCCCTTCTTTACGATAGTGAATTGATTGATGTATCAGTTTCAAGTGAACCAAGAATTAAAAAAAAAAAAATTATTATTTCCACGCGATGATCATGCTATTAAGAATATGATTTTTTTGTGCTTTACACAAATTGCCTTATAACCTCAGAAACTAATCTAAATTAGCCTTTTTTTTTTATTGTATCAGCTAAAAATCGCGATTATTCATTCGTAGCAAAGGGGGTGAAATATTTCCCTAAGAGGATTGATGATTGCTATCTAGATTTTGTTTTGTAACTCCCTCTTTTAGTAATAAATGATTTTTTCTCATTTCTCAGACATTGTCAAATAAAGTGTCCGTAATCTTTACAAAAGGGTTAATTATGTTGACAATCATTGTGTAAATACAGAATAAGGGGTGGGGGGTATTGTACTAGTTATCCTGAAACCCAATATAATGGGCAGTGATAGATACAATATTTAAGGAACATATTAATTTTAAGGTTAAATGCACAAACAACAAACCCATTATTGGTAATCCACATGCATTTTCTTCTTTGTAACAACTGCCCCGCATGAGGTTTCTGCTCTTTTTTTTTCCCACTGTACGTATTGTGCATAAAAAAAAGGGGGGGAGGGGGTCACAATAGAATATTAGTTTTAGTCTAGAAACAATCGATGATCAACGTTATTTCTTTTTCTTTTCGTAACTTCAAAATAATGACGCTATTGACTCATTGTACGTAGATCTACTCACCACCCCCACCCTTCTCAGATGAAATATATATATAAAAAGCTGATTTAAATATGTAAAAAAAAAAAAAGTGAGACACAGAATCATTAAAGTTTCAGTGACCCTAATTTGTCATGCTAAACCAGGTCCTAGGAGCAGGTTATCATCAGACTTTTTATGGCGTAACTGAAACAGTGTGAGTCTTTTTTAATCATTCAAACGGACATTTACATTGTGCACTCATTTTATCATTTAGTAATTTCTACTGCACATATGAAACCTACTATTACTTGTTATTGCATCGAATTCTCCCTAATCTATTCATGAATTTACTTCTATCCATTTTTTCAAATCTAGTAAAATGCAAATTGAAATGTCGTGGTTTCAGAATTTTAGTTTTTTTTGTTAAAAATAGCATTTTTTTTTTATTCGGGGGGAGCGGGACAAAAAAAAAAAATCTCTGCCCTTGAGAGGTGCAATTTTTTTTTTAATAATTATTACTTTTGTACAACAAGACTTATTCTGGAAACATTCTTTTTTTACTGAATGATTGACAGACCCCCCTCACACGGTCCACCTGTTGAAAAGGAGGGGGGTGAGGATCGTCCTCATCTTTGACTCCTAAAACAAATTACATCATTTACGCTAGGGAGTAAGGAAAAGACTGGAATATTCACAAATAACGGCACTGCAGAAAGGAGCTCGTTCATCTAGATATGCAGAAGCACTGTTTTTTTTTTTTCAATCATGATTCAATAAAAAATAAAAAAATAAAAAATTTAACTGCAGTCGGTCATGGCGCCATGCTTAATCCATGAAATTTCCTTTTTTATACTTTTACAGTTGTTGCACGGATGATTTGGGGGGAGACGGGGATCGTATACACAATTTCGCGTTTATTAAGAATCCGATTCCATGTATATTTCTTTGAGAAAAAAAAAAAGATATTATATATTAGCTGAAAAGAAAAAAAGGCGTGGGGGGTATATATACTCCCCCATAATACATATGTAGATATCACATGAATAATGGGAATGCAGAATGACATAGAACTAAGCCTAGATTGGCTTCTTTTTTTTTTTTTTGTTCGGAAGTCGGGGGAGATGTAAACACCAATAGATATTCATGATCAACACTTTGATGGGATGAGATCATCTATCCCTTGTACACAGATTAATGTCAAATAAGTTATAATGGTTTCTCATGATACTATGGACCTGGTTTTAGATTTCATTTTTAACTTTCTCCGCCGAAAATAATGAAAATCACTAAGGAGACTACATAATAAAAGTAACATTAGTCAGTAGACTATTGGCTTACATGTTGCAAAGATGAGCCAAGCCAATATAAAATGAAAAAAAAAAGTTAATTTACCACAACAAAAAAAAAAAAAGTTAGTGCCTGAGTGAAAGTGGGGGGGGGGAAGAGCACATGTTTTTGTTTCCCAGCTTAGAAAAATGGAGTCAAACCATTTATATGTACAAGACCGGCGGCCTAAAGAACTATATCCGCAAGCTTTTTCGCGTTGCACCAATAGCTTAAAGATTTCCCACTCAAAAAAATTTTTTTTTTTATTGCTGCTACGTTTTTTTTTTTTGTCTTCCTTTTCATTTTCGTAATAGAAAGGACAAGACCGAATCAACGGGTTGTATAGATGTCGAAGAAGAATAACACAAACTTTATTTTTATTTAAAGAAATAAGTTAGTACAACGTATCCATCGCGATTACATATTTTTTTTTCTTTATTTTCTAGGGTGAGAAAAATATGTGAGATTGATTACATGTTGAAAAGAAGATAGTTATTTGATAAGATACGAAAGGCAGTATTCTTCAAGACTGTCCAAGTAGACTATATAGATTACTCGAGTGGTTGTATGGATCCATCACACACACTCTCTCAAATCACCGAGAAGGAAAAACGTAAGTCTTTTTTTTTTTTTTAAAAAAAAAATAGATGTTTGGATAAACATCCATAAATCCTAACAAAAGCTATAATAGAATCGATGGATAAAACATGCTTAAAAGCTTCAACAAACTGTTTACAACAAGTATAGTTGATGGATTTAGTTTTAGTATGGAAAGGAAAACTGTTTCTGTGGATAGTAGAAGTTCGACATTTTTTTTTTTTTTTTTTTTTTTGTGGGATTTTCGTGAATAATTTTTTTTTTAATAAATCAGAAAAGGGACAAACAACAACAAAAGACGCGTAGATTTAATAACTACATGGATACACTTTGTTTATTGAACAGATCAATGAAAAGATATAAATCTACGAGAGTACATTAGTAAAAACTTTTCCACCGAGAGACCCAGAAAAAAAAAAAAAAAAAAAAAAAAAAACGCGAAAAAAAAAAAGGTTTAGTATAGTCGATCAAATCTTTTCTACAGTGTTCAACGGTAATTTTAAAACTGTCTGGATTACTTTATGCTCCTTCTATCCGAAAAAAGTTTATCGATTATTTGTTTATAAAAAAAAAATGTTGTATCCGTAAATTTCAGCGTATCGTGAGATATTTTTTTTTTATTGTTTACGGCTAGTAGAGAAATACATAAATATACGATTACTAATCACAACTCGTGTTGTGAGTGACTGATTTTTTTTTTTTAATATCTCACTGAAAATACAAAAAATCATGACAACCTTGCTTGAAATACCAACCTAGTTACCAGGAAAAAAAAAAAAAAAAGTAGGCTCGGGACTTAAAGTTCATTTGTAAACACGAGCGCATATTTCCGAGGTGTCTTGAAATCAATTCTTCTAATCCTACGTGATCATAGTACCCGGACTAACATTCTAAATGTTTTGCCTTGATTCAAATATGGATAGTATACCTACTAGTGATGGGCCCTGGAATTTCTATTTTTTTGTTTTGTTTCAGTCGATCGTATTAATGCCGATTGGATCGTGTTTTTCAACCTCCGATTTGACAGCTGTACTTGTGGGAAGATCAATAGCAGTAAATACCGAGCGGATGGGTTGTGCTTAAAGAAAATAGTAACGTTTTTTTTTTTATTTTGCTAAAGTATATAAATTACTTAAAGCGTTATCATAATATGTCCCATCTTTAGTTCGTTGTGCGATGACCTATTTTCCCTAAAGAAAAAAAAAAAAAGAGCAACCATGATTTGTGTTGATTTATCGCCCATTTAAATAAATCTCACACACACACACCCAAAATTGTGTGCACGTGCCCGACCTGCTCCCCCCAACTTAACTTGACTCCGCGGATTTTATTTACCCGGTGAAAATGGTCCATTTTATTATTTATCTACTTTAGGATGTCACCCGGGTTTTATTTACCAAGTAGTCGTTATATAATGCATTCCCTTTGTTTGTGCGAGGTGAAGTCTCCCATAAAAAAAAAAAAAGGGAGGAAGGCTAGAGGATCTCAGATCTCAGATCACAACCGTCAATATACTATCCCAAGAACTGTGGTAGCTCCCAATAGAGTAAATGCTTGATGGCACAATAGTACTTGGCGCTTTAACAATTACTAGTGTGTCTCTAATTGAACAACCAAGATAACTTGGCGTGTTGAGATCCAAACTAGCTTCATCCACATACACACAAAACGCCAAGGGTTAGTTTAGTTCTTATCGTGATCTGCGCCTATTTTTATACCCTCTAATGGCGTTAAAAAGAAGCCTCCGCGCGCTATTATGATCCAATAAGGCTACAAGAAATATTGTCTTAACCATCAAAGTGGTAATCATCATAGGAATGAAGTTTCCCGGTGGAAAAAGTGTCCTTAAATAATAAGCTGGATAATTCCCGAACCCTCCGGTTATTTACCGTACCTTTTTTTTTTTTTTTTTTTTTTTTTTTTTTTTTTTTTGCTTGAAGGATAGCTACCGAAAAAATAACCAGGTAATGATCGTGCTCTTTTTTTAAAAAAAAAAAAAAGTTGTGAGAGGCTTCCTATTAGCCTGACTTGTGTTACTTGTTGTAAAACTTCTAATTAGGTTCTTTTTTTTATTTTATTTGGTATTACTCGACCCGAACTTTGTGACCAGAAAAAAATTGTCGTCTAGAGCTTGATCCGCTTTAACTATCGAATACTTTCTTTAACTTGTTAAAGTAGAAATAATATTTTCTACCAGCTACTGATTTTTTTATTAGGCAGAGTTAATTTATATAAGCTCTTTCTAATAGCTTCAGCGGGAATGCAACTTTATAAAAATGCTGACAGACGGTAATGAGACAGAATTAGCAAAGTACCGAAATTGTAAGGATTGGTTAAACCCATCGAATTGTTAAAAGAGAGCACTCATTTAAACATCTATCAAGCAAATGCAACCCGATAAATTGTTACTGACAACATTTTTTTAGAGGGGAAGAGCGAAACACGCGATCAGTGGCATTCCCTGGTGTCAATAAGGTAAATGTATTGCACCCAGTTTAGCTTATTGTTGTTGAACGGATATTGACTTAGAACTATTTATTTTGCAGGCTAGTAGAAAACCCACAGCAACGAGGAATATCCCAATAACGTATGTAAATTCATATTTTTTATAATTTTGAATGTTTGACAACATTTTGCGTCTTGTGTTGCTGTTCTTGTTTTAATAGCCTCACTCAAACAATGATTTACTATTGATTTGTCTAACGAAGGTAGCTCTTTTCAAAGAACTGACTTGAGCGAGTGAACCGATTTGAAACGTCTTGAGCCTAAACACTATACTCTGCCGAAACTACATGGAAAGTTGGAGTCGGCCATTGCTGTGACGTTATGAAGAAGGAATGTGGTGAACTAATGATCAAAATCAAAAGTAGCTAATATGTCCCCTCTAAAATATATATAGAAGAAGAAGCCTTATTCAATGATACATGGAATCCATTTACTATCAACATAAGTCAGAATATGCTGACAGTATTAATAAACCTGGTCTGCAGTATATATAGCGTCTGGGCCGCTTTAAATCAATGTGCAGCGAACGCTTTGTACTTGGCCTCAGTGTAAGTTTTTCAAAAGTTTAACTAAATGATTTTTGATTTGTTTCTAATCTCAAAGCAACTAGACAGTGGTCAATGGATTTAAGAGTGGGTTTGTAAAAAAAAAATCGTCTGTTTCTCGCATGAACACCACAAAACCACGGTTCCCTTATAGTGAGCGGTATTGCACTATGCTTGGGTGTCTTTTTATCAATTTTATTGGATGTCCGAACAGCATTTATGCTTTGGATAGAAGAGGCTCATTTAGCAAAGCTCTGGGTTCTTAGTATAATAAATACATTCGACGATAACACCATTGGCTTGACAGAAACTAAGGAAATTAAGCTTCAAATACCATCACGTTTACGACAGCTACTAATACCATTTTTTACTACTAGTGCTACGGCTCGTATTTCTACAACTAACACTATTATTACTACTTAGTATTGCAACTTACTGTTTTAAAGTATCAATAAACTGTTTACTTATTTGAGACTAAAACTAGACATCTTTTTATAAGGAAAGGGTATAGATTGTGATATGGGAAGATCAATTGAGAGCGTGGATTAGAACTAGACATTAATGGTCTATGATTCAGTACAACAGGGTCAATATTGACTACCATAGGTAGATTATAGGCTGGATTTATATCATGTTATGTAGCATTTGGCTCGGTTGTTATAACTCAATTGGCTTCGAAATCATGGTTAAAGCAGCACTCCATTTAATTTTTGTATGCCAAAAAAAAAAAAAAAAAAAAAAAAAAAAAACCTATAATTCATCATGGTTGAAACCTATGACAATGGTAACCTTATTCAACCCTTTTGAACTTAAACAAGGTTGGACAAATAGAGTATAATGTTTATAAAAAACAGCTTTTAGAAAACAGGCATAAAAACAAAAAAAAAACAGATGCATACAAAAATGCGTTAATAGGTGTAAACTTATTTTCAGGCGTATGTGTAGACTTTACCGTAAATTGAAAGTGGAAGGACTGTAACACAGCTCCCCCCGTTCCCCAAACACAATGACCTTTTAAGAAAAAAAATGTTGTCGCTGCACACATGCTGCATTATTTATTCTGGAAAGAGAATTAATTAGCGTACGGAGATCGTATTAGTAAATACTAATCCACGCGTTTAAAACACCCTATTGATTATTCAGTTATTACATTTAGCGATCCATGACAGCGGTTTAGTAGCGAGCTCGTGGAACGTGATACTAGGGAGAGGGTAAGGATTTCGGTAAACAGATGGAATGGCTTAGGAAGGGGAGGGAAGTTATTCAGATTACATTGTCCTTTGAAGGAATTTTTTTATATTTCTGATTGGCTACTTGATTTCACTCATTCATTTTAACCAAGTAGGCTTTCTATCAAAATTCGTCATTCTAGTAAAATTCCTTCCCCCTTTCTTTACACGGCTTCTCATTGGAAGATGCCCGAACAGTTGGCACACGACGGTATCATAGTGAGTTTCAGATTTATATTAGCGGTGGTTCACATCCCTCTCAATCATGTTTCCTATTGGTTTTTATGATGAAACCGTGAATTTTAATCCAGAAATAGGGGTTTATTTCGTTTTTTAGAAATCATAAAATATGGGGTTACACACATTGCTAATTGAAATTATTTTTTTATAAGCCATTTTCAATATAGTTTCTCCCCTAATTTAATTGCGTGAGTGTGTGTGTAAATGGCTCAATTGATTACCCTTAATTCATACAAAGCATCGAACGCATTTGTTACCTTTTTTAATTGAAATAAGTTCTTGATAACAAATTGCTCATCAATCTGGGTAAATTGTCTCTAAAAAGTTAGTGCAACACGAATTTGTTTGCAATTAAAGAATGTTTTTTTGCTACCCCCCTGTTCGGTTATTTTATTGTGTGTGTGCACACAGGTCTCAGAGCTTTTACTACACTGATCAATGTAACTTTCAATACATAGAATTAATATATAAGGTTAAATGTAAACATTGTCACACTCACACACTCCAAATATGTTTGTTTAGTATGATTTATAAATCCATTACTAACATTGTGAATGCCTTCTCCTTGGAAAAAAAAGAAGGCATTCTCGGATACTTGGAACATTAGAAATATTCGCGCCTTATGACTATTGAAAGGGGAAAATTATCTCCTTATTTTACTTTGACAACGAAATTGTTTGAAAAGGGCAGGGAGTTCCTTATTTGTCCTCCCCACCCCCCGCGGATATATCTATTACCATTGAAACCAACACGGTGGGTCACTGCCTAATGAATTACCCAACTAATAAAGAGGAGGGGAGGGGTGTGATTGCTGTCCCAAATAATACAGTCTTCTCTATTTGTTCTATTTTTACGTTTTGTCTTTGCTTCTTATTCACAATCCCAGATTATAAGAGCTCGTTAGCTTATCTGCATTAAAGTTCCTGGAATTCATAATTTCGTGTAAATTCAAAACCCAGGGTCGCAATAATACTCTCACGGGTGTGAATAGCGAGTGAGGGTCAACGGTAATGCTGATAGAGTTAATTATTTGTTTAACAGGTGAGATCGTCCTCAAAGTTTGGTATTTAGATGTTTTTTTTAGGTCAACCCGTACTATGCATGTCATGTTGACTTTTCAATCAAATCTTATTGATTGAGAAGGGTTTTAGAACGTTTAAAGAATAAGTATAAGGACTTTTTTCTTTAAGGAGGTTTATTTTCAGAAAATAGCGTTTAGCCATCGATTTTGAGTTCATGAGTGATAGAGACATGGTAGCAATACAAACGTCTGTCAATAAATTCATGTTATTTTTTTAATTGTATATGTATTCGCCAATGGTATAAAAATATGTCAACTTTCTATTAAGGGACCAGATGAAAAGAAATAATTTAGTTGATCACATTTCGGCATTTTGATTTTATAACACAATACAAAGAGGTTACTGGAAACGAGGGCTTATTTACCTCCCACAATATGAACAATTGTACGCGCAATATTTATGTCCAATCATCTATTATTTTCCCGGCATAATCAGCATGGTGACGCGCTCTGATGGTATTAGCTTTGAGTGGTGCGGCGATTCTTGACAGCCACATCATTGAGATCTGTCAAAATTCATGCATGAATAAACTTGACCTGTCATATTAATGACAAGAGCCAGTCAATGAGCGACAATTGGATGACTGTTTATATTACTAGTCGCTTGATAGCTATACTCAAATGTATATTTAATTAAAAGAGACAGCTGTACACTCACCAGCAACCAGTCTATGTATTAACTAGTTCCATGCAAGTTGATTAAATAATTTTTCACAGATAGTGTCAGTTGCTTATGTAATAGCGGATGAGATGGTTTTATAATGATAAATGAGGTTTATCATGAGTTCGGTACAAACAGCAACAAAAGGTATTTAATCTATCTGTTTTTACTCAAATGATTCATATCACTATACCTAAAAGACAATGTATTTTATGACAGCATGAATATGTGATCGGAGTAGTACATAAATAAAGAGTTTACACGATCAATATAGGACTAAATGAAGGTTTATTGTTCAAATAATCAAAGGAATATAAAATTGGGATTATTTTTAATTATGAGTGAACGTGTAAATATTTGACTTTTTGAAGCCTCAAATTGGACACGAGATACAGTGATTCGAGATTTATTGAAGAGGAGAATCATATCCATCATAAGATTGCATGAAACATTGGTATAGATAAATCTATCTTTTTCAGTTTCTTTGATATATTCGGCGAGAGACTTGGCAATGTCATTATAATCAGTCTTAAGTTCCTTGCATCTGTACACTATGTTGGATACTTGTTCCCGTAGATCATTGGATATATTATCATCATCAAGTACAGCCGGTTTGATAAACATCCTTATTATGAGTAATATGAACATAGTAAAGGTAAATAAACCAAATAGAATTACTAGGCCAAACTCTTTGGGATTTTCCCCCAACAAAAGTATAGTGACCACCATTGATGCGAGGAATACCCCAATCAGAAAATCGACAAGAATGTATTCATTATTTCCGGCGATTTGATTTTGAATACGTGTTTGATCTCCACCAAACATACGATGTCGGATTATGTTGTTAATGCCATTTTCGCCTTCATCAATCAATTTTTCAATGAGTTGCAAATGGGTCGTTACTTTCAACTGTAGTTTTTGTGTGAGATCCTTGCTCACAGCTTCATTTTCCTTTGGGAAGTGATCATACAACAAATCCGTACATTTATTGAGCGTCCCATCACACAGTTTAAATGTCTTTTTTGCATAGAGATATGCACCTATATGAGGCTGAGAAGAGTTTCTTGAAGACATTTTTGTTTTGTTTAAGAAAGAAAGTGGCAAAAACCATATAAAAACCAGCTTTATACCAGGTAATTTCCAGCTACAAGGGACTTGTTATTGAATGTACAACAGATATATTACATGAATACTTTAAATTACAAGTCATGTTACTGGGTATAAAGACAGCTTGATCTGGTGTAACACATACCTGCTTTAAACACCTTTGGGAGCTATGAACACCATGCTATTGTGGTGATTGCATGAACAATGGAGGCCTTTTTAATTTTTCTTTCAGATTTTTTTTTATGTATGTATTTTATTTATAGTAAGTGGGAGGAGGTCTAAGCGCTAGTATCTACAATGACGAATTTGGTACGCTTGGTAGTTTCTGATGCAGAAGTGATATTTTTAGGTGTAGGTAAAGTATATTCAGCTTGTTTAGATTCAATCACACGTCTCTCAAGATCCTTGAAGGGTATGCGACCAAGGACCTTTGCTGCGTCCTCTGGTGCGAATGTAGCATCTTCCTTTAATGTCTTAAACTTGGGTTTACCGACGCTGGGGAAAATATCGATCAAGGGTTCCTTCAATAACTCGACTGTTTTATCCACTCCCATGAGTTGTTCCATGCCCTTGGCAAATTTCTTTTGCAAAGGAATACCCTATAAATAAATACAATCTTTTAACAATCACGAACATACCAAAATAGTGATTTTCAGGCACACAATTTTTTTTTGTTTTTTTGTTTGTTCAATTGATAATTACATTCATTTCCATTTCTTTCTCTGAGGCCTTAAGTGTCAAAATAGCTTCAATACGCTTCAATGAAACACCATACTTGGTAGCTAATTTACGAACTGACCAGGTTTCGGGATCGGATTCAAAAGCATTGTATATTTCTTGACGACGGACATCGGAGAGAGGAGGTCTAGGTTGGAATAAAGGATTGTTGGGGAAAGGCTAAAACTATGAGTTAGCAAAGACTGAAGAAAGTATTGTAGAATGAGAAAACTTACGTTGGAGGTGCCCAAATAGTTGGTGGTACCCTTGGCAGGACGACTGTATTTAGCACCGCTACCATGAGCCCATTCGTGGAATCGACGTCTTCTTCTGGAAAGGTTGATGGGTTCTACTTCTTCCTCAACTACTGCTTCAGCTTCAACAGCTTGTTCAACAGCAGCTTCAGGGGTCTTTGTTTCTTCGTTTTGACAGGCAGTTGTAAGTGAGAAGAATCGTTGACTGGTGGTGGTAATGGGAGCAACTCTGATACCCTTGAAAAGGATGCTTGCTGGTGCAAACAAGCGTGTTGACTGCATTGTTCAGAAAAATATGTTGTTTGTTACAAAAAAAAAAAAAAAATGTTGCCCTTGTCAAGGTTTCCCCCCACTATAAAAAGAAAGCCACCAGTCCCGGTAGTGACTTTGTTTTTCATTTTTCTGTTGAGCACTCTTTTAAAATATTTGAAATATGCATGTCATTCAAATTTCACGTAAATGATGCAATCTTTTTCAATTTTTTGTGTGTGTGTGTGTCTTATGTTATAGTTTGATATGTGTGTTAATGCTATAGTATAACATTTTTTTTTTTAAAAGTGATGAGAAGTCAAGACATTGTATTCGGAGTTCTATACATCACCCCCGGCGGTTTTTATTTTAGTTGGGCAAAAAAAGTCCGTTTTTATTGAGATGCCTTCTTTTTAGCTTCGTTCACAACGAGGTTGGTCAATGGTTCCGAGAGTTTAAAGATACCATCACGAGTCATCAAACGATGGGCAGGCATAGGTTGATATGTTCCCTTTTGAATCACACCATCTTTGATCTCCACACTACCAACAATATCCTCTGGGAAACCAATACGTCCCCAAGGAGGAGGGTTACGCTCATCGTTGATATGCAACCATCTAGCATTGGGGTTACTATCGACATTTTATGCAAGTAGATTACATGCTATTTACCCTTCCTTCTGCCAATCAGCCATGGCTTTCAGATTCATATCATCGACCTTATGAATATTCTCTGCCAACACGTTTGTTAAAAAGTTGACGAATTTGTTATTCTCCACAAAAGTTTTAGGTGTCAAATTCTCTTTGTCTGTACTCCATCCTATAATCAATTCAGGTTCCAATTCAGGCTTTTTTAAATCGTCACTGGATACATAAGAAATCGCATACTTGTTCTGGGTGGGGTGTGCGTGTAAATAAGGGATAGCTATTAACGTCGGGTCAATAGGTTGAAAAAGCGATTTTTATTATAAAACACTCACAAGGAATGGCAGTGCTTTTAAATTGAACAGCAGAGGCAAATAACGTTCTCTTTTGAAAGAAGACTTGTCTTACGGCGAATTGTGTCTTGAGCATTTTGTATAATTACCAAAACAAAAAAAAAAAGAAGAAAAAAAGCATAAAACCTTTTTTATATATGATTTTTAATTTTGCGTCGCTTGTTCAATTATAATCCTATTTTAAATCATGCCGAAACCTTCTGCATTGCTGATGCTTGTCAGCAATCTTTCTTTCAGCTTTTCTTTACTACTGTACTCGCATAAAAGTAGCACGTTGTAGCATGTATGTGAGGTTGGTAATCTGCCAGGTAGAGATAGAAAATTTAATGCACGTCCATTATTAACAAGTAATCTGTTTTTTACCTGTCAGAATCACCTCCATTTTTAGCAATGACAAACTGAAGCTTACTCAGACCGCCAATAGGCGCCTTTGAAAAAAAACACACGTTATATCAGTATCAAGTTGATGTAAAATATGAGTTACTTACCCTATCTGAGCCAGTGGCAAAAAAGAGTAGTTTTTTCTTTTCTTCGTATGAAAAGGAATGAACTATTTCCCAAAAATACCTTCAAGTTGTTTTAGGTGAGTCAGTGTAAATACCATGTTAATTTGTCTCTATACATACTTGATGATATCCGAGTCCTTGGTCCATCCACCATCATAGACAGTAGATGTTTCCAACGCGTCAAAATCGAGATCCGAACTACCACAAATGAGTTGTTCGACTTCTTCCGGTCTAAAAATCTTGATGGCACTATCCTGACATACGATCTGGAAGCCCTCTCGAAAGGCATTGAATTGCTTTTCTACAGATTTGCTCAAGACAAATTGGGTATACAGCTCTACGAATTCTGCACTGTTTTCGTTGGTTAATAGAGTCTTTGCACCATCAGGCTTCAGATCACAGGTATATACATGGCCAAAGGATTGGATATCTACTTGAAACGAACGATCGTATTCAGATTCTATGTCGCCATGGAACAATAAGAGTCTTTCCAAGCCCTTTCCTAAACTCTACATAATATATCGGGAATAAATTTTCCAAAGCTAGAAAGATAACACACATTGATCTTACAGGATCCAAGCGTTTCAAGTCAGGTAATCCAATATCGACATCCATCAGTTTCTTGTAGAGTCCCAAGGGAAAATGCAGGTCTAGAATGACACTGTTGTATACGGCCAAACCAAGTAAAAGGCCCACCAATTTATATTCCCTGATATTGATATCATCCAACACAGGATTAGGACTAAACCAACATAACCTCGATTCCTCATTGAATGTAAACATACCGTATTTTGAGTCGAAAATTTCTCTTACGATCAATTGAAAGAACTCCTTTTGAACACCTCCTTCATCAACACCTTCCTCGCCTAAAAATTGGACTCTTAATTGTTTCTTTAAATCATGGATCGATTTCTCCTCCAACTTGTGTGTGTTAATGTTTGTTCTTTCTTTCTAAAAAAAAAAAAAAGGACACGCCTTATTATTCTTACTTGGAGAAGCGTGTCAGAGATGATGTGATCACGACGTATTTCTAAAACTAAATACGGACTATTTACACCTAAAAGAAGAAGGGGGCGTTTAGTGTCAATAAGATGCATGCGATAGTGACGGTTACCTTGGAATAAGGCCCTGAAAAAGGCATCTTGCAGTTCATGTCGCATCTGAAACACACTTTCGACTTTAAGAACGTCTGCCTTGACAGCAGGGTTCAACATGAAAGGATAATCACAGAAAGAGAATCTAAGAGTGTTATATAAGTACCTTTTGTCTCACTCTCTTTCTCTTCTTCTTTCTCATATTTACCCCTTTCTGTCTTTGAAATTGGGAAAATCTTCCTTGATTTCAAGCTGTTCGTTGACTGCATCGTTATAGAACTCGACATATGAGATGTATTTTTTCTCCTCGTTCAATCTATCTACTCTTTTTATTGGTTAGATACGCTCAAGAAGATAAGAGGAGTTACTTACACAGGGCAGCTATGCACTTTGTGGCATCAATCACCACAGGGTCGGAATTTGGACTAAATCCAGATGTACTAGATGAAGAAGGTACGCGAGAAAGTAGACGTGTAGAGACAAGCTGCTGAAGTATTTTCAATATATGTCTGAACTGAATTATGTATTGATCTTGCGTCATGTCGATATTCATTGTATTTTTATCAGTGGATATAGATGGCTCGATCAAATAGTTGCATAATTTATCCTGGTGTTCAGAGTCCAGGGCCGCCATAAATTCGCATAAGTCTGGTAGCAATGAATTTTCATGCGAGTCTTCCACAGCCATGGGGGACTTCAAAATAGGAGGTTAGTTTTGTTTTGTGCATGATAAAAAAGAGTAATTGATTCATTTTACTTGAAATAGGATAATAATGATGTTTAGGTTTTGCTCGACCATGCTATCCTTGTTATTTCGCGTGATGGATTGTAAAAGCCTTTTGGATCTTTCAGTAGCAGCTGTTGTTAAAACAGAAGGAAGCTAATTTTTTACTTTTTTTTATTAAAGTTGAATCTATTTTGTTGTAAAGAACGCACTTACTTCCAGCATGACATCAAAGGCTTCTTTGGCTTGTAATTTATCAACAGGACACGCTTGCTTTAATAGGGCGGATTTCTATATGTGCTGTGTATGAATATCTAGTTTATAAATTCACTCCTTTAATTATATCCTACTTGTAAGAAGCTTGAGCCTAAACATTCAGCCTGACTAAATACACTAGCGAGCTTTTCTGCAAGTTTTGTCCATTCGCCAAGTATTTCTGCTTCCTTCTTCAACCTTTTCAAAAGGTTTAAATCAAGATATTCTACAGAGAAGAGGAAAGCTGTAAGCATTTCAACAAGTATGTCATTTCAAGAAAACATTCTTTACCATCTGTTAACTCCATGTTCAACTAAAAAGAATAAAGAAAGACTTGTACGTCAGGAGCTGAATTTTAATCGCTTTTTGACCCGCATTGTTGTTCACGGGATTCACGAACTGCAAGTCACTTGTAGCCTATAAAATAAAATTTCTCATTTATTTATTTTGTCCTTTCATTAACCACAACTCTTAATGTCCCTCAATTCATTCTTTCATTCACGAAAATCAAGAAGCGCCGTTGCTGTAAAGCAAGATGAAGGCAGCACATTTGCAGCTCAAGCACCACAACCCATCTATGACCAATTAAAAAAACCTGCCGTCGTTGAAGAACCCACCTATTGTAAAAATAGTATCTTGTACTATTTGAAGCCAATGAAAAAAGCAACTCCAGCACCTGTAAAAGAAGAGCAGGATATCGATGCATTACCTTGTCGTATCAGAAAGAAAACACCAATAACCTCCATTTGGGACGAAATTTTGGATGAGTTGGAATCAGATAGTTTATACCCTGCTATAATTCACGTTGAGACTAAAGTAAAAAAAAAAAAAAAAAAAAAGACAAAGAGTTCCTCATTAATTCATTTGCGTGTAATTAGTCTGAATCAGCACAACCCTGTCGTATTAAGAAAAAGCTTGAAGCAGCCACAGCTTGGAAAAATATTTTGGACAAACTTAAACCCAACTCGGAATTCGCGCAAGAAACAACTGCACAGAAAAGAAAGCGGCTAGAACTGGGAAAGAACACTAGAGTAAGTGCCACCTTCTATGATCGACTTTTTCTCTAATATCTATCTTAAAAGAGTGTTCGTATTCGTACATGTTTAAATCCTGATATCCTAAGACAATCTTCGTTGTTGGAAGACTGCATGGAAGACTTAAAGGAGGACTTGTGTAGACCATTGAGAACCAAATTTACTCTAGAGCAAAGCAACAAGATCCTGTTAAAAATGGCCGACGAGGTATTCATGTTATCCGATAATACCTGGCTTCTTGTTTAACTCTCTTCATTTTCCCTAACCTGGTGCTTTTCTTTCCTAACAGTAACTTTTTTTCAGAGCATCCTCACCAGTCGCGCTTAAACAACCCTTAGCTTAAAGTGCAGTTAATAAAAGTTTTAAAATCAACTTTAGCAGTCGACCAAAAAAAAAAGAAGTTGGGTGTGCCTGAAAAAAAAAAAACGAATTATGATGGTTTTTTTTTACATTCAATCTGGTTTCGGCATTCTCATACTTTTTAATAATGTTTATTTCCTTGTAAAGAGGAAAAGAACTCAAAGATAGGCTTTTTTTAACTCGAACTTTACAGTTTTCTTGGGCGTTTTTAAGCGTCACTGCTGGTGATGCTCTTAACAAAATTATAATATGTGAGTATTTTATTTTGGGTTTATACAAATAAAAAAAATCTAATTAATCGCCCAACTTGCTGCAACCTCTGCTTCATCTTCTCCTACAAAGGGTAAGTGGATTGTATTAATCATGGCATCACCACACATCAAACACTGATGAGCAACAATGTCATCTAAATCATATCGTAGACCTTCAATGCGTGCATTGATGGCTTTTTCATCCTCCGCTAGCATCGTTCTTGCCAGTTTATACTCGCGTGATAATTGTTCTTGAATATCAGCTAATTTTCGTATCTGGCGCGTCGGTAAGTACTTCATAGAACGATTAATTAAACAATCAGCGTGGTATTGATGGTTACATGAAAACACATAGAATTGTCGTGTTAGTAACGGGTATTCGCACAGATAGCACGTTTGCTCTTCCTTCACTACCGCAAATCTCTTTTTCAATTTACGAATGTCGAGTCGAATATGATCTGCACTTGACGTGGCGTTATCCATTTCCATCTTTAGTTCTTCTATACTGATATTATATTCCTCTAACGCAGAACATATCTCATCTTTAAAGTCATCAATAAGTACAAAATCGGGAAAAAATGGCAAGATATCTTCCATCTTTAAAAGGTCGCATTTCTTTAAGAATTGCATAGCACTATATTTTTTATGTTTTTTGGTGAGTTAGCCCTTCCCCATCTTTGTTTGTATAAATTTTACCTCTTGATATCCTTGTTGTCCTGAATCACGTATTTGGCTATATTCACCCACAGCCTTTTACGTAAAACATCGTCGTCTTCTGGCTTGTCTGCGTTCACACGTGCAAGGTCCAAATCTCGGTGCTAAGAGTAAATGAAAATTAAAATCAATAGCGAAAAAAAAAAAAAAGATGTAGATAAATGTACCCCTAATGCTAAATCCACAGCTTCTTCATACAGTCCCATTTCACTATAAATGTGCACACAACTCTGAGTACGACCATGATGATTACAAATTCTCAGGGCATAATCCAGCTTATAATGCATCTCTCGTCCCTCATTTTTCAAAAAGGTCAATAACGCGGTTTCGTCATTGGTGGGTTGTGTTGCGTACAATGTCAGGAGGAAATTATGGATGACAGAATCTGTATTTCCCAATACAGAGACAACATAGGAGAGATATCGTATTGCTTGATTCTACACATTTGTTCAAGTCAGTATATATAGAGTGAATTATGCGTTTGTTTCTGTTTTTTTTTTTTTTACCTCTGCTATTCTGTCTATTCTGTTTGCATGATTATATCGTAATAAAGCAGGAATCAGATGTCTTGGGTTCAGATTTGGATGATGGATCCACATATCTACTGTTTTTTCAGGTACATTTTCCATCAAGGGAGAACTGAATTTGTAAAACAAGTCATTTTTCACCTATTAATATTTTACCAGTGAGAAACCCGGGATCTGGAGGGAGGGTAATATAGTTCGTACTTACTTGCTTATCCAGCACTTGTATCGCCTTATCCCAATTCTTTTCAAAAATCCAGTTATCAATCACCTTTTCATAATCACCAATGTAGAATGCATAATACAATATCTCTGAATGTCTGCCATGACTAGAGATCAACTTGTATGTGGTAGGTACATGCAAATTCTCGCCATAGGTTTCAAGAAATGTACGAAATTCGTCCTTGATGCTTGTTTGCTCGTCATGATAATATTTAGCTGATTTAGCAGTTGTGCCAGATGTCGAAGTAAAGTTGACAGAAGTTGCTAAATCTTCCAACTGATTCATTTTAAACAGATAAAGTTCAACAAGCCAAGTGGATATTAATGTCTTTTGGGTTTTATCCTAGTTTTCTTGTATATTTAGCAGCCCGGAATTGTTAGGTAATATTAAGGACTTACTTTGGGTCCTAATCTTTCCAGACGACTGATCAAGAAAAACCTCAGGGCATCTCTTTCCTTCTTTTGGGTGAATTTTAATGCGACTTCTTCAAACGGAACAGTACTTTTTGCAAAGAACTTGGCACTTTGCATGTATCGACGCTGATCAAAGTCCTCTTTTGCCTGTGCCGTATAGACTTGTGTTTTTTGTGATGGATCTTTACAATACTGTAATGCGACAGTGTACTGCTTCTTTTGTAGATACAGTTTCCAGACATCTCGTTCTTCATCCTTGATGACGAGTTCATAGATTGCATCGGAGGTGTAAATCCAATAGGTTCTCTTAAGTTCATCAACGGAAATGCCTCGTACAATTTCGTTTTTATTTAACGGGATAATTTCTTCAAACACAATCTTGTCATTCAACCGACAGACAGCTCGTACATAATCCTGGTACAGTAAAATGTAATGAAATTCAGTGATGACGATTGAAATGGGTATATCCGTCACAAGATTGCCAGAATCTTCGTCGTAAGAGGTGGGTGGAAACGGTAATAATTGAGCATTGTCAATGATCCGTTGATCCCCCTTCACAAAATCAAGATCGCCCTGATAAATACCTGCTCCTGTCAGCCAAACAAACATTTGTGGTACACCCTTTGATTGTAATTCTGGAAATCGATTAAAGAACAGCATTTTGCTGTACTTGAGCTTACTAGGTAATTCTTGGAACTGTGGATGTTGTTGGTATTCAGCGAAAAGCGGTTCAAATAAAGCTCTCTCGCCTGTATTTGTTTCTGTTGGATTGGTGTAGCGTACAGAACCCACAAAATGATAAAGACGTGTGGGTGTGGATAACATGACTAAATATTTACGTCGATCGGATGGAAAACGCTCAAATGAAAGCCCGGTGATGGCCATATCCGGTTCATGCAAAGAAAATACCTGAATCACATATTTCTCTTCGCGTCGAAAGAATTCGTCGTTGGGTTCTAACCATGTTTCATACACAAGTCCCTCACTCGTGCCAATTAATATCTCTCGGGTCGTCGTGCTATTCATGTCGGCTCGTTTATTCCAAGCAATCGATGTAATCACAACACCCTATGCCGTTTTTTTTTAATTATTATTTGGATTTGTGTTTATTTCTTGTTTGCATTTTGCGTACCTTTAATTTGGCTAGCTCTTTGGTGCGTCTCCATTTCTGGTATAGGTAAAAGTTGTCGCCTGTATCTGTTGTCACTATAATATGTCGACCTGTAGGATCCAGGAACAGTTGTGTCACTTTACTAGAACTCGCTTTTCTAGATATCTCCACCACTGATTAAATACAAGTAAGTAAGGTTTATAAGCACATCGCTTTATGCGCTTTACCGTCTACTTCCAGTGGATTATCGAGGTCGATTCTTAATATGCGAAAATTATCCAGGACAGCCGCTAATATATTATTTTTGACGGTCATTGAGACTAAACTAGCTGGCAATTGAAACTGAACATACTGTAAAGAAAACAATGGGTCTCCTCCTTTGTTGGCATGTGCGGCTACAAACCCCGTTTCTCTCTATTATAAACTTTTTCTTTTAGCATAAAACATGATGATGCCATTTTCTTTTTCTTTTTTTTTTCTTTGTTACGGTTACTTTATTAATTTTAGGTGGTGGTGTTAATATCTTTTGGTCATCTTGGGTAATGCGTGTTTCCTGTTGTGTTGATTCCAAGAAATCATCAAAGAGTGACATTGGGACTTTATGGGATAATAAAGAAAAAAAAAAAAAAAAAGAATTAACACATATTCCCCAAAATAGGGGAAAGGGACGTCATATTGCTGACTTACAAAAAACCCACCTTCATATGCTTTGACCGAAGAAGCCAAACTGCTAGTTTTGCCGGAAATGTCTAGAACTCCGTATTTTTTTCAAATGAATTTTTTAGAATCACGCGATGGTCTACACGTCGATTGACATGCCATATCATCTAAACTTCATGGGATAATCGATTTCTGTTTTCCATAAAATCTGCTTCACTGTCATTACAAGCTACTATTGGAACGCAGATAGACAATTATCAAGCTCTGACTTGCTTGGGAGGTTTTTGCAAGTGTTTCTATTTTAAGTAAAGGCTCAAACATTATGGATGATAAAATAGACAAATGAAATCATCTTGGCATAAGCTTGTTTATCAGCCTATAAATAAAGCTGGTTCACACACTTTATTCTTCTCCTTTTCTTTTCTCTCAACATATTTCTTCTATCTTATGAAAGTAACCAATAATCTAAAAAGGTTAGTTAGTAATGACTCTTGTTTCTTTGAAAAGACACTAAATTGAAAAAGATGTATTACGATATTACGGCTGCGGCTAGTCTTTGCTATAGGAGGGCTACCTTCTAGGGCAGAGAGTTCTTGAGTTCTTTTTGGAACTCATGAACTGTGAATGGCTGGGATTACACTGTAAATAGTTGTAATCATACTGGTCTGCTGGTATTCTGGCCAGAATTCCTGTAAGTGGTTTAAAAAAAATACGTTTGGAAAAAATACGGAGGTCTAGACATTTCCAGTTTTGCCAACATTGATATTGCTTATATAGTCATGTATAACCTTTAAAGCTTGATTTCAGAGTAGGTATTTTTTCGCTGGGCTCCTCATATGATACTGCCACCGGTGAATTCGCCAAGAAAGCCACAGCAACAAAGCAGTTTGGTGACAAGCTGAAGTCGATCATTGCAACAAAGGGGGTCATCAACAGCGTGGTCAAGGATTGTAGCTTGAGCTCTTTTGAGCAGATTGCAATGCTGAAGTTTCCTGTCATACAAGTAATGGGTTTCGAGGCGGTGGTTTATGTTGTTCGTTTGGTATCCCCCAAACTTTATACTGTGCACAAGGTCCATAAAATGAATTTCCCGTCAATCTTAAAGATCAATGCTTTAACAAGGGAAATGTCTAGAACTCCGTATTTTTTTTCAAATAAACGTAATTTTTTAGAATCACGCGATGGCCTACACGTCGATTGACATGCCATATCATCTAAACTTCATGGGATAATCGATTTCTGTTTTACATAAAAACTGCTTCACTGTCATTACAAGTTACTACTGAAACACATATAGACAATTACCAAGCTCTGACTTGCTTGGGAGGTTTTTGCAAGTGTTTCTATTTTAAGTAAAGGCTCAAACATTATGGATGATAAAATAGACGAATGAAATCATCCTGACATAAGCTTGTTTATCAGCCTACAAATAAAGCTGGTTCACACACTTTGTTCTTCTCCTTTTCTTTTCCCTTGAAATACTTCTTATATCGTCTGAAAGTAACCGATCACGTAAAAAGGTTTGTTTAGTAGTGACTCTTGTTTCTTTGAAAAGAAGCTAAATCGAAAAAGTTATTATTGCGGTATATTGCAGCTGCGGCTAGTCTTTGCTATAGGAGGGCGACCTCCTAGGCAGAGAGTTCATGAGTTTTGGAACTCACGAACCGTGAATGACTGTGATTGCACTGTAAATGGTTGTGAATATACTGGCCTGCTGGTCTTCTGGCCAAAATTTCTGTAAGTAGTATAAAAAAAATACGTTTGAAAAAAATACGGAGGTCTAGACATTTCCTTTAACAAGATCGGAATTATTTATGAAGGATTGTTGATGATTGAAGTGAGTTCCTATTAACTACAGCAAACACAAAATTATTGATGGTTTATCTATATATTTTAATAGGAATTGGCTTCGGATGTTAAGAGGGCAATTGAAGACACCGAGGTTTATGATACACCAAGCAAGATGGAGAGTATCGAAAAGGGTATAAAGATCAAGAAAGTCAAGAGTCGCGATTGAACAACTCATTTTCACCTGCTTAAAGCACTAAGCACAGCCAAAAACAAGCTTGGCACGCTTAATACTCATTAAAATCAATAAAAGAAGAATCGAAGAAGCCGCCAATGTAAGATTTTTAAAAGAAGACATTTAACACTGATTTTCTCATGAATGATATAGGTTGAAAAGGCAAATCATTCAAAGTCAAGAAAAGCAAGAAAAGCAAGAAAAGCAAGAAAAGCAAGAAAAGTAAGAATAATATACAAATAACTACAAGTACTATATTCTAATTGTTTATGATATTTACTACAGGTGAGCAAGCCGACCATTTCGGCCTCCGTATACCACGGAACAAATTCTATTTCCAAGGATAGCCCGCAAAGCAAATATGTCACTGGTATTTGTTTTTATTCTATAGTCGTCCAAAATATTTATTATTATCCCGCTTAACTTATCATTATCTCTAAGCTTTGCAAAAACATGGTCGTAGACTCCACATTAAGATACTTCGATGAAGCAATGCAAACCGAGCTTCAAAGATATGAACTTGGTCCTATAGCCATACCCTATCATAAAAATCTATTTATAAACGTAAATACCTGGTATCTTATTGATATAAACCATTACTTAAATTTTAGCATGAATATTATGTAGTTGAAATTTGAGTCAAAGTCACACCTCGTACAAACTATCGATGCTATTGACCGATATAAGCCATCAGGTATGAAGAAGAGAAGGTTTCACAGGATTTGTAAATTCATATTAGTAAATAATAAAAATAAACTAATTGAAAATTAGCGTTCGACATGCATTTCTACAGCAGCAAAAAAGCGTACAGTATTTTGCTGGGCGCACACAATATTTAGCTGGGTACACACTATACTTGGCTTTGTAAAGCTGATTATATAATCAAATTCTGGGGCCATATCTTTGAATGCTTCTTTGAAGAAACCGAATTCGACACTTACTGGTAAGCAACTATTCAATTAACAATTCTTTAGATTCAGTATAATATTTAGATGCTAATTTTTGTTCATTAAGGGGCGACACATTGAATGATGCTTGCAAAAAAGAAAGAAGGCCTCCCGCTAATATGGACGTCATATATAGTTGTCTGGTAGTGGTAACATGCCCTCTTAGGTAAACTTGATTTTATGTATGACAGCAGCGAGGTCTGGTCACTCTGAAACCCTTTTCGCGCTTCATAGTAAGAGGTAATGTACACGATATGGTTGGTAACGTTTCAAAACAATATACCAACAGGAAAAAGGCTTTTTTTTTGTTCTGTTGCATCTCATTAGCAGCAATATGACCTCCTTGCTTACGTGAATGTCTCTTCTTGTCTAAAGAAACACAAGCTGTTACAGTGGACACATATTTTATTGGTATTTCAAGCTGTACATGTGGGAGTAAAAAGTACATGGAGTCTATGAATATAATAAAGCATGTCCACATTTAAACGTTTTCTTTGTCACTCTTCATAATCGGACAGTTTGACGGGCTCCATGAGTAGAAACGTTGTGCATTATACAGATTAGGTCAGTGATCTTTCACCATGACGCAGTCAAAGGGTGTGGAGTGAACAAGATTCTCAAACTACTTTTTTAAAGACATTCGATTAATAGAAAGTAAAGAGAATCTTTTTTAATCTTTCAAGACATTCAATTAATAGAGAGTAAAGAGGATCTTTTTTTAATCAAGTAAAAGTTTTTATTGCTTAATGGTTCATTTGTAGAGGATGGTCGGTCCTAATGTAAAATAACCCCCTACCGAAGTAGAGGGCAAAAAACCTACCGAAGTAGGAAAAAAAAGGTGAATTGAAACACCCGGTTAAGACAATACCAGTCCAGTTGCTAGCGGGAGAGAGTATAAGGCTCTGCAAGCAGGCACCCTACAATGAGGCCAAAATCCTATGGAAGAGGGTAAAAGGCACTACGAAGAGGCACCCTACAATGATGCTACTACTTGCAATCTCTACAGAACCACGAGTGATCCAATCCTAAGATTGAGAGATTATAGGCAGAGTGGCAAACATCAATATCCCACAAAGAAGTTGATGACACCCAATATCCCACAACTGGAGAGGTTACTAATGCTCCAAAGGAAGAACCCCGGGCCCTACTTACGGTATTGCGCCTCCAGACATGTTTCAATTGAAGAGAAAAAATCGGGGTGGGGGGAAAATGCTCCCCTTTTTATACTTGTGGGCCATGCAATCCACATGACTATCGATATGACTGCCTCTGGGTGGGTGAGTGTGTTTGCGCAGCAAAAAGATCGCTCTAAAAACAAAAAGTGTTACACAAAACTACTCTTTTTCCTGTAAAAATCTCTATTTTATATGCTACGAAAATTCATGCACTCTTTAAAGTCTTCACGTTACTCAACCGTCTTTTTTTTTGTTACTCCAAGTCCAGAATGAGATTTTAGACATTGAATTGGTCTACCTGATGTCTCATTTTCCTGCATCCTCACAAGGAATAAAAAAGGTTTTAATTAGACATCGTAGAAAGCACTCCAATGTAGTTATTTTTGTTGACCCTCATCACTGTTTATACCCAAGAATGTCTACTGTCATTCTGTCAAATAAGTCGTCTAATAAATGTAGTTTTGTCAAAATTGTCTTTTTCTCCATGAATACCAGTCATTATATAATGGGTTGAGCAGCTATTAAGACAAAAGCCCAGCTAGAATGTATAGCTAATGCTGTTGTTAAATCTCATTAACAGTTATTCTTTCTAGTAATGAGTCGTTTGTATTTTTTTTTTTTTTTTTTTTTTTTTTTTTTTTTTTTTTTGCTTCTTTATGCAAATGTTACGGCCCCGCTTCAACATTTCAAACTGCGTGTGTGTACTTTTGTCTCCTTGTGTTTCTTCTTTGACCTCTTAAAGTTATGTGCCTCTTAACAATCAGGGAATAGATCTACTAATGCTTACTTGTGTGAAAAAAAAAAACCTATATCGAACGCCGGATTTAGAGGGAAGGATAACACGAAACTATGTCGAAAGCAAGATCACCCTTTTAATTCAGCTTAAAATGGGATTCAACTGAATTGCAAGTGGGGGCCTTTGCTATTCCATTGGTAAGCTCTCACCGTGCGCTTCTTATGACAGACAGAATAGTTTAATTTGGAAGATTATGCCAGTAATCGTTCGAATAAATCCTATGTTAGAGGCTGTATTGAGTTTTGGGTTCTATAGCAAACTCTCGTAGGCCTTCCGTTAGATCTAAATTCTCAAGTATGCGAGCTGAAGGTTCAGTGCGCTCTCCGCTGCTCAATAATTTTTTCATTTGCTACCTGCTTAACGTTTTTCTTTTGTTGGGTCAGCACTACAAGTATGATGAGCACACTTTTTTCTTTAACCGTCACGGTTATCAGGTAATGTATGTTGGAGGCGCGCATTATTATACTCAGCAATGACAGCAACAGCAACAGCAACAGCAACGGCAACATCAATGCACGACAATTAGCCTTCCAGGGACAAAAAGTAAAAGGAATATGCAGCAGATATTGATCCAGGCAGCATCAAGTCAATATCGGAGGAGGGAGTCCTTGTCGCCACATCTTGTGCTTGAAGTGGAGGGATGGAACGTGATGTAGGAAGCGGGTGTGTTAAAGAGGTTTATTTTATCGATGTCATCGCGGAGACTCCATTATCTGGGTTCATGTATGTGCTTGTCTTTATGTCATCATATGGATAATCCACATCATTTTTTAGGACTAACTGTGTTTTCACCTTCTCGTGGTAGTCAGTTGAATTGTAAGTACTCAAAGTCTTTAGAGGAACTAAGAGAAATGCATTATAGTTACTCCAATACACTTTGATGAGTATATAACTAACTTGTATGACTTCAAATGTCGTTGTAGAGTTTCCGGTAGCCATGATGTCGTGATCGAGGCTATATACTTAATATATGACTCTATCTACACTTCTTAAATCTTCCATTTGATAATCCTAAATATAATTCTTATTGGTACTTTATATTAAATACTGATCATTTACTTTATGTACAGGCTTGATCTCATATCATCCTTCATACAAGTATAAGGCATACATTTAAATAATAACATAATATGAAAACATATGAAGGTTACATCAGCCACGTTGAGGTGCCACAGCTATCTTTAATAAGAACTACATTTTCCCCTAAATGTTGTGCTACAAGACATACACAGTTTAAGAATGAATGTTATTGTTATTGTTATTGACATCTCATTATGGTCTTTCTATATGGGATCATTACATCCGAGTATTATCTGGATAAATCTACCCATAACCGTCATCAGCCCATCTGTGATCAATGTCTGAAATAATGTGTATATAAAGACCCCCTTTTATTTGTTTAATAAAGCCTTAGTTAATTTTTGCAAGTTTGATAATTTTCTTGTTTTTTATTTTATAAATCTACACCGATTTCCACACATGAGCTCTATTATCAACCTTATAAAAATACAGAGCTCATACAATGAATAAGTACGAATGTATATCATATCCAAAAGACTTTTATATGGAGTACAAAAAATAGGTTATGCAAATCACTAGGAGAAAAGAACCTCAACTTTTTTTCGCAGAGACAATTGGTATGTATACAAATATTTATTGAAAATATCAAAAGATATAATGATTGGCTCTATCATACACAATAAAAAGTAGGCACTGAATAAATTCTTATTAAGAGTTTCGTCTTCCCGCTTAGGCCCACTATTTTATTTATCGCAAACACTCTATATGAATTTACGAAAGACTGATCGACTATTTTAAAAATATACATCATGTAAGCATTTTATGAGGTGCATGGAAAGTTATCAAAAACGAGATTCATGTGGCGGCGGGCAATATTTTAAAATGGTGCGAGGCAATTAAGACTAAGACTATTTAAAGTAATGCATGCTAGTGGCGTTTTGTTTATCACGGATAACTATGAAGGGCACAAAGCGTAAGTTATGTCAATAACAAATGCTGTTATTGATCTCGACAATAAATGTGTTGTTGTTAATTTCATTACTAAAAACGGCTTCTTGGGTATTATCTTACTTTAAATCTCTATTCCTTGTTTTACTGTTTACAAAAAAGGAAGAATAAATACTGGATCTTATTTTTCAGAGAGCCAAACGCTGACTGTTTTTCATTATAATAGCTTTTCAAATATATATGTGTTGTGGTATCTAATGCTTCTGTAAAAAATATGAATAACAATTATAAATAGGCATATTATAAAATAAGAGTACTCTGATCTCCCTCTTAAACGAACAATAGCAGCAGCTGCTTAAACCAGTTTGTCTTATGCCAAGTTATATGCTACATGTGCTCTTGACACATGTAGTCAAACTTGTGTTTAAGTCCGACCTTTGTTTTTACAAGAATTTAATCTAATTTTGCAATTCGATCCATCATGTAAAGGTTAAGAGATATAAGTACATGATATCAGGTATTAATTTCTTTCTGAAGTAACACTGGGAGTGTGTAATGTAACTATCAAGTAGTACCAGTGTATGCCAAGAGTTATTTTTACTCATCACACGATACCAAATGAAAATAAGACTCTCTTTTTTACGGATCTGCATTATAAGAAGACTGTATGCTTTATGTGGTGCATGTTAACCCATGGACTCTCTCTATTGGCCAGCAAAATAAATTTTAAATTAAAGTGCTCGACTGAATAAATATGGTTAGAGGATGTGAGACTAGCCAGCTTCTAAAATTAAGGTACAACTTAAAAAAGGAGGGTTTTGTATGTATAGTTAAAAAAAAACCTCACAATGAAATGATGCCATGCCAGCGCGTCTTGAAAAAGTATTTTGGTGTCGTGTAATAGCTTAATAAGCAGTAAAAATAAATGCATAGATGTTTTCAAGGGTTAATACTTTATATGCATATTTCATGGAGTATAGTTGGATTTTATAGTAGCACATCTTTTTACTTATATGGGGATTGGCAACCTTTTGTTATCGTCTCGCCTCGTTATTTTCTTTTAATAACTATTTTTAATAGAATTATGTGCATTCTATTGTGTAAAAATGTAACAGTCAACTTATTTTTGAAAATCTCTATGTAACCAATAAAACCCGGAAAAAAACATGAGCTACGAATACTTGCGGTTGTCAATCTCATTACTATTGAACTGCTAATTTTTCTTTTAATAAACCATTAGCTTCTATTTTTTATAGCCTAACAAGACCGTAGTCTTTATTTCCAAGCTAATTACTATAGCAAAAGTAATCTACTGGCCTGTTGAAAAGAAAAAAGAAATGAGTCAGTGAGAGAAAATTAGTTAAATTCATTGCACACGCTAATGATTTATTCAAACGGTGAATTAAGGAAATTAGCAGATATACTCTACAGTCAGATCACGTTCAAAATATATTGTACGATGGCTTGCAAAAGTTCTAATTCAAATAAGTTTTGGGTTTTCATGGTCATTGTCTCGTTTAGGACAGCCGTGCCAAGCATCTATCCGTTTATAATTTTCTGTGTTCCCCTGCATTTGAATTGTTTTTTTACTTTTCAGTGCTTTACTGCGAAATTCATATCCCGCGTTAACGCACTCTTGGTTTATTTTAAGCTTTAAAGTTTGCTTTTTTGGCTTTGCTATTGCTTATGAAGATGATCATTAGCACTGCATCAAGCTGTAAATTTCAAATTATTCAATTGATGGAGCGAAGCAGTCAATCAAAGGAAATCATATACAGGTATGTAAGAGAGTCTTCAGTAGAAAGTCAGCAAATTGGTGACAATGGAAACAACAGAAACTTGAAATAAAAAAAAAAAAAGATCGACATTATGGGAAGGTGATTGGGGGTTACAAATTATATACATGTCACACCAAGTTGATCCTGAATCTGTGTCACTTTCCTCATCGCCTAATAGGTCTGGATCATTGTGTCTTGAGGATTTGTATAAAAGAGGCAAGTATTTTTTAGGTTTTTTTTTTTTTTTCTCTTTACCTTTTTCACTTTCACTTTTTTTTTTATTCATACCTCGTTCGTTTTACCTTCCTTTAAACGATAACCCCTCCTTTCATTAAATCAACCTAATAATGCGTTCTTCAATTGCTGTTGCTGTCGCATGCATTGCTTTTGCTATGTCTGCCGACGCAGCTCCCGCCACATGTGTTAAATCTTACAAGGTCGTATCTGGTGACACTGTACGTATAATTCATATCTACAAATACAATCAGGTTACTTATTTTTATGTATAGTGTTCTACCATTGCCAAAAAAGCATCCATCACTTCTTCAAAGTTAATTTCTTTAAACTCTGCAGGTAATAATTTTAAGTTTTTTTTTTTTTTGTTATTACGAATTTGTTACTAATTTTTCCTAATCTAGTCAATTCCAAATGTAGTAATTTGAAGATCGGCCAAGTCCTTTGTCTTAGCACATCTGGCACTGTCAAGACTACGACCAAGAAGGCTTCTACCAAAAAGACCACCAAGAAGACAACTACCAAGAAGACAACCAAGAAGACAACCAAGAAGACAACGACTAAAAAGACAACCAAAAAGGCTACTACCGTTAGCCCTGTTGCCAAACCCATTCTCACTGCCACCGCCACTACTACCACCACCACCACCGCTGCCACTACTACTACTAAGGCAACCACTACCAAGCCTACCACTACCACTAAGGCTACTACCACTACCAAGCCTACCACTACCAAGAAGACCACCACTACCAAGAAGACTACCACTACCAAGAAGACTACCACTACCAAGACAACCACAACTGCCGCTGCTAAGCCTACTCTTACTTACCACAATGGTTTGGTTGCAGCTGTTAACAGCAAGACGGACTTCTGTATGTTCTTACCTTCCAGCCCTGGTGGAAAGGACGATAACAATGGCAAGATTGATATTGAAGCTATTTCCAAGTCCGAGAAGAGTGCTCTTGCATTCTGTACCAAGAAGAATGCTAATGCTCCTGGAGCCAAGATCTTCCCTCCTGGTTTCATCAAGTCCTCTCATTTCTTCCATAACACTACTGCCAACTACATCCAAGTTACTGGTAAGTTCAATCCTGCCAAATACTCTCTTTCTCCCAAGGACGAAGGTGGACAATACGATAACCACGGTAAAGGATCTCCTCCATTGTCCATGTGTTTCGGTTACAAGTATTATGTCAACTTGGTTGAACCCGATAAGCCAGATTACTGTATGAGATGTTGTGATACCTACACCGACTGTAATGCTGGTAGAAGTGCTTATGGCTGTGCTCGTGTTGTTGAAAACGGTGATTACTCATAAATAATTTAATTCTACTTACTCTGTACTCCTATCCTCTTTAACCTCCTCTTTAACCTTTCCTATTTTTATTTTTATTTTCTCGATAATAAAAGATTCGGCTCTGTTCTCACGCTTTTCTTTTCTTAAACACATCAATAAAAACTGTTATTTGTATACCCAACAATTTATTCATGATTATTTTGATTGTTCTATGACTATGCTAAAAAGGGACCTTTATTTTCCCCCTTTGTGCAATGCAGAAGTTATCAACGTAGCCTTTTTTAAAAAGCTTGAATTAAATTGATTGGCTGTTGCCACCATCTTGTTTTTTTTTTGAACCAAGAATTATAAAAAAAAAAGAAAAACAAACAAAACCTTTCTTTCTGTTTATTATAGAATTTATTTATTTAAAAAAAAAGAAGATAGAGCTATGAGTAATAAGGAGAGCTCAGCAACTATTAATATTCACAGCAATGAGTCAACACCTCTCATGGGCAAGTCAAGCTCGGCTCGTTCCTCTCAATTGGTTATCGATCAACAAAAAAAGAGGGAACTTGTTGGTTTATCTTACATGACACTTTCAGCACTTGGCTTCTCCACCATGTCCTTGTTTGTAAAGTTGAGTGGAACAAGCTTCCCTTCATTCGAAATTGTCTTTGCTAGATCAGTTGTTCAGACCTTTTTCAGTTTAATCGGCTGTGCCATGTTAAAGATCAACCCTTTGGGTCAACCCGGTGTTCGAAAGTGGCTCTTATTGAGAGGTTTAGCTGGAACTTTAGGCCTCTGTTTATTCTTTTACAGTATAACACAATTGCCTTTAGCCGATGCTACAGGTAAACATTTAAATATGTCAAAAATAAAAAATGAAAATAAAAACAGGGCAGTAAACGGGTTTCATCTATTAGTTGTGTTTTTCCTGGGTCCCGCTTTTACGGCGATTCTTGCTTCCTTGGTGCTCGGTGAAGCCTTTTCATTATTCGATGCCATTTGTTCTGTATCGTGTATGATTGGTGTTACTCTTGTTTCTAAACCACAGTTCTTATTCGGAGGAGGTGAGCCTATGGAAGACGATATGGATGAATGGCAAAGATTATTTGCTATTGCATGTGCCTTAGTCGGTGCTATGATGTCCGCAGTTGCATATGTTACCGTGCGTAAGATCGGTAGAGGAGCCCATTTCATGGTGCATGTTGTATACTTTGGTTTAGTGTCGGCCATCGTAAGCCCCATCGGCATGTTTTTCTTCCAAACAGCCGTTGTGCCACAAGGCTCTTATGAATACGGGATGTTACTTTTAGTTGGTTTAACCGCTTTTATCGGCCAATGCTTCTTAAATCAAGGGTAAAGTAGGCTGTCTATGAATTATATGACTTGTAAAACTAATCTTTGGAAAATAGTCTTCAAATGGCACCTGCAGGCCCAGGTACCTTGATGCGTATGAATGATGTTGTATTTGCATTCTTATTTGGTATCCTTATCTTGCACGAATACCCTGATATCTATAGTATCTCAGGTGCCTCGATCATCGTACTCATGACGTCTGCTATGGGCATTCATAAAATATATGTTCACCAGAAGAGCAAGAAATAATAAAAAAATAATACAGGCAACCCTTACTGAAATCATAACTCTATTTTCCAAAAAAAAAAAAAAAAAAAAAAAAAAAAAACCCATTAGTAATTTTTCTTATCAAATGTTTTCATGCAACTTTTTACAAATTGTATTGGCAACGGATATTAAAAAACATGCACGTTGCTAGGACAAAAAAAAATGAGATCTGTCTCTTTGAATGTAATCTTTATTTATTCTGGCACACAAATCATATACACGATGATGAATCATTTACGAAAAAAAATAATATTAAAAAAAAAAAAAAAGTCTTGTTTAGAAGGGATATGAAAGAGAGAGAGAGAGAGAAAGGCGAATTTTAATTTGCGGGAGGAGTTTCTGTGCCTGAATCATTAGCTGTGAAAAAAAAAAAAAGGACAATCAGTAAGAATTAATTTATATGGGAAGTAGAGTGTCCTTTATGTACCTGATGTATCATGTTGGTGATGAGGTGAATATTGCATGTTTTCAACCATAACAGGTCGTTGCATCATAACCGGTGGTCCCCCACCATTATTTTGCATCATTTCAGGTGGATAGCGCATCATCATAGGCCCTCCTACAACAACAAAAATTGTCAGACTCATGACTATACCACGACTTATGTCTATACTTTACCCTGATATTGATATACTTGATGTGGCATGCCCTGTGGAACCATGGGTGATCTTTGTGGTGAAGGGAATCCTTGTGGAAAAGGCGAACCATCTATATTCATACAAGTTAGTCCAAAAGTCCTACTATCCTTTCATGTCGTTCTTACGAGGCGAAACATTGCCCATTTGTGGACTGTAGTTTACAGGTGGTCCACCATTAGGTGGGGCGGGAATAGGCACGTTTTGAACAAACTAATAGCATCATTCTTATTTTTAAATATCACTTTGTTATACACACAATTTTCTTTTAAAATGTCTTACCTGAGGGTTCATATATGGACCTTGCTGAACAGCCATAGGCGGCATGCCTTGCACATATTGAGGATAACGGTATTGAGGGTATCCATAGCCATATTGAGGAGAAGGGTATCCCGTAAAAACATCTTCCTCATATGGAGCAAATTGGTTAAATTGAACTCTATAAGACTTGTTACCAAAAGGCCATGTTGGACCTACGGAACTGGGACTGATATCTTTCTCCACAAACGAAGGGACAAATGCTTCAGTCATCGTAAGGTGTTCCGAAGGATCGCCCTTCCTTAATTGTCTACCGACAAAGTTCGTCTTGTCAGAGTTCCCACCAGGAACAAATGCAGCTGCAGTAGGATTTGGCTTAAAGGAGGAGGCTTTAGCATTGAATTTGAACGAAGCGGCAGTGGCGGCTGCAGCTGCAGCTGCTGATGCCGATGCTGCAGCAGAAGCAGTGTTACTAGGAGCAGGAGATGTGGCGGTAGCAGTAGACGTTAAAGTTGCAGCTGGGGGAGGGGTAGCAGCAGGTACAGGTGGAGTAACAACAGCAGCGGGAGTAATGGCGGGGGAGGCGGCGGCGGCGGCAGGAGATGAAACAGCTGGTTTAGCAACGACAGGTTTCTTTTTCTTGTCATCCACAACAGCGGGTTTGGAAGCAGAATCCGGTGCTTTCTTACCCTTTGATAATAAAGGCACTAAATCAGCAGGAATAGGTACATTTAATTTGAAGGTCTGATGAAACATCTTGAGTTCTGCTAATCTTCCGTCTTTCTCTTTCTTTTGGAGGGCTTGTTTCTTTGCGTGAAGTTTGTCCTTTTCCATGATGGCAAACTGCTTGAAGGTGTTTGCGATTTCAGCTTCAATTCTTTTGGGTGGGCCAGGATTCGCCTAATTTTAAATATTAAGCACTTTCTGATTGTAGTATGAAGAGTCTTCTCATGATACTGACCTTTTCTGAGCTTTTTTCGCCTGATTCACGGCGTGTGGTGGGTAAATTAGCAATGGGTGAAGGATTGGATCCACTGGCTTTTGGAAGATCGGAAGTAATAAGTTTATTTAATGGGCTGTTATTACTACTCTTGACTTCTTTTTTAACCTGTTGCTGTGGAACCTGCTTACGAAGAGCAGGGGGGACATATTTATTTGGGCTCGTATTACGGACAACGGCACCGTAAAGATCCTCTTCATCCATACCATTATCCTCGGTAACCATACCTCGCTCTTCCATCATGTGCACATTTGTGGTGGAGGTCTATATGTATTAGTTTGACAGATTAGCATGGCAATGTCACACATGCATACATGAACACAATACCTTTTGGATCTCGTTAGCCATTTTAATAGCTCTCTTCTCGCGGTCTTTGTATCCAGGAGCTGATCGGTTGAGAGTCGTAGTATAAATCTCCTCATCGAAATCCGTCTTTAAACCAAATAACTTTTCATTGGCAGCAAATTGATCCCAAGATCCACCTGCTGAACTTTCCAAATCGCCTTCCAAAAGGCCTAAAGCATTCTCATCCTCAGCAGGTGCCCATTTGTGTAATTCACGTTCCTTAATATCTGATTTTCCACTAATATCTGTATCTGTTTTAAACGCTGACAAAAGAAAAAAATATTTGGTAAATTCATTTTATCATGTGGTAAATAAATACTTGTCGAACTTACTATGACGATCGGCGGTTGCAGGCTCGGCCCGTAACAAGTCAACATCCATGGCATTAATTTCAACCAAGTCTTTAGAGAAAATCATCAAGGTGTTCTTAATTGGGTTGGGATTGGTTTTGTCCTTGTCGATGGGAGCTGAGGGGTCAAAAATCTTTTGTGCAAGTTTTAAGGCAATGCCCAAATCACCTTCGGTAGAAGCACCATGCAAGATGCCTTTGAATTTAGAGCCGTCTTTCACGGTTGCTTCAACAAGAGAGCCCTAATGTATACAAGATTTAGTTTTTTTCTCTATATTGTAACTCAAAGGGGATTAGATAATTTACGGTCAAGTTTCCAAGTAAGTAAAGCATTCTATCATGCATTAGTTTGGCTGTAGCAGGGTCCTGAACAATAGTGTCGTTCTGATGGTTACGAGCAGGAGCATTGTTGTTGTTATTGTTGTTGTTTGTGCCCCACTTCTTGTTATTGTTGTTGGCTCCACGACTTTATTAAAAATTAAAAAAAGTTAAATGAGGTGTTAATTATAACTTTTATAAGATTACTTTTGCTGCTTTTGTCCACCAGCGTTAGCACCTTCTTGTTTCTTTCCCTGTGACTTTGAGAAAGACATGATGTATGAGACTAGTTAAACAATATTTTGCTTTCTTTTTTTTTTGTAATTTCACAAAAATAACAAGATGTTGTACAAAAAAAGGAGAAGAGAAAAGGAAAATGCGTTTTGCGGAAGGAAAAGGGAAAAGGGAAAAGGCCCAATGAAATTGATTGGACAGTCACACACAGCCAATGTTTTTCATCATTTGCCATGTATTTTCATAGTTCGCATTTTCATTATTAAGAAAAAGTGCTGTATTACGCGTAAAAGGGCAAAGCAAGATAGTTTATTATTAATTTATTGGTAACCAGTTGAACCGAAACCACCAGCTCCACGGGCAGATTCTTCTAAAGACTATGTATTTTGGTATTAGGCAATGTATCCCCCAGTATAGATAATGGTTCAAACTTACTTCAACTTCAAGAACATCAGGTGTAGAGATCTTTTCGATAATCAATTGAGCAATTCTATCGCCACGCTTGACTAATGTCCCGATAACTCAGTTTATATTGTCCCTTTCTTTGTTATAAGCGTAACATACCTTCATAGTCAACCTTGCTAAAGTTGAACATAACAACACCAACAGGTCCACGATAATCGGCATCAATCACACCGGCACCAGTATCTAAATGATGCTTAGCAGCTAAGCCAGAACGGGGTGCGACACGGCCATAGTGTCCTTCAGGGACAGCAATAGCAATATCGGTAGCAACAATAGTCTTGCCTTGTGCGGGAATGACAATATCGTGAGCACTGAATGTCATTGTGTTAGTCAGGGCTCGCCATTGAAAGGCACAATATATTACCAGTAGAGATCATAACCAGCAGCAAGAACTGAACCTCTGGTAGGCACTTGAGCAAATTCTGAAAGACGTTGAACTAAAAGTTTGGAGCTTGACATTGTGAAATAAAAGACAAAAGAGAAAACGCGGTACAAGTTCAAAAAAAAATTATTTGATCGCGCGTTTTCGTGTGACCTTTTTTTTTTTTGCAAGAAGTCAGAAAATTCATATGTAACGCTAAGCAGTGTGCATGAATAAAAATCCAACTAACATTTCATCCTAAAGTCAAATAGCAAGATAAAAGGCGTCAAGAATATTAAGGTTATCTTGGGTACCAAGTTGGAATAAAAAATTGATTAAAGGCAAATGTCAAAACAATATTCTTTGAAGATTTAATAAGAAATCATAATCAAACGTGTGGACCTCAATAAGTATTCCTCAAAGGCATTCTTTTCCTCAGAATTTAAGCATATGAGACAGATGTTCTGTCATAAAGTCTGCTTTGACCAAAAATATGAAGATAGTTTAGCCGACCGGTATTTCAAGTCGATGATTTATCTTCACAATCGAAACATGCTACCGAAAAACTAAAAGTTTGATGGAATTATACAGGTGCTACCTATTTCAAACTTAGAAAGAGGTTAAATATTCCCTTTATTCAACCACGTATTCTATATAACGCAAATGATGATACTTCACAAGTCTGTGGAAACGGTTGGATGCTTTTGTTCAAAGACCAAGACAGAGCAGTTAGTACATAACTCTAGGTTCTCTCTTCAGTAAGAGACACACTAGTTTTATATATATGCTGTATGAGGCTTAATATAGTGTCTAATTGCTATTTAAAAGTTGATACCGAGCAAAGTTTGGCGATTCTTATTGAATGGTATCAGGGCTGTAACACACATTCATGTAAAAAGTAGGCCGAAATCCTTGCTGTATAGTATAGTCTCTATTCTCGAAGAGACAGTTCTTACTAGATATACAAAAAACTATGTTTTAGAGTGCAAATATCTCGACATGAAGGATCGACGTGTGCATGAATAAGGTTTTTACTGCTTGATAAAAATGGTCACAATTATAAATTGCGTCACAAAAAACATTTGATCTGTTGAAAAAATAAAAAAAGTTTCGGGCTTGCTGTCCCCAGGCCTGAAGTTTGATATCCCGCAATAAAAATGGGCAAGGGCGGTTGTTTGCTTGACTTTTTTTACAAACCTTTTTCACAAAACTAAAAAAAGGTATAATTGAATGATGGAAATGTACAGAAAATGAGACTAAAGAATCAACTTAATATCCAGATATTACATTAAAATGGGTGGACCTGCTGGCGGAAAGAAATATATGGGATGGTAAATATTTGTTGAAATGCCATTCCATTGATTCATACTAAAGATATTTTTATTAAATGAATAATAGGTGGGGTCATATGGGTGGACCTACTCAAAGAGTATGTAGACATAAGAAACAAAAGATGGGGAACGACAGAGACTGACGATTTATTACTTATTTATTAGGGTGTCGTTACTTACATCTTGTCTCCTTTTGAGCAAAAGCCTTTTGCCGGCGCTGCTCACAACGCTGTCTTCAACACTGCTCGTCGTGTCACTTCTCAAATTCCTTACGTTGGTGTTGCATTCGGTCTCGGTTATTTGCTTTACACTCAAATCAGTGCCAAGCATGCTTACCTTACATCCAAGGCTGGCCATGCCGCTGAAGGTGCTGCTCATTAGATTTAACGACCAATAATTCGACTCAATAAAAAAAAACTCCTCAACAAAAACCATCAAAATTCGAATGAAATTGAGCTCAGTCTCTTATTTCAACTCTGATTCCCTAATAGGGTTTGTGTATCAAGCATCTTTTTTAAAAAGAAGGGAAGGAGAGATTTTCTGTTAATAAATGTTGAGTTTTATTTTTTTGTAATTTAATGGGATTATATGTACATATGTAAAAGAGAGTAGGGGCGGATCATTCAAGCGATCCTTAACGCTTCTGTTTTCTAAAGAGAAAGACAAAGAACGTAAAGAGCATGACATTGAATACAGTATATGCAGTCAAGATACCAAAATCTCTCCATCTGTTGGAAAATTGCCAACCAATACGTTGTTCATAAAAGTCAGAACCAGTACTATATTGACAATAATCACACATTTCTTTACTGTCGGGATTACCAACATAGCCAACACCGCCACTCTTGAAGAAGGGGTCCATATATTCACCACAGGTCTGACCAGGAGGTACGTTGATCTTGATGTAATCACCTGATCCACACACTATCTTGATACCATCCATGACGTTCACCACGAGTCCTTCAATTAGGTAATGATACGGATCTAACCAATACATCCACGAACTCCAGAAATAGGGCATGCCGCTTGGAGGTTGAACAATACCTGCAAATAGAATCAAGATGGATGTAAAGAAAGGATTGATCACGGCTGCCATAGGAGGTGTAGCGGAGAATGATGCGATTGTAAAACCAAGCGAGACCGAATAGAACAAAAACATGATGAAATGTATATAAAAGTATCCAATACGATCCGATGTATTTTCCAAACCGGCCGTCCAGTAGAAACAGAATAAAAAGATCGTACCAAGGACAATAAGGTAAGGAATCTCAACCAGCACACAGGATAAAGCAAACGGTGCCCATCCATAGTATTTACTCGCATATTCACGTCGGAACCACATTCTCTCTTCCATGAACCGTGGTTGTGCCAGAATAATCAGAGCATTACTCATCAAAAGGGTCGTGAACACAGAGAACATACGATTCTGCATGTCCGCAGGTGTATTACCTAGCTTCCAGAAGGAGAAACCAGAGACAAGACCAATAAACACAACGTTAAAAAGACGACCCATATTATAGTTGGGACAACGCCACCATGAAACCACCATACGTTTATATACAAGACTCAACTGTTGACTGAAGGGTAATGCGTAGGCAGACACTTTACGCTTCACTGTATGATCAACCGATGTATTAATATACTCCAATTCTTCTTCAAGCATTTTAGCTTGATTTGAACCGGCCCAAACATCAGCCCAGTCTTGAGTTGATTTACCAGCAGTACCAGCACCGACACATTCCAAAATATATTCAGCAGGGTTAGCACTATCGGCACATTTAGGACCACCATTGGATTCAAAGTAATCAATCATGGTACGACAGTCTTGACCGATTTCACCGAAATAAGCAGTACGACCACCACGCATCAATAACAACAAATGGTCGAAATGTTCAAATAAGGTAGCAGAAGGTTGATGGATAGTACATAGCACGGGCCAACCAGCATCCGCCAATTTACGAATAAATCGAACGATGTTATAAGAACTTTGAGCATCCAAACCTGAAGTGGGTTCATCCAGAAACAAGAGCTTGGGCTTGCCCACTAATTCAATAGCAATTGTAAGACGCTTACGTTCTTCCACTGAGATACCAACACCAGCTTCAAGATCACCCACCAATGCGTCAGCAATATTTCTCATTTCCATAAGATCGATGATTTGTTCTACATATTCGTCCTTTTCTTCTTTTGAGACTTCGGGTCCTTGACGAAGATAAGCAGAAAATTGGAGCGCCTCACGTACAGTGGCATTGGGATTATGAACGTCCATTTGCTCACAATAACCCGTAATACGTTCAAAGTCCTCGGCCAATGATTCACCATTCAAGTAAATATTACCTTCGATGGTACCAATGGTCTTTCTTTTGGCCAGAACATCCAATAAAGTAGTTTTACCAGCTCCAGATGAACCCATCAGTGCCGTCAGGTTACCAGGTTTTACAATACCACCTACATTGTTTAACAATTGTCGACTACCTCCCTTTACAGGCACCGTATAATCGATATGATGCCAAGAGAACGTTGTACCATCCGTAACAGCCTCCATTTGTTGATCATTAATCGTGGTTGACTGTTGTAACATTTCCTTTTCAGAAGTGGCCTTGGGAGCGCATCCCTTCTTATAAACCTTGGTGATCGATCCTTCCTTTTGAAGGTCGATATATTCCATCGCTAAAGCTGTCAACGCCGTGAAAAACAAAAAGAAGAGCAGGACGGCTACAAAGTCGATCCACAGTTGCCATGTGGAATACCCATAGGCAGCCTCCAAATAATCATCGCCGAGGACATAGCTAGCACCTGGATTGGCTCCGGGTAAGATACACGATTTGTAAGTTTGGTCCACGGATTCATAAGCAGGACCATAAGGTACCCCGTTCGGCCCTTCGCAAGTAAAATGAAGTCCACGCATCTCGGTGGAAATTAAACCTTTATAACCGTACGCTAAAGGATTTATCCAGTATATCCACATGAGCCACGGGTGCATTTGAATATAAGGAATTTGGTAACCACAGTAAATCAAACAGGCAATCAAAAGAATACTAGATATTTGCGAAGCTGTAAAGAAGTTGGGACTAACAGCACCCCAGAAACGGAAGAAGCCGTTCATACAGAGATTGGTCACCACGAGAATAATAAAGAAAGTAAAGAACTATATTGAGAAATCATAAGTTAATAAAAGCGAAGGATTACAAAACATTCACAAAATACATACCCTGCCGGCATCTAATGCGAGACCCATGATAAAGTAGACACATAATTCAAAGATGATGACTTGAACCACTGCCAAGGGAATATCCGAGATGACAGTAGCAATGTAAAAGGCAGAAGGATGATACAATGCAAAATGTTTGTGTTTTTCAAGCACACGACGACCTTGCATAAACGCTGATAGTTCAGATTGAGCAATCAAGGCGTTAAACAGTAAACTGAAAAGAATGGCACCACCACGAGAGAAAGCGCCAGTGGCGTCTGTAGGCATCATATAGAAGACAGAGGCCATGATCAAACCTTTGACGATGACGCCACCATAACGAGATACAAGAGCACCTTTATCACCAAGAATCAATTGGAACTGTCGGACAGTTAAAGCCTTGATTTGTTCAAAGTAGGTGGCGACAAAGGGAGAATGTTTAGGAGCATGCTTTTGATGAGCCTCCGTAAAGGCTTCCTTGAACACCTCGGCAGGACGATCTTCATTAATACGACGTTCATAGGCATCTCGTTCGGCCATCATATCTGCATATAATTGAGACTCTTTGTAAACCTTTTCGAATTGGGCAGCATTGAGAGGAACCTTTCCTTCAAAACCAGGAAGCACTTGACGTTCATTCATGTTACAGAGACCTGTCAAGAAATCTGGCGTAGATTTACGATCAGGACAGTAAAAGCCCATTTGTGTGAAGAAAGCTTTTGCTTCATGGTTTGGACCGAAATAAATACATCGACCTTCGTCCAAGACCATGATCTTATCGAATAAGTAAAAAATACTATCAGATGCCTGATAAAGAGTTGAGATGGTTGTCTTGTGCAAGATATCCGTCATGATACGAAGAGAACGAACATAATCAAGAGCAGAGGAGGAATCAAGACCACGAGTAGCACAATCCCAGCAATTGATGCAACTACGAGTTGTCATTTGTTCAGCAATCGAAAGACGCTTACGTTCACCGCCAGAGAGACCACGAACAAAAGCGTTACCAACCATTGTGTTCATTTGCTTTGTTAAACCAAGCATGTTACCGAGCATATACAGAACTTTGTTGATGAATTCGTCCTTCGACTCACCAGGAAGACGTTTTCCTGGAGTTTTGTTACGAAGAGCAAAACGAAGGGTTTGTTGTGTTGTAAGAGTAGGATAATGAAGATCTTCTTCTTCATTATAGCAAACTTCACCTCTAAAATGTTTACCGAATTCCTCCGCATCAATACCGCCATAAGTGACTTGGCCTTCAATTTTAGTATAGGAAGCGCGCATATTGGCAAGAACCCGAAGTAAAGAAGTACAGCCGGAGCCAGGACGACCAAGGACCAAAAGCATTTCACCGGCCTTACAGAAACCATCGTTGCCATTCAAAATGGTGAAGTCTGTTCCGGGATGTTTACCCCATTTCCAGAATTGTAAGGCAGAGGCAATCCAAGTCCAGTTTGTTGAGATGACTTTGGCATCTGCTCCTAAACCTTGGACGACGAGATTTTTCCAGATGACACCCATGTTCTTGGCCTTTAAGCCCGCCTCCGTAATCTGAGAGTGTTGTTCCGAAAGATATTCTGTCAGGTCGAATTCTTCAGATTTTTCTTCGGGAGGCTTGACATTGTCACCAGAGTCGATGGATTGTTTACGAGATTGTTGAGTGAATTCTCGACGAATGGAGCGATACCTTTCAATGGCACTCTCGATATCGACGGCATTTCCTTCAGCCTCACCATAGCCACCTTCGGTACGACGAGTATTTGTACGTTCCATATCTTCAAAGCTTTTTGTATCTGCATTCGGATATTCTGAACCATTTAATGTCATATTGTCAGCAATTTCCTCTTGACGTCGTTCAAACTCTTCATCGCGATTAGGGTAATCTGCCCCAATACTGCGATGTGTTGCAGGTATTTCCATTTTTGTGAGTAAATGTCAAAAAAAAAGAAAGACTTTTTAATTTAAGAACGTTAGATAATTTATGAAAAAGAAGAATAACAAAAGATTGTAGCTTATATGATGGATGTCTTTCTAAGACCCAACCAACTATGCACAGTACAGAAAAAAAAATGTTTTAGTTGTAATTTATGAATTTCCCTTACGAAAAGTTTTCTAGCACCCATTTACATTTTATTTTATTTATTAAAAGGTCTTGAACCTTAACTATACAAACATGATCGAGACCCACATTATGTTTATTTGTTGTTACATGTCGATTCATTTTTGCTTCTTTAAAGATGAGAGAGATTTTTTCGTTTTTGCAAATCTGCTTTTTCGTCTTGAAACCCAAGTAAAATGGTTTCAGTGTAATTTTACACCATGTTATTTATATTGTATGTGCGCAAAGTAAAAAATATACCCTGTTTAAAAAAAGTTTATAGTTTTTGAAACGTAATTTAAATTAGTTTGTCGTTGGATTCTCAAATCAATTAACTCAATGTTTGTTGACAAAATACAGTGCATGTAGTACGAATCATAACATCAAATTTTTCTCCTTGCATTAAAAAAAATCAAGCAAGATTGCGGAACGCTATGGCTAACATTATGGACATCTCTTTGAAGAGAATGGAAGATTGAAGAAGAAGATCTTGTGCAACGCAATGACGGATTTACCCAAGTGGTCAGATAAAACTACGTTACGTCACAAGTTTCTTTTTTTCTCGCAGTAAATTAAAGCAGTAGTAGCATCATCAGCACTGACCTTGTGACGAAATTACACGAAATTATTTATTTATTTATCCCTTTTTTTCTCTTTTTCTTCTTCTTTTCTCTCTCCTCCCCCATTCTCACTTGAATAACGCCCATTCACCATGAGCTCACATGAACCAAATGAAACAGACATCGATATCCAAGATAGAATGGGTTACGTTGATACAGGACCTAGTCAAAGAAACAATGGTAACAACATCAGTAACAATAACAGCAACAGCAATAATAATGGTCATCATAAGGTAGCCACCTCCTCTTCGGCACATCTAGTCATCAAAGAGCCAAAACCACAAAGGCAGGTAAACCTTCCCACAGCAACATCCAGCACGGAAAAGAAACGAGCAACCTTCAAACCCGAGATTCAAACAAGAAGGTCGAATTCCATCGATCTTTTAACCGTACCAACCAGTCAAAATGTACCCACATTCAACTTGCCCAGTACACCCAACTACTATCAAGACAGTAGACCTCCACCAGCACCACCTGCCATGAGAGTGAATTATCAGGAAGAACATATAGACCGTCCTAATCGAGAGGAAATTAAAGATATGATGGTATCTAAACTTTATGAATTAGCAGACATGTTGAAATCATTAAACATTGAAGATGAAGTCAATTACCGACCTAGACCCACTCCGTCTAAATCCGATCCATCACAACAGGACCGACGCTATCCTAAGGTGAAAATGGGGAACTCTCCCGACGAACAACCTACAAGGAGGAGTCCTTATCAGCCAAGAAGGGATTATTATTCATATTATGATGGTCCAGCAGCGTACGATTATCCTCAGGAAGACTATTATTATGCTCCCCCACCTCTTCCTCCTGTGGTGCCACAACAAAGGCAGGGTTATAGACCTCGTAGAAAATCATATGGAAATTTACGTGAGGAAGAAAACATCAATCGATTAACAAGAAATAATTCTAGAGGTAACATGAGACAGAGAATGTACGATGCACGCTATGAAGCGTATCAAGATGTACCACCCCCACCACAACCACAACCACAGCCTACGAATCGTCATTATTATCAACCCCGTCATTATTCGCCAGACAATTATTATTGATCCTTTTTCTTTTTCTTTTTATTATTGCTAAAGCATTAATTTATTGATCTTGAAGAAACTCCTTGACGCTAAAGTAATATATAAAAAAACTTAATATTTCACTCCCATTTTTACATATAAATAAATCCCCTTTTCACGTTACCTTGGTGCTACACTCTTTGTCTTTAATAAGGTTTCTTTCCATTCTTGTTCGGGATCCGATAAAAATGTAATGGCACCACCGCCACCGACTGATACTTCCACCACACCTTCTTTCTTATTTGCAGCTACGGCTGTTCGAATCACCACATTGAAATCCGCACTACCATTCAAGGAGAAATACCCCAGACAGCCTGAATAGATGCCTCGTGGCTTGTGCTTTTCCAATCCGTCCAGTAATTGCACGGACCGTAATTTGGGTGCGCCTGTCATGGATCCCGGTGGGAAACATGTCTTAACCGCTTCCACGCTATTCACATCCTCATATAAAGTACCACGAATTGTGGATACCAAGTGGTGAACCTTTTCATAGCTTTCTACGTGCATTAATTTAGGAACGCGAACACTACTTGGTTTACACACTTGAGCCAAATCATTCCGAATCAAATCCACAATCTATTTTTAAAGTAAGAAATTTTAGTCTGTGGACATGTGAAAGCAAAATAGATTTAATTTACCATCAAGTTCTCTGCTCGTTCTTTCACATCTTGCCATAATTGCTGTTTAACATGCTCATCTTGCAAGTGTTGTTTCTCTTCACAGACTTGGCCAAAATCACACGTACCATCTGAGCAGACACATTTGAGGACACGGGCGACCGTACCTTTGATAGGTTTCATTTCTGCTACTCCATCACTCGAGACCTTCAAAAACCTTTCTGGGCTTGACGACAGTACGCCTAATCCGGGAAAGACGATCAGGGCCGAAAAAGGAGCAGGATTATTCTTTCGCAAATACCGGGTATAAAGACGCCATAAAGTAAGGTCGGATGGTTTCGTGGTAATATGTTTTGGTAAAGTTAATCTGAACCTTGTGGTTAAACAAATCTCATAGGCTTCGCCTTGTCGAATGTTTTCTACACATTCTGCAATGGTGTCCAGGTAGGGTCCATGTTCGGCATCTGCTGTAAATACAGTGTCCATGCTGACAGAAGGCGTGGGTGTAGTACATGTCGATGACACGGGAGTTAAGCTGATATATTCATCCAGCATCTTTCTTTTACGCAGTATCTCACATGTACTTAAAATCTTGTATTGTTGTGCATTCATCCAATCCAAAGCATCATCGGGCTGATGGAATCCCACATCATATTCTTCGTCTTGACTAACAAGACAGCAAATATGGATTTCTCGCTTTATTTGATCAAACACAAGGAAGCGATCCACGAATTGAAATGCAGCATCAGGCTCCTCTACACAAGCACAACAATTGGCTTCACCATGGTTCTGACAATGACATGCTTGTTCCTCCGGTGTCACATATCCCTCCATGCTTTCTCGCTTCATTTCATAGCCAAGGTAACCCATCAACCCGCCTTGAAATTCCAAGTCTTTGAGCTTCGAATTTTCACATATTGGTTTTCCCATGTCGGACATAATAGTGGAGATGAAATCAAAAAAGGTGCCTTGGATAGCACTGACGGTTTCTTTACCGTTTCTATAGGTGGATCTTAACTCACGATGTAAAGTAGAGTATCGATATTGAATGGCGGGATCTGTGGAAAGGATGGAGGTACGAGAATAAGGAGATGCTTTTCGACTGCTATCTAACCAACCAATAAAATGGTTGCCCTGAGTCGATAAAAATTCATCCACAAATGATTCGGGTTCGATCCAACTCGTGGATGTCTTTGTGTAGAGTCTAAATCGGCTCTTTTGAGAGACACTTCGGGTGGATGGTTGGGGTAATGCTGCAGAAATAGATGTTAAGGTTTGGGGCAAAAGGTCGTAAGAAACCTGTCTATTTCCCTACACTTTTCATTTTAGTTTTTTTATAACACATACACACGCATTTGTTGGTACCTGGTTCATCATCCAATTACATGTTTCTAACTGGAAATTATTCATCATTTTGGATCCATGTTCTGTGGATACGGATTCCGGATGAAATTGCACTCCCCAGATGGGCAAATGCTTGTGTTGAAAGGCCATAATGGTGATCTCTGTTGTTTCTTCTTCAGATATGGGATCCAAATAATGATTTCGAGATTCCTTTTCTTCACCTTCGTTATCAGCCAGAAAAGAAGCATTTTTCAGTGCATCCATATCCGCGTCATTTTCATAACAAAAAGCAGTAACGATCAAATCCTCTGGTAATGCTACAAGTACAAGATCTCAGCCAAAAAACCATTTTTTAGAAGAAGAAAAACTTACATTCTTTTTCGACAACGAGTGAATGATAACGCACAGCCCAAAAGGGGGTAGGGCATTGATGAAGAACATCATTGTAGGCTTTTTGAGATTGTTGTATGTGTACTTGCGACATACGACCATGCATGATTCGAGGAGCATACATGACTTTACCACCAAATAAATGGCCGATACCTTGGTGACCTAAACAGACACCAAAAATGGGACGGTGGAATTGTGATTGATGTGGATCCAATTGCGCTTGTAATAACTGAGTGCAAATACCAAAGTCCTATTCACTTTTTTAATATACAAGCTTGCCTTTTTTTTTTTTGGAAAGAAAACCCTTGACTTTGTACCTCAGATCTTTCAGGTCTTCCAGGACCTGGTGAGATAATGACATTATCGAAATAGGGCAATACCTTTACGACAAATTCATCCCTGCATAGTTAAAAAAAAATTAGCATAAACAAAAAAGAATAACTGTTTTTCTGTACCAAGTGAACTGGTCGTTGCGAATGACCACGACGTTGGTATCGTTTTCAAAGAGCTGTAACAAGTTGAAGGTATAAGAGTCATAATTGTCAATGATAAGCGTTTTAATATGGTTGACTGGTATCATTTCATGGAGAATACAGAAAGAGAGGGATAGGACTTGCTTTTTTTTAATTTTTTCTTAAATAGAGATTTTGATGGATCGCAATGACAAATGATTGGTGGAACGTGCCATCTTAAAGTCACAATTTCGTTTGTTTCAAACAGATTCTGACTCTTATTTTTTTTTTTTCTTGTTAAGAAAAATTAGATCACTGATGTGAGTGCATATGTATATGAAATTGTAATTATATTTGAAATAAAGAAAAAAAAAAGGTGAAGTTTGAACAATAGATAAAAAAAAAGTGAATGATAGAAAAAAAAAAAAAGGAGAGATCGAGAGTGTTGATTGGCTTAAGATGGAGGAACAGAATCATAACTCCAGATCCTTGCACGGTTATCACCAGATCCCGTTGCAAACAAGGGTCTTCTTCCAGGACTTGTAGCCACAGATATCACTATTTAAACAGAACCGGTGAGTTTGTCATCTCTTTCTTTCAATGTATATATAAATTACCAGAATTCTTATGTCCTTGGAGCATAAATTGAGTTTGACCAGTGCGAGGATCCCAAAACTGAACACTTCGATCTTTGGAGCCAGAGACAATCCAACGATCATCAGGTGTCGTAGCAACGGAAAGAACAAAGTCTTTATGACCAGAGAATATTTGAATACAAGGGTTCTTGGAACGATCACCGCCCAATTGCCATAATCTCAAAGTTTTATCTAGACTGCCACTGACGAGGGTTTTACCATCGGGCATAAATGCAACTGAATAAACACTATCTTTATGGCCTTCTAAACGTTCCAAGAGAGTACCGTTGGCAGCATCCCATACACGCACAATCTTATCCAGACTTCCGGCAGCTACTAACCGACTATCTGGTGAAATGGCAATACTGGTGACACCAGGGTCACTTTGATCCACTTCACTGATACGTAACGTATGTAAACATTTAGCGTCCATCCAATCCCAAATACGCGTTGTACGATCTCCTGAACCAGACACCAAGATATGTCCATCACGACTAAACTCGAGTGAGTAAATATCCTGTTCATGTCCAGATAATACACAACGGATACGTGTTTTCGAGATTTCCCAAATCTAATTTAAGCTTAATTATATATAAATTTTTCACAACTAAACAAAAACCAAAAAAAAAAAAAAAAAAAACCACTATCTTACTCTAATTCTTCTATCTTCTGCACCTGTAGCTAAATATTTACCATCGGGACTAAAACTAACAGATCGAATATATAAATCACCATCTCTACCAGCACTTTCATCCTGAAGCACACTATTAGATTAACACTGTTAGAATGTCTTTCTACGCCCCAATATATAATTATAATAACACTTGCGCTACACGAGTAGAGGTCATGGTATCATAGATATAAGTAGCCTGATTACAACCAGCAGCCAAGAATCGACCATCCATACTAAATTTGACACAACAGACAACACTATCGTGATCCAAAGTATAAACAAGGTCCACCTTGAGATATCTAGGAACCTTTGGATTGAATCTAGAATCGGATGGATTAAAACGTGTATAGATACAAAATGATTACATTAAACGTTACAATGCAAACCAGTCTTGACCTTCCACCTTCATATTAGCAGGAACGGATTCAGGATCAAGATCGTTAAAGCTGATGGCATTATTAGCAACAGGCGCAGGTGGTTTATTCATGCGCACATTATGGTTTGGTGGTGGGGGTGGGGGTGGTGCTCCGCCTCCGCCTCCTTGTTGGATAGGTGGAGGGCCAAAATGAGGTACGCTAACTAACGGAGAGCCTGATGAAATCAAGGGTGGTGGAGGTGGTGCCTTCATGGGTTCCACTTGCTGCTGTTGCTGTTGCTGTTGTGTATATCCTCCATGTTGCATTTGTTCTAATTGCAATCGCAATCTAGAAATCTCTTCCTCATATCTGTTTACGAATGAAAGGTTTTTAGTGCGAATTATAATAATAATAATAATAATAATCATAATAATATTAAAAAAAAAAGACACGTAACTGTTTCTTCAGGACCTGTTGAGTTCGTTCTAAATCCAACAAGGTTTGTTGGAATATATTCATTTCTTGTATTTGACTATTTACTACGATGGGTGTTACTTTTCTGTTCACCATCTGTTTCTTTTGTTGTTGTTACCTTTATGCTCATACTCGTCTCGTTGACTTTTTGTGATTTGAGCATCTTGACTCAGCTGGTCGTATTCGACCTTGATAGCTTCTAACAGTTCCAATAATCGTGTTTGATTAGCTGGAACCATGGGTCGATGGTTATAAACAGACATTGTTCTTGAAATTAATTAAAGGCTGTCGTCAAAGAATACTAACAAGAAGAAAAGAGGGAGAGAAATAAAAAGGGCTTATGAGTTTAAATCCGTATGTGTGGGAACACAAAAAAAATGTCGTCAAAAGGGCACAAAAAAGGGGTGGGGGATATCAATGCAGGTACACAAGAATTTTTTATTCAAGCTTATCCAAATGATCAAGTCTTGTCAAGACAACGTTTTTACTCGTCTCTTCTATCTCTCCAGCTAAAAACACTTCATCCAAAATAGCATAAACCTGTCCCCTTGATATTTTAATAAAAGTGTATTTTTTATTGGTGCATTTATTCTGTTTACCTTGTAGAAATTAAACACTAAATCCAATTCGCAAACGTTACCAAAGAAAGCATCCAATACCTCTACGAAAAAGTGAATGGCTTCCAAATACGATAATTCGTTATCATTAGCATCCACACACACGCAAAAAAAGAGTCCAGCATATCGACGATAGACAATTTTATAATTGCGGAACTACACACAGTTGTTAAGCGAACCACTCATTTTTCTTTTCTCTTTCTCTCTCATCTTGTTACCTCAACAAAGTTACTCTGATGTTTCTGATCCCTCGGTGCAATGAGTCGATGCACTTCTCCCTTGAGTTTTATCTTTTCCTCATCTTCGTATGGAACATACCATTTGGCTAATCTCGTTTTACCTTGTCGATTTTGAACTAGAATAAACCTAAGCTAACATTATTATTATTTTAATAAGCATCGCATTACTCTCTCATCTAATAAACCCACATACCATGTCTGGGATATATGTATGTTTGTGTGAATAATAAAAGAAAAGAAAGAACGTGGAAAAAAAGGGCTTTTATTTAATTAAAAATATATGGAGAGAGGAGCGCTGTTTATAAACGCTTTTCCACCATGACTTTCATACCATGCATCATTGGCAGTGTAAGTGAGACCTGGTAAGTAATCGTTTGTCCCTTCATTAAACTGAACTTGTATTTTCTCACCAAGAAAATAATAGCTACCAGTGCTTCCAACGTAGCCAAATTCTGTCCCAAACATACTCTTGGCCCAGCATGGAAAGCTAATTTAAAAGTTTATCAGAAGAAAGCTTTATAATATCTGAAAAGCATTTATTTTAGTTACCTGGCCATTGTCCTGCGCTCTCACGGACAAGCTCGCCTGCTTCATTAATCCAGCGCTCTGGACGAAACTCTTTGGCATCCGTCCATACTTTCTCTGATCGTCCTTGAGCATAAGGACACCACAGAATATAATCACCTTTTCGTACTTTAGTACCATCAGGCCAAATATCGTCGCCCAACGCATACTTTTGATTCAACGGCACAGAAGGGTACAATCGCAAGACTTCGTAAAACACAGCATGTGCGTACGTCATATTCTTGATCACATTATACAACTCGGGAGAGTCCTCTAACGTCTCATCACTAATAAAAGTAGAAATCTCGTCCAACAACTTCTCCTCCACACGTGGATGGCAAAGCAACATGTAGAAGGTCCAAGAAAGTGCCTGTGCCGTGGTATCACGACCTGCAATCACAAAATTCAAAACGATATCACGAAGTTCGTCGTTATTTAAGAGTTCGCCTTGTGCATTACGTGCATCCATAAAACGAGAGAGCAAATCACCGTGGATTTCTCCTTGTGCAATCTCTTCTCGTCGCTTCTCCGTCACCTGACGAGCAAAAGAATCTACCACGTTCAAGTGGTGCTTCATACTGGCTTTCCATGGCATTGTAAGCCGCTGAATCCCCTCTGTAATGGGCCAGATCGGATTGATGAATCTTGAAAAGGTAGTCTTTTGTGCCTCATCAAATGATTCTGCAAAAGGTACCTTGGTGGTAGACGACTGTGCATGCAAGTGAACACCAAATCCAAGTCTAATAATTGAAGGGATTTAGGAAACCTTACTTATTGCAATGACCACCATATATATACTTACAAAATGAAGGAATCCAATGTAAATTTATACATAATATCATGAAAGTCGACTACCTGGTTATTCTCCGCAGCTTTATCCCAGATATGTTCAGACATGTACTTAATCTCTTCAACAAATACACTACAATTGGCTAATTTAGTATACCATATATTCACAAAAAGACTTTTTTAAGACAAGTTACTCTGTGAATTGATCTCGAAAGTTTTTCACATTAAAGATATGACTGGATGTTTTGCGTTGATACTTCCAATCTTCTCCGTTGGCGTTAAAAATGCCGTTTCCGAACAAATCTACCATGGATGCATGAAATTCAGGTCCTTTGATATAATTTTCGAAATTGTCTAAAAAAAAATTATTTCAGTTAGAATGCATATTTAATAGTATCTAAACCCATTTATTTCAATGTAATTTACTCTTCAAGACGTGTTCAACATTACGTGGATCCAATGTGGCAATATGGCGCGGTATACCAAGAGCAGAAAGTGTACTTTTTTAAAAGTAAAATTAGTAATGTGAATGAAATGGTCCCAACCGAGAAACAAAAGAGATAACTTACAGTGTTAATTCATCCAGTTGACTAAACCCTTCCAATAAGAAATCATGCATACGATGCTTATATTGAATAAGCAAGGGAAGACTACCTAATAAAGGCCAGCCAGGCTGTGTTTTAATCCCCTCTCGTCTTTCATCAAAGACAGCACGGTCATGATAAATAGCACCTAAAACTGTGATTGTGGCTGCTGCTGCACCACCGACGTAATTTAATATTGAGTTTGTCATGATTTACCTAAACAAAAAGAAAATAAAAAGGAACAAACAGAAATCAAAAAGTTTAAATAGAGAATTTATGCGTGACACGAATGATGTGCGTGTGCTTTTTTAGTTTTAGCAAGTTATTTTAATTGTAACATGCGAAAATTTCCTTATGGAGCACAGCATTTGACAAAATCTTCATTCAATTCAAAAAGGTAACTAATCGGAGTACACAAATACGTACATTATACATGACATTGTGTCTGTGTGTTTTCTTCTTTTATATATAGATGAATATGTATATATATATAATTTTTTTATTAGGGTGAATAGCGAGGTTTCTTTGCAATATGATTTGTAGTGTCACTATTTATACTACAATCACTGCTAGTACTACTACAATTACTTGACAAGGTAACATGCGAAGGATTACTAGAATAAGTCAAGATCCGATTTTCCTCCATAGTGTCTTGATGATCAATTAAATCCGAATGAGCCCTTTTCTTGGCCGATGGCAGTAATGCAGGAGGGGGGGATAGTAAGAGTAAATTTGAGACAGAGTTATTCATCATGATGTTACTGGCGGTTTCATTATGAAGCTGTAATTGTTGCTGTAATAGTGAAATATGGTGCGACGTCTCCATGCTACAAAAGTAATCGCGTCGTTGTTCTGAAGAGGAAGTGGATGAATATACATCTTCTTGCGAGGGGGAAGAAATGACACAGCCTTCGGGTGGTTGTTGAATCTCCTCGGGCGTAAATACATCATAGATAGAAGACATTATCGGTTGAAAGTCCATCATTAGGTCTGGAGTAAGCACATGATTGATATAAATCTTTTTATCATATGCATGCGCAAATTCAGTAGGAGTGGCTTGTGTACCAGGTGTATGTATATCTGCTGTAAGAGGAGGTAAGTCATCATCAAAAGATGCAGTGAGTGCTGTCGAATGACTGTAGGTTTCTGATGGCTGCTGGTGATATAAGGTGGACGGGGTGCGTGCATGACGTGTATTTGTATCAATATTTGGTAATGAAGCCAATGCTTGCTGCTGTTGGTTAAGATAATTGTGAAAATCATAGTTATCTTTTGTTTTGGATATAAAGTTATCTTGTTCATAAAGATCACTGCTGGAAGTTGATAGACGAG